CCCCCCCCCCCCCCTCTCTCGCGCTCGCTAACACCGCCCGACCCGGCAGGCCGCCCGCCAAACCTCGACCCTCGCCGACGACTTTTCGAGACTGCGCATCAAAGCGTTCGATCTGGAATTCACCGTCGACCCACTCTTCAAAAAGACCTCTGCCGATTTCGATGAAGGCGGAGCGGGAGGGATCTTGATGAACCACCTCGGGTGCGACGGGAATATGAAGGTCGTGTTTGATGCGGGGGATGCGAAACTCGAGTGTGATGATGAGGAGGGCGAGGAGGGCGCGAAGGAGGAGGAGGACGTGCGAGAGGAGGAGGGGGACGTCGAAGTCGATATCTCCCGTCTGCGCGGTTCGTCCCCAACCATCGCTCTCTTTTACTCCTCCTGCGCTCGCTGAACCTCGTCACGTGCGCAGCCCGCTGCCTGCCCTCCGGCCTCTCCCCCCTCCAGCACATGTCCCTCTGTCCCTCGCTCTCAGCATTCCGTTTCTCAGCCGACTCGTCGCTCTCACTCGGGATGCTCCACCTCGGACCCGACTCCGACTCCGACGCGGCATCGGACGGAGGCGCGGCGGAGGGAGGGGAGGGTGATTTCGGAGGGTTCGACGATCATTTTGCGGGACAAGAATTTGGTGGAGGCGGAGACGACTTTGGAGGAGGAGGAGGAGGAGAAGGAGAGGTCGACTTTTTCGCAGATCAATTCACCCCTCTCGGCGCAGCGGAACTCGGACTTCCTATCCCTCCCCCCACCTCCGGCGGCGGCGGCGGCGCAGGCTTCGGCCCCATCGAGCCTTTCGACCCTCGCCTCGCCTCCTCACGCACCTCCGACCTCGTCCTCTCCAACATCGCCGACGAAGGACCAGAGGAGGGAGCGAACGTGTGGGAGTTGCTTGATCAGAGGGTTGGAGGGAAGAAGGGCTGGGCGGGGCCGGAGCATTGGAAGATGCGGAGGGGACGGATTGGCGCAGCTGCGGGAGGGGAGAAGGCGGGGGCGAGGAAGGAGGAGGGGGAGGAAGGTGCGTGGCGTTCTTTTCCCCGCTTGCTTTCGGTCTGCGGCTTGAATGGTGCAGGCGGAGGCTGACGGCAGGATCGAGATGCGCCCGCAGACGACGCCCCAGCCGGCCCGGACGCCAAACCCACCCGCGCCAAGAAGGACCGCACCGCTCTCGTCCTGGACTTTTCCTCCCCCCCTCCCCTCTCCTCGAAAGAGCTCTTCCTCCCCGCCGCTCCCAAGACAAGCATCACCACCTCGCTCAACAAGAAGAAGACTGACAAGGCCGAGGAAGACTGGACGTTGCCCGAGGACTACATGTTTAGCTCGGGGATGCTGTTGAGGTTGTTTTTGAAGCCCAAGACGACGGTGCGTTGCGCGCGGCTCTCCTTCAGTCTCTAACACACTCAGATAGTGAGACTGATGCAACGAATGTATGAACGCACAGCTCCGCATGCGCCGTCGTCCCTCCCCCTCCAGCGCAGGACTCGACCCGTCCACCGCACTGGGCGGGACGAACGAAGCAGGCGCCGCGGACGTGCAGTTTTGGGCTCAGGCGGGCGGCGTCGAGGGCGATGCGATGCAGATGGAGGGCGATATGGGAGGGCTGGATCCGATGGATCATGATTTCGGGGGTGGTGAGTCTGCTTTCGCTTGCCTTTGCTTTCGGTGCTCTCGGTCTGCATGAGGGTCGAGGGACTGATGCTCAGTGGTGAACGCGTTCCGCAGGCCCGGACAACGACGACGACGATCCCCCTCCCTTCGACACCCAATGGCTCGTCTCAGGCGACGCGGACGACCTCCCCGACCCAGACGCCGACATCGACACGGACGCCAACTTGCCCGACGACCTTGCCGCCGCTACGCAGGGCCAGTTGCGCCGCGTCAGGCCGGAACAGGTCACGTATGCCAAGAGGGCGAAGAGGGTCGATGTCAAGAAGCTCAAGGACTCGATCTGGAAAGAGTTGGAGGAGGTGGTCGTGCCTGTTAAGCAGGTGAGTCGCTCTTTTTCGACGTTTGAGGCGAGGAGAGAAGACTGATGGATTGCGGCGTCGTGCAGTTCCCCGCCGCTCACGTTTACGACCCGACCGCTCCCCCTCCCGAACCCATCACCGACGAGAACGTCTCGCCCGCCTCCGCCGCGCGTCCAAAGAAGCCCAAGAAGTCCCAGCGCGCCGAAGCTCTCGTCCCCGTCATCTCGTCCCTGCGCAAACAATACCCCAAGGAAAAGATGGACGAGATCTCGACTTCGTACCTCTTTATCTGTCTGTTGCACCTCGCGAACGAGAAGGGATTGAGGATACAGACGCCCAAGCCTGCGTCGGAGGGGGCGGAGGAGGTGGGTGTTGAGGAGGGAGAGGAGATGAGGAAGTTGGTTGGGGGCTTGGAGGGGTTGAGGGTGCTCAAGGAGGTGCAGGCGTAGTAGGTGGTGCGCGGTTCTTGTCTCTCCTGGTTGTCCTACATTCGGTTTTCGTTCCCTTCACGTAACGCGTCAATCCCCGTCGCGACTTGCGGCGGAGACAGTCTTTATCGCCTCACGGTGTAATCGTACCGTCTAGTCCCGTTCAAGGCGGCTCGGAACGAGCGAGTCTGGAGACGAGTGAGCGAGCGGCGAGAGCAGGCCAAGTCCGTCGAGACTTCTCAGCGCCTCGAGATCCAGCGTCCGGCTGAGTGCAGGTTCCTCGAACTCTGAGCATTAGAAAGGATCTTCCAGCGGTTTAGCGCACCTTCCGGCGGTGTTGGATGGTGCAAGCTCGTGTCAAGAAGGGAGGGGATAAGAAGCGGACGTCGCGGGTCAAGCGCCAGCTGGATCTCTGCCCCTCCACGAACCTATGGCGCTGATTTGAACGGCATCGCTCCGAGCAGGACTGCATCGAGGGGCGACCGAAGCGTTCGCAGCGGGCCTTCCCAAGTCCAACTCGCAGATTCGCTCGCTCTTCGCACTCGCTGTCCGAGGCGAGCTCGCGTCTCTAGGGTATTGATGTGCCTCGCGGCCGCTCCGCTGGCCACGATTCGCTCGACGAGAGGAACGACTGGCTACGAGCGCACTTTCGACCCCGCCAAACCTGCGGAACAACGTCGTAGTCCCGCTGGACCCACTTGTCGACTTTCGAGAGTTCCTTCCGACACTGTGGACCTTCCACAGCACCCTTCGCTGCTTGCGACGCATCCGAGCGACCACCCTTTCTCTGCACGTGACCCGCTGATCTTCATCAGTTCGACTCGCTTGCCTCCTTCTCCTCGCTTAACAACCTCGCTAGCTTGCTGAGATGGCTGCGCCCGCACCCGCTGCGCCTCTTGCGCCTGCTACACCCGCCGCGCCTGATCCCGACGCCCCGCCGCACGAGCCAAAGCTCCTCAAGCAGCACATCGACCACGGCTTCCACTTCACCCTGACTTGCGACTTGGAGATGGACCTCTCGGCGCCGAAGATCAAGCGGACCGAGGTCCCGCTCAAAGGTGTCGCGCTCGCCGGCGTCTGGAGCTGCAAGGTCGTCAAGGAGGAAGAGGATGGCAAGGAGCGGATTTCGTTGCACGTCCTGCACGGAGTTTTGCCGATAGGCCTGCTGGGACAGCGTGTCAGGGTCTCTCTGAGCTTGTCGGCGGTCGTCGGTGACAAAGAGTACGTGCTGAACCAGTCGAGTTGGGACCGTCACGGCGCGCCCGAAGTCTCCAATACCTCGCCGCCCAACTCGTACTCTGGCTTCCGAATGGTACTCTCAGACGATGTCATCGCCGCTCTCGAGGGGCGGTCGGGTGGACACTACAAGGTTGCGGATCACCGCCTCTACCGCCTCGTCTTCGAGCTCGAACAGGCGCGGTCCTCGCCCACATCCGAAGCAAGGGAGCTTGCCGAGCGCATGTAAGGTACGCACGCTTTCTGCGCTATGCTGCACCGTTTATAGGTGCCTGACCTGCCCGCTCCCGCAGACTTGGACTCGCTTCCGACACCTTACGACGTCCGCCTCTTCTTTCCGCACGTTCAGGAAGGCGGCGCCGAGCTCTGGACAGACAGCGTTTTTCTTTCCCGGTCTTCTTACTACTTCCGCTCTCTCTTGTGGTCGGGCTTTGCCGAATCGGTGAAGCAGTCGAGGAAACGCCCAAGAACTCGCGCGAGTGCAGCGGCGCCCGCTCAAGAAGTCGTCGCCAGACAAAGACTGCGAAGACTCGGACGAGGAGACTGACCGAATCTACTTCGAGGAACCCTTGGCACGTCTTCACGAGCACGATTGCGACTGCCCTCTCGAGTACAAGCAGGTTACGATCACCAAGTCCGCCTACACGACCTATCGCGCAGTCCTCACCTACCTTCGGACTGGCTTCATTCCCTTCGCACCTCTCTCCTCGGCTTGCAAGCCCCTCAGCTCGACTTCAACTCGCACGCGCAAACAGCGGCTGCTTGAGGTCTGGTACTGGCAGGACAGGCCCTTGCCGGTGTCGCCAAAGTCGGTCTTCCGCCTCGCTCATCTGCTCGAGCTCGAGGAGCTCCAGGAGCTCTGCCTCGCCAACCTGCGCAGGCAGCTCACCGTCGAGATTGCGCCCGTCGAGCTTGTCGACGACGCCTCGGTCTGCTTTGACGAATGGCGCAAGGTCATCATCGACTACATCTTCGAGAACTGGGACAACGTTGAAGGGTCGGAAGCGTGGAAGAAGATGCAGGGCAGGATCAGGCGCGACGAGGTGCCGGGAGCTGCACCGGTCATGCTCGAGCTGATGGCCAGATTCGCGACGAGGAAGGACAAGGGTGCGCCAGGTGCTTCTCCTCCTCCGCGTGCATCCCTGCTGACGAAGTAGGCCGCAGCTTGAGTGACGATGTCAGCAGCGTGCAACCGCGACGAGCACAACTTTGCGCCATCCTCATCCCTTTCTCGAGCAGCTCGTCCGGTCGACAGCTGGCTTGCGTCTTCACAAAGCCTTGCTCTTTGCTAGCTCTGCTTCGGCTGCTCTTCCGCTTCAAAAGACCTGACTTTCCGAGAGTTAGCTTCCTTGCATCGCTCAATAGCCTGTTCCTCGCTCGCTCATGCTGCAGACCATATCGTCAGCATCGAGAGTAGAGGTGAAAGAGATGAGACGCACCCTTGGCGGCCGCACGCTGGCGGTTGAAGAGTTCGAGAAGAACGGGCGCCGAGTGCGGCATCTCGCCAGCTTCGATCGCTCGCTGAAGCCGCATCCAGCTCACCGACTTGGTAACGCCGTCACCGTTCTTGACGATGAAGTCGATGATCACCTTCCGCCAGGGCGCGAAGCAGAGCGAGGCGTCGTCAACGAGCTCCGCAGGCGCATTGTCAACCGTCAAGAACCGTCCAAGCTGGGCGAGACACATCTCTTGCAGGCTTTCGAGCTCGAGGAGGTGAGCGAGGCGGTAGGCCAACTTTGGAGAAGTCGGGAAAGGCCGGTTCGTCCTAATGCGGTCGGGCAAGTTGTCGAAGCGGGAGGCGCCACCCTGGTAGTGGGCTTGACTGGATGAAGTGAGTGGCGCAAAGACGATTGTGCCGGTGCGGAGATACGCGAGGACGGCGCGATAGGTCGTGAAGGCCGTGTGCGGAATCGTGATCTGCTTGTACTCGAGAGGGCAGTCGCCTTCGTGCTCATGCTGCAGCGACGGCATCGTCTTGAAGTAAAGCTCGTCCGTCTCGTCATCCGAGTCGTCAAAGTCCTTGTAGTCCTCGGAAGATGCAGGACCAGCCACCGCTTCTCGCTCGACAAGGCGTGGTCGCTTCGTATGGCGCACAGACGACTCGAGAAACTCGGAGCCGAGCAGAGTCGCAAAGTACGGCGACGCTTTGGCAAGAAACTGGGACTCTGCCCAGAGTTCTGCTCCGCCTTCGCGCACGTTTGGGAAGAAGAGGCGAACGTCGAAGGGCGTTGCGGAAAGGTCGATCGCTGCGAGTCTCGCAGGTCAGCGTTAGAGTGACGCGTACTGCGGATACACAAGCGCACCGGGAAGGCATTCGAGAAGTTTGGTCATCTCCAACGCAGGGAAACTCGCCAAGCGTCGGATCTCGAAAGTAAACCGGTAGAGGCGATGCTCCGCAGGTTTGTACGCCCCCTCAGTCTCCTCCTGTACCGCTTTTATGGCGACTGTGTCAACGAAGACTGAGAAGCCGGAGAAGGGGGTCCCGTCTGCCGCCGTCGAGGGTTCCGGCTGAGGTCGTGAGCGCCAATCCTGGCGATTCAGGCGATACTCGCCGCCGTCCAAGACGACAGAAACTTCTGCAGCCCACTGCACCCGGTCACCGAGCCTGCCTGCTGCGACGGCCGAATGGTCGAGGGAGAATCCCACAACTTCGTCGTCCAACCTCCCCACGCTGCAAGTCCAGGTCCCTGGTAGCGGTATGCCAGGGAAGGGAAAGACGCTGGAGAGCTCTTCCGTAATGTCGACCTCGAGATCGCAGGTGCAGGTGATGCGGAAGCTGGCGTCCACCTGGGTACGGACGCAAGCGGGAGAGAAGGGCCGGCGGCTTCCGTGGCGGGCGTGGGTGAGCTGACGACGTAGTAGGCGGCCATAGCAGGTACTGCAGAAGTTCTAAGCGGATGCGAGGGCGAGGGGAGGACGCCAACCGCGCACGACACCAGCTGCTGATGAAAGGCGAGCGGGTCACGTGCGGCGAAATCGACCTCTCTGCCTTCGCGCAAACGGCCTTCGTGCGGCTTTCCGAGGGCGGCATAGCAGGTGTGGAGCTTGTAGCATCTTCGAAGAAACGCGAGCCAGTCCTCTTCGACGTCGGTTGACTGGCAAGTTCTAGCCAAACTCTCGCAGCGACTGTCGTGCCCCGCGCCGGCTCAATGGGCTCGTCTCCATCGCTCAGATAGAGCCTGCCAAGTTGCGGTATGCGCAGCTGCGAGGCGAAAGCGGGAACCGCCACGAGCCGATCGCGGAAGAACGAGGAGGCCAGGGTAACTCCTCCAAGCTCGTCAGCACGACCGAGCGGAAGGGCTGACGACACCAGTAGCAAGTGAGCATCGTCGCGAATGTCCTTCAGCGCAGCTCGGAGCGTGCGCAGAAAGACCGCAGCTGAACGGTCGCGAGATGGTTGAAGGAAGGTCGCGATGCAAGATCGCTGCGATTAATTAGCCTGCAAGCAGCGAGAGCATTAGCGGGCGTTTAGACACAAACAGATGTGCACGAAAGACGCACCCTTGGCCTTCTTCGGCGTGAACCTGCTCATCAACTCGAGCATGATTGGCGCGGCGCCCGGCACCTCGTCGCGCCTGATCTTGCCCTGAAGGTCCTTCCAGCCCTGAGACTCCTCCACTGCCTCGCAGTTCTCAAAGATAAAGTCGATGATGACCTCGCGCCATGCGTCGAAGCAGATCGAGGCATCGTCCACGAGCTCGACTGGCGCGATCTCGACAGTGAGCTGCCTCCGCAAGTCGGCCAGGCAAAGGTCTGGGAGATCGTCAAGTTCGATGAGATGGGCGAGGCGGAAGACCGACTTGGGCGAGACGGCGGACGTTGGCGTCTTTCGGCGGAGGTTGAGGAGATGTTCCCGCCGAGTTCGACTTGCCGACGGGTTGGAAGGCTTGCAGGCCGACGTGAGGGGCGCAAAGACAATGTATCCCGTACGCATGAAGCCGAGGACCGCGCGATAAGTCGAAAACGCCGTCTTGGTGATCGTGACCTGCTTGTACTCGAGCGGGCAATCGCCTTCGTGCTCATGCAGTACGGAAGAGCGCCGCTCAAAGTAGAGCTCGTCTGTCTCGTCGTCCGAGTCGTCGAAGTCCTTCGCATCCGCATCAGCCGGAGTCTGGGAAGTCGCGGCGGGCGCACTCTTGCGCGTTCTTGGGCGTTTCTTCGAGTGCGTAACCGTTTCGCAGAAGCCGGAGGAGAGGAGGCAGTCGAAGTAGTAGGAAGCTCCAGAAAGGAACCCCGTCTCGGACCAAAGCTCTGCGCCCCCATCGCAGGCGTTCGGGAAGAAGAAACGGACGTCGTAGGGTGTGGGCGAGAGATCGAGGTCTGCGGACGAGGTCAGCTCGGGCGAGATTACCTTCAAGAGTTCTGAAGGAGCGCACCTCGCATCCTGTACATGAGTTCCTTTGCCTCGGGCGTGGGCGTGGTTTTGCGTTGAGCCAGCTGAAAGTGCACGCGGTACCGGCGATGAGAAGCAGGGTCAAAGTCGCCGTCGGTCATGCTCCTGAGGTCGTCAATGTCGTCTTGCCGGATGTCGAGCTGGTAGCCTGTGTAGGCAACAAACGGGTCGTCCTCGCTTGCGTTGGGCGCCGGACAATGGCGCCAGTGCGCGCTAGACAACAGCCAGCGGTCGTCTGGCGTGACTGCTAGGACCTTCATCATTACGTCGACGTCCTTGCCGAAGGCGCCCACGTCCAGGTCTCCGTGCTGGATGTGAACGGCCTTTTCCGACTTGCCTCCCTCCTCTTGCCGATCCACGCGACAAGTCCAGTCTCCTATGAGCGCCACACCTTTCAGAGGCAGGGTAACTTCCTCGAAAGTCGTCGCCGTGATGTCCAGTTCGAGGTCGCAAGTCAACGAGAAGCTCAGTCCCTCGTTCACTTGGTGCTGGACGACCTTCGGGACGCAGGGAGGCGCAGGAGCGGGTGCGGCAGCGGGCGCGGGGGGCTGGGGGAGCAGGAGCAGCCATGCGAGCAAGCTGGAGCACAGAACGAGCGGAAGGAAGCGAGGACGAGGGAGGAGAGGAGGACGAGGAGGTGAAGCTGACGAAGTTGAGCGGGTCACGTGCGGCTAAGTCCCTTGCGCAAGCGACGAGGACAGCTTCCTTCGGCTCTTCAGGGCAAGCGAGCGCTCGTACATCTTTCTGCTCACACACAAAGGAGCGGCAGTAAGATCGGCGTGCGCAAAAGTGGCGGAGACGGCAACCCTCCTCCTCCAGTCTGCCTTGACACCCAAGCGTCTCCCTTGAAGGACCACTGTACGCCAGTCAAGGGAAGAGAACGTCGCCGACCGCGTGCTGCGCGAGCCAACTGGGCACTCGTCGCGAGAAGCGAGCGTTGCGAAACTTGCGCTCGACAGCATGTCGCGCTTGTCCGCACAGCTGCGAGCGGGTAAGGCCGAGAATCTGGTGATAGCAGGAAGAGTGCTCTACCCTACACAAGGAGCGACGGTGTCAGCAAGATGCCCGGGGAAAGAGGAAGCGAAGGAAAAGGACGCACCCTTTCCCGCACCCAGCTTCTTGTCCATCAGCTTGAGCAACACAAGTCCCGATCCAGGTATCTCGTCGCGCTCAATCCGCGCATACACGTCCTTCCAGCTCTCCGTCTCCATCACTTCGTCCCACCGCTCGACGATATACTCGATCACTACCTTCCTCCAGGCGTCGTAGCGAACTGAAGCGTCGTTGACGAGCTCGATGGGCGCCGTGGCGGGCATGAGAGACCTGCTAAAGTGCGTTAGGCACAGGGTCTGCAGCGTGTCGAGTTCGAGGAGGTGCGCGAGGCGGAAGGCGCATTTGGGAGAGACGGGGTCACGTCTCGAGACGCCGACGACGACGACAGTGGCGCGAAGGAGATATGGCCGGTTCGAAGGAAGGCGAGAACGGCGCGATAGGTCGTGAATGCCGTTTGGGTGACGGTGATCTGCTTGAAGCGGAACTCGTGTGTGTCGCCGTGGTGGAATAGCTGAGGCGGCGACTTCTGGAAGAACAAGCCGTCCGTTTCGTCGTCTGAATCGTCAAAGTCCTTCTCCTTCCCGCTCGCGGGAGACGCAGGTAAGGCGGTACTGGGCGCCGTACGTGGTCGCTTCTGCGGCACGACGGCAGTCTCGGCAAAGTCGGAAGCGAGGAGAATCCGGAAGTACGGAGAGGCGCGTTCGAGAAAAGCGCTTTCGGCCCAAAGTTCGGCGCCGTGCTCGTGCGCGTCGGAGAAGTGAAAGCGAACGTCGTATGGCATGGGACTGAGGAAGACGTCTGCCGAACCAGGAGTCAGCTTCGAAAGCGAGCGAAGGAAAAGCAGGACTCACGAGGAATGCGTTCGGTGAGCGTTGCTGCCTCGAGACTCGGCTCTGGCACGTCCTGCGAGAATTCAAGGTCCGAAGCAATCTGGGCGGCCTCGACGTCCTTCTGCAGTACTTGCAGTATGTACCGCCGATTAGTCTCGTGGGCAATGCGTGTCGGGACTCGTTGCGGCGGCGTGTCGACCTTCTTGATCTCGACCTCGCGGCCTGCGACGACAGCGCGCAGTCGCATGGTCGTGCAAACGGCCGACCCAAGCGCGCCCGCCTCGAGGCGTCCATGTTCGACGATGAATTCGACATAGTGCGAGTCTGGCTCTGAATAATTCTGCTTCGACGTTGCGGTGAAGGACCACTGGCTTGGTAGCGCGACGGTCAGGTAGACCTGGCCCGCCAGATTTGTGTTGGTCAGGTTGAGGGCGAGGTTGACGGTGATCAAGTGGCGGAAGGAGGAGTCGAAGTGAAGACCGGTGAAGCAGACATCGCCAGGTTCTGGCGTTGTCGGCATCGCGTGCGGCTGCGGAAGGCGAGACGAGGCGGAGGAGAGACGAGGGAACAGCGCGCGAGCAAGGGGCGTCGTTCGCTCAGCGCACGGTTTCAGCGCGAGCTTCACGACGCTCGAGAGTCTGGATCGCTTTCGCAACTCCTGACCCTGCAGAGAGCAATCGGCTTCTCCGTCGCTCTCTCCCTCCTCCTCCTCCAGCCCTTGTCCAGCCCCTTCAATTCGCTCCAACCGCCTCTTCGGACTGCATGAAGAGGGATGCCTGCGCACACCGTTGAAGCACTGGATTTGTGCCTTGCAACGGTCTCGGGGCGTGGAAGAGCGGGAGAAGGAGGTGGACAGGAGCTCGTAGACCCCGCCTCTCGGCTTGAAGCACACGCCTCGTGTGCTGACGTGTAAGTCGATAATATCGAGTTGCAAGGTTGACCTCCAAGACGCATCGCGAGGATGTTGAAGGTCAGGCGGGAACCGTGCGCGAGCGAACGGCACACGAGACGGCGATTCCGCACGTGCGGGAGTGTCGGAAGTCAAGCCCTTTGAAGCGAGGAGCGGATCGCAGAAGCAAGCTCGTGCAGCAGGGCGACGAGCGGCGCGAGAGCCGGACGAGAGGGCGAAGCTGATGAAGTCGACCAGGTCACGTGACTGGGAGGAAGCTGGCGAAGTGAGCAAAGGCAGCTTTCCCGTGCCACATTCAGCGCCAGGCAGCTCTCGAAGCTTTCCTCTAACGACCTGCAATGCGCGCGATGGACTTTTGGGCGTCGTACAAGGTGCTTGCTCGCCTCGCAATCCAGCTGGTTCGCTTCGACGGCGTTGCGCGCCGATGCAATATCCGCAGTAAGGCGGGAATGCACAAGCTCATGTTGCCATGCTGGAAGGAGCGACCGCGAGCGACGACTTTGAACCGTCGATTGCGAAGGTCGCCAAAGGTCGCTGAAGTACGCTTTCTCGCTGCCCAGGAGGCGGACAACGAGCATTGCGGCCCTCTTCATCGTATTTGCAGAGAGCCCTTTAGTCATCCGCCAAGAGACGGTCAGTGGGGCGCGAGGGGCAGGAGAAATGAGCGGGAGAGACGGACCTCTCCTCTCCTTCGTAGCGGGCCCCGTCGAGCTGCGCTCCAGCAGCCTCAGTCATGTCCGATCTCGCTCTGATAGCCTCGCACAGCTCGCTCCTAGCACACACGCCTCTCCAGCTGTCGGAAGTCAAGCCCGCTCGTTCGAATCCATTCACGTCCTCCAGTCTCGCCCGGCGACAGCTGTACTAGGCAGCTGGTTCCTGGTAGCATGAGTTTTGTTAGACTGGACTGGTCGGCAGCTTGGAGAGCAGTAACATCGAAGAGAGGGTGGTGAAGTTGGGGCGAGGAGCGAGTGGCTCGGTCCACACGCGAGTCGAGTGAGGAGTTCGGCTAGCGGCTGCAGAACTCGATAGGTGCGAGAGCAGTCCTCGCTGTGCCCTCATGCGAAAGGAACCGTTGTCGAGAGCAGGGGAGGGGGACGACGAGGCTGGCCCGGGTCGAGGAGAAGGTCAAGCGCAGCGGGAGTCGATTCGGCGGGAGTCGCAGCGGCACGAGTCCAGCGCAAGAGAGCCTACCAGCCAGCTTCGCGCACGAGGGCGAGGACAAGGAAGAAAGGGCGTTGCGAATCTGATGAACAAACTTTGTGGCGCGCGTCGACGCGGACGCCGAGAGAAACGGATCGCTGTCCGGAAGGAAAGGCGCTCGCTCGCAAGTGACTGCTTAATCGACTCGCTCGACTACTGCACACCACGACTCGAACAGCGAGCAGAGCGGGCGCACTCGCTCGCACCGGCGCAGCACACGCACCCCCTTCTCACGCCCCGCTCGCACCCCGTCTTCTCGCCCTCTCTTCCCTTTCTTCCTCCAGCACAGCGCCCTTCTTCTCCCCTCCCTCTCTCACTCCCTCTCTCACTCCACCCAACTCGAACCACCCACCAATGTCCACCCGCCCTCTCCTCACACCCATCGACCCCTCCTCCATGCCCGCTCGCTCCCCCTCCCCTTCCTCCTCATCCTCCTCTTCCTCAGCTGGATCAGGCGACGACTCGGCTCCTGCGACACCTTCAAAGGACAAGATGCGCGAGTGGACCTTCCCCCGAAACGGTGGGGTCGCTTCGACTTCCTCTTCCTCGACGGGCGGAGCGAGGAACGAGGTGGATGGCATCCATGGACGGAGTTCGTCCGTCGCTCCTTCCTCAGCAGGCGGGCACGCCAGCAATGGCCGGATCCAGAGCCCGTCGTCCGCCAAAGGAGGCGAAGGAGCAGCCTCCCTCGACCTTCGACACCGCTCAAACGCCTCACTCGCCTTCGCCCCTTCGTCCTCGCTCTCTCCTCCAAGCACAACCCTCTCACTCCCCCGCCTCCTCTCTTCCTCCCCCTCCTCGAACTCCTCGCCGAATCGGAACCCGAATCTAGCGAAGTTGGTATACTCCAACATCCGCCGCCGCTCAGCACACGACCTCCTCTTCATCCTCATCTTCGGCGGAGCGTTCTTGTTGTTCGCGAGGGCGTTGGCAGGGGCTGGGTACGACGCGACCCGAGAGAAGTCGCTGGCGGTGGGAGAGGGAGCGGAGGTGAAGCTCCCTCCGGGTTTCTTGCCCCACGAGCAGGGGGAGTATCTGGAGGAAGTACACCAACGACATGGAGACTCGAGCCACGACGTAGGGGAAGATTTGTTGCGCGACTCGCCGGAGGATGTGCATCTTGAGGAGGCGCAGTGCGTTTTCCTTTCTTCATCGTCTCTCTTTGTCTTCTCGAGTGAGTGAGGGCTGATGAGCTCGTGATTCGTGGACGCAGCGCGCATGATGCGGACGAGGTTTACGCCTATCCTCCCTCGGATCCTCCCGCCGACGCGGACGAGGACGAGCCGCTCGCCGCCGCCGATGACGGTCCTTCCTCTCCTTCTTCCTCCGACGACGGCGAGCGAGAGTCTGAGGAGGACGGACCGCAAATCGTTAGGCTTTCTTCTACCTCCTCCGACGAGGCCGACGACTCGCTCGAGGAAAATGATCTACTCGATACCGAGCCACACAACGACGCGGCCGAGGACGAGGACGAGGACGACTCGCCGGCCATTTCTCGCGAAGAAGCAGAACGCGAAGATCCCGAAGCGTTGGACGAAGACGCCGAGGTCGACATCGAACCGACTTTCGACCCACCCTCTCCCTCCTCTCTCGACTCGGAACCTGAAGAGCCGGAGGAACTAACAGCCCTCGAAGAACTGCTCGACTCGGCTTCACTCGAAGCGGAGACGGGCGAACCGTCGTTGCTTGAGTTGCCGCTCGAGGAGGAGGAGAAGAGGGTGAGGGGTTTAGAGCGGGCTGGGAGGGGGAGGGAGGCGCTGCGTGCTGGTGGAGGGAAGAAGGGAGGGAGGGGGAAGGCGAGGGGAGGGAGGAGGATGGAGAGGAGGGTGAGGAGGTAGCGCGCGGTCTCTCTTGCGAATGGTAGAGACGAGGCGCCGTAGATTTGCATTGCGCAGGGAGTTTACTAGAACTTGTACGATAGCTTTGCGTACGAGCGAGAGAGGGTGAAGGCGAGGGTTTGGTCAGGAAGCGAACTTGGACCCGCTGCTTCGAGCTCGTCTCGTCTCCACTCGACCCGCTCAACGCCCCTCGCTCGCACTCCTCAAAGGCTGCTCGCTCCACCTGCTCTGTGCTCGCATTCCCTCACTCGACTCGATCCACCCAACTCGCGCGAGAACAGAGACGAGGAGAGGATGAGCGGCGCGAACGCAACGGGGAAGAAGAAGGTCCTCGACTCGCGCATCCCGGCGCTGATTGCAAAGTGCGTGCACCGTCTCCCTGCTCTATGGGGGTCAATGGAGGGATTGGGGCGGACGGCTGACCCTGGAATGCGCTTGGTACCCCCCTCGTCCGCCGACTCGGTTCTCATCACTCTTCCGACTTTGCGATGACTTTACGCCTCTTGCCGCCTCTCCGACACTCTCAACACCCTCTAAACCATGCTCTTGACCCTGCACAAACCCCTCGCACGCACTCCCGACCTCCACGACCTTTCCCCTCCTCGACGACAGTGGCCTAATCACGAACCACCGCTCGTTCTTCCTGATGGTCGGCGACCGCTCGAAACTCCAACAACAAGTAGTCAACCTGCACTTTTTGTTGAGTCAGTCGGTCGCGGGGTTGGCCAATCCGACGGATGGTGAGTCTCCGTCCCTTCCTTCGACTCTTTCGGGTCTTCCTTGGGCGCGGCTGACCAGGGCATCCTCGAATGTAGCGCAGAAGAAGAACCCGCGCCCGAACGTCCTATGGTGTTACAGGAAAGACTTGGGCTTCAGTACGCATCGAAAACAACGCGAATCAAAGGTCAAACGCGAAGTCAAGAAGGGCAAGAGGGAGTTGGGCGAGCTCGATCCGTTCGAGCTGTTTGTGAGCGTCACGGACGTGCGGTATACGTGAGTCTGGCGCCGGTTCCTCCCTTCGTCGTCGAGGAGGAGAAGGAAGGCTAACCCGCGCGCATACTCGCCAGGTACTACAAAGACACGCACAAGATCCTCGGTCAGACCTTCAACATGCTCGTCTTGCAAGACTTCGAGGCCGTCACGCCCAACTTGCTCGCGAGGACGATCGAGACGGTCGAGGGAGGAGGGATCGTCGTCTGCCTTTTGCAGGGGATGTCGAGTCTGAGGGAGTTGTACAGCATGACAATGGTGCGTGACGAGTCGTGCGTATGGCGAAAGAGCGGAGCTGACGGGGCTCAACTGGCGCGCAGGACGTCCACTCGCGGTACCGCTCCTCCATGTCGGACGCCTCGCCCGTCGCGCGCTTCAACGAGCGCTTCCTCCTCTCTCTCGGCAACAACTCCTCCTGCCTCGTCGTCGACGACGAGCTCAACGTCCTCCCCATCTCGGCGGGCAAGGACATCGTCCCCCTCGACCCGGACTTGGGCGTCGGAGTCGCGCGCTCGTCGAGCAAGGGCAAGCGGAGGGAACAGGAGGGCGAGGCCGAGTTGCGCGCGTTGAAGGAGAGTATGGCCGACACGAAGGGGATCGGGGATGTCCTTGCCGAGGCACGGACGCTCGACCAGGCCAAGGCGATCCTCACGTTCACCGACGCCATCACCTCCAAGTCGCTCTCGCAGACCGTCTCGCTCACTGCCGCGCGTGGACGGGGAAAGTCCGCCGCGCTCGGATTGTCGATCGCGCTTGCGATCCTCCACGGGTACTCGAACGTGTTCGTGACGAGTCCGAGCCCGGAGAACCTCAAGACCTTGTTCGAGTTCATCTTCAAGGGATTCGACAAGCTCGGGTGGGAGGAACACCTCGACTACGATATCGTCCAGAGCACCAACCCCGAATGGAAAGGCGCCGTCGTCCGCGTCAACATCTTCCGCCAGCACCGTCAGACGATCCAGTACATCCAGCCGCAGGACTTCCATGTCCTCGGCCAGGCAGAACTCGTCGTTATCGATGAGGCGGCCGCCATCCCTCTGCCGCTCGTTCGCTCCCTCCTCGGCCCGTACCTCGTCTTCATGGCGTCGACCATCAACGGCTACGAGGGCACCGGCCGCTCGCTCTCCCTCAAGCTCCTCCAGCAGCTGCGAGAGATGTCGCGACCCGCCTCGGCGCTCTCGGCACCCGCGGCGAACGGCGACGGCGCAGGAGCGAAGGGCAGCAGCAGCTCGTCGTCGACTCTCTCGGTCGCCCGCACGCTCAAGGAGATCAAGCTGTCGACGCCGATCCGTTACGCGCCGGGCGACGACATCGAGAAGTGGCTCAACCAGCTCCTCTGCCTCGACGCGACGATCGCGACGCCGAGCAAGAAGACCCTCCAGGGGTGCCCGCACCCGTCGACGTGCGAGCTCTTCTACGTCAACCGCGACACGCTCTTCTCGTACCACCCCGCATCCGAAGTCTTCCTCCAGCGCATGATGAGCCTATACGTCGCGTCTCACTACAAGAACTCGCCAAACGACCTCCAGCTCATGTCGGACGCGCCGGGACACCACCTCTTTGTCCTCCTCCCCCCGCTCAAGGAAGGCGACAACTCGCTTCCGGAACCGCTCGTCGTCGTGCAGGTCGCGCTGGAGGGCAACATCTCGAAGCAGAGCGTCCTCGACAACCTCTCGCGCGGCAAGATGGCTGGAGGAGACTTGATCCCCTGGACGATCACGCAGCAATTCCAGGACGACGACTTTGCGAGCTTGTCGGGCGCGCGGGTCGTCCGGATTGCTGTTCACCCGGATTACGCAAAGATGGGATACGGGTCGAGGACGCTCCAGGCGCTCAACTCGTTCTACAGCGGCGAGTTGCTCAACCTCGACGAGGTCCAGGCCGAGCTCGAGGTCGAGACGTTCGAGGACGTCGCCAAGGTCGAGAAGGTGCGTTTCGGCGTGTTGCCACCGTCTCTCTTCGCATGCTGACCCTCGCTCGGCCGCCCACAGAACGCCTCGCTCCAGACCGACCGCATCGGCATCCGCGACGCTTCCAAGATGCCGCCCCTCCTCCAGCGCCTCTCGGAGCGCCAGCCCGAGAACCTCGACTACCTCGGCACTTCGTACGGCATCACCCCCTCGCTCTTCAAGTTCTGGAAACGCGCGGGCTTCGTCCCGCTATACATGCGCCAGACCCAGAACGAGTTGACGGGCGAGCACTCGTGCATCATGATTCGCGGGCTCAACAAGAACACGGATGAGGCGAGCAGGTGGTTGGGCGCGTTCGCGAACGGTGCGTCTCTCTCGCTCGACTCGGCTTTCGCTTGCGTGCTCACAGGTGACTCGTCCCGCAGACTTCCGCAAGCGCTTCATCACGCTCCTCTCGTTCAAGTTCCGCGAGTTTGGCTCGATCACGGCGCTCAGCATCCTCGAGGGCGCGAGTGCGCTCGACACGGCCGACTCGCGACGAAGTGAGTGCCGCGTCGCTTCTTGCACAAAGCTTCCGCTGACGCCGTCTCTCCCCCAGCCCTCGTCTCGACCGACGTTCGCGACTCGTTCTCGCCCTTCGACCTCAAGCGCCTCGAGTCCTACGGCAACAACATGCTCGACTACCACGTCATCCTCGACCTCCTCCCCGGCCTCGCGTCGCTCTACTTCGCCCGTCGCTTCCCGGAAGACGTCAAGCTCTCGGGCGTGCAGAGCTCGATCTTGTGCGCGCTCGGCCTGCAGCGCAAGAGCGTCGAGGACATCGAGTCGGAGCTCCAGCTGCCGGTTGCGCAGACGCTCGCGCTCTTCGTCAAGGTTATCCGCAAGCTCACCAAGTCGCTCCAGGAGATCTTGAAGGCGGACGTGGCGCGCACGCTTCCTACAGAGGACGCCGCCGCAGCTGCCGCCGCCCGCATCCTCCCCGCCGCGAACGGCTCGAGCGGCGAGGTCTCTGGCGTCGCGACCCAGCTGTCGAACAAGGATGCGATTGCGAAGGAGCTCGAGGAGGAGGGCAACGAGGTGCTTAAGCAGCTCAAGGAGCAGCAGCGCGAGGTCATCGACTCGCTCGACCTGAAGCAGTAAGTAAGGGGTCGCTTCCCTTTGTGCGCGTTGCCTTGTGCTGACCGTCTTGCCTGCGCAGGTACGCTATTGGCGGCTCAAAGGACGAGTGGGCGGCGGCCGAGGCGCAAGTTGCGGCCAAGGTCCTCGGCAGCAAGCAGAGTCTCTCGTCGACCGTCTCGATCAAGAACCCGAACTCGACCAAGGCGCTCAAGCGCAAGGGACCCGAGCAGGAGGAGGGCAAGAGCGGTGCAGGCGGCAAGGCGAAGAAGGACAAGAAGCGGAGGAAGCAGTGAGGACGCGCTTTGCAGGTTTTCCTAGACTCTCTCCCATGTTGAAACAACAGTTCTCGCACCTGTGACGCGGCATGAGCGAGGCAATTGTAGTGTTGCAAGCGGACAGGAAAGACGATGGTGCTAGTCCGCTTCAAGCTGCGCCCTCATGGCCGCCTCTTTTGCCGCCGCAAGCCGCTTCTTCCTCGCCTCCTCAGACTCGCGCAGCCTCTTGCGGTACGCCAACTCCTTGCGAGCGAGCTTGACGGCGAGTCCTTCGAATTCGATGCCCTCCTTGTCTGCGAGCTTCAGCAAGTCGGCCAGTCCCGCGAGCGTGAAGACATCCGTCCAACCGTCGTATTGAGGAACGTCGCTGTACTCGAACTCGTCTTCCCAGTCGTCAGGTTCGCCACCCAAGTCGATGGCAAGGTATTCGCAGTGGTCGAACACCAGGTTGATCCCGACGAGGGACAGGACAGGAAGCTTGTCTGGGCCGCTGACGAGCGACTTGAGGTCTGTCGTAGAGACTTCGGCGCCGGTGAAGAAGTACAGGCGTTCAATGTGTTTCAGGCCGCGCACCGTCTCGAGACAGCTGTGCAGACTTGTGCCGGTGCGGAACTCGATGCCGTAGAGGTTTGTGAAACGCCTGAGTGCGACGTGAAGGTCTTCTGTTGGCTGCGAGAGTCGGAGGAAGGAGAGACCATTGACCTCTTGCGGGTCTCGTACGACATCGAGGAAGGAAGCGAAGGAATCATCCGTGCGGGCCGTGCTGTAATCGTGGAGATAGAGCGCATCGCTGGCCCTGAGCCAGTGCACGAAGTCGCGAGCAGCCGGGTTGTTGAGCACAGGTCCGCGAAGCGTGACGGACCAGCAAAAAGGCGCCCAGTCTGGTTCCCTCGTCACGCGGTATCGACCGAGACTGTCGAGTTCGCGTTCGACATGGAGTGTGAGTTTGCATAGCGATGGGTATCGGTTAAGGTTTGCGTAGTGGCTGATCGCGAAGGGGTTGGCCCAGCCTTCGAGCGGGTCGTGAATGCGAAGGGTCGTCAGGCGAGGCAGGAGACGGCGCGCGCCCGTTGGAGCGAGCACCATCTTGGCGATACGTGGCGCCCTCTCGATACCGAGGACATCAAGATTCGTAAGCCCGGCGAAGAGACCCGTCAAGTCGACAGCTCGAGGTGTTCCGTCGTCTGGCTTGTTCTTCAGCTCAAGGTATAGACTTCCGACGCTCGCTATGGCGCTGGCACTTTGAAGGGCGAGATCGCAGAGCTTCTGCAGGCGGTCGTACGTCTTGACAATCGTGTCGCCGAATGTCGCCTCTCGTGCGAAAGGGAGGAACGCCTTCGAGACCGCCCCGAGATACGGGCCCTCTTTCGCGTCCTGAACGCGCTGACAGATGTCGAGGAAGAGTTCGGCAGGAAGCTTGGTCAGGTAGTCGGTCATCGCGAGGCTGTTGTCGCGAGAAGAGACGAGGTCAGCCGGTTCGAGCGATGAGGATGCGAGAGGGATGGAGAGCGCATTTGGGCGAGTGCGAAGGCGTGTGAGCGTGTTCAGAAGTTGTAAGGAGGCGATAGCAGCAAGCGCAAGTCGTCTTGACTCGTAGCGAGAGCGTGAGCAGCGAGCGAGGGAGCGGGAGGAGGACAAGAGGGTGAAGGGCCGCTCTCGCGCGACTACCGGATTCGCTGCGCCTTTCGAGAGCTTCAGAGACATATCTGCGACGCTTGACAGCGATGCAAGAACGCGCAAGAAATGAACGCGGAAGAGGACGCCGCGAGATTCGGCAAGTTGCAAGCCAAAGTCGACAATCTGTCCACAACAATCGACGCACTCCGCTCCTCCGCCGGCCGATGACCCTAACTCGACGCCTTCGATGCGGCGGCGGCCCTGCGACGACAGGCGAGCTCCTGGCGCGCGAGCTTGACGGCGAGTCCCTCGCACTTGACGCCCTCCTTGTCCGCAACCTCAAGCAAGTCGGCGAGTCCCTTCAGCGTGAAGTCGTCGGTCCACCCGTCGTAACGCTCCCACTCGTCGTCACTATCCGAATCAGTCCCGTAAGGGTTGCTCCCGACGTCGCGGATGTTCTGCAGGTCGATAGTTTCGAGTGAAGGATGCTTCTTCGGTCCGGTGATAAGGCAGGCGAGATCGTCAGTCGTGATGGTGGTCCAGGCATCAAGCGTGATCTCCTTGAGAAGCTTCATGTCGCGGAGTGCAGAGACGCAGTCGCGGTGCCAGGTCCCTGCGCGAAACTCCACGCCGACCGACAAGCAATCGAATTTGCGCAGCGCCCTGCCAAGGTTCTCGTCGCATCCCATCCGGCACAGCGAGAGGAAGATCACAGAGTCTGGCTCCGGGACCTCCTCAAGGAGGGCGGCGAGGGAGTCGTTCGCACCCTCTGTCATCGGAGTGTCGTGCAGAGTCACACCCCGCGGGCACTCAATCCAGGCGAGAAAGTCGCGAACTGCTGGATTGTCAAGGATAGGCCCGCACAGCGCAATCCACCATCCGAAAGGTACGAAGGGCGGTGGGGATCGAGGCAGGTAACGGCCAAGACTGGCGCGGGTCCGGAGAATGAGCAGGTCGAGGGAGTCAAGTGCCGGGTAGTACTCCAGATTGGCGTAGTGCGCCGGTGCGAAGGGGTTCGCCCAGCCCTCGAAGAGGTCTTCGACCGCGAGTAGCTCCGTCTGAGATAGCGAAGACCGTGTATTTCTCCGCCCCGGGTATGGGAGAAGCGTAGAAGGGAGAAGAGTGTTGATGATGGAGGAGAAATGAAGGCGGGAGGGCGGGTTAGGCGAGGCGTGCGAAGTCGACTCGAAGGATAGAGGCAGCGATGGCTGGGTCTGATCGGATGTAGATCTCCCACGCCTTGGACGACCAGCGACCGCAACGCTTGATCACGTCCGAGTGGACACCGAGCGAGGCGAGGAAGGTAGCGCCGCCGGCGCGCAGGCTGTGACCCGTGCAGCCGGGAGCGAGGAGGCGAAGGCGACTGCTGAAGAAGGACCGAGGCGGTGGGAGGGCGTCGTGGCGAGTGAAGAAGTAGGGGTGGGTGGGGAAGAGCGAGTCGCGTCGTTTGAGGTACAGCCGGAACAGCTTGACGCAGTCGAAGTCGACGATGCCGTTCTGCGAGATGATCGAGATTGTCGCGCCCTGCCAAAGGTAGTCCTGCTTGTCGTAGGGGAGGAAAAAAGAGAAGGCGGTTTCCGACTGGAAAGCGACTGAGTCGCGGCGAATGTACTTCCTCGGGTCGCGTTCCGCTGTGCGATTGGCACGCACCATCGTTCCGAGGCGCATCAGGCCGCAAAAGCCGACGGTAGCCATCGCTGCTGCCAGCAGGTCGTCGTACGAAGCTCCGGGTCGCAATGCGTGCGCGACGAAGGCGCGGAGGTGTTCCGGCAGGAGCGGCGGTGCACGCTTCGGTGTGTGCGGGTTGCGCTTGGCGAAGCCGCGGAGCGCGTCGCGGACGTCCGGGTGACTGCGGATCGAAGCCCACTCCTCATCCGAGAAGCGATGGTGCCATCTCAGTGCGGAGAGGACCTTCTGGACGCCTCGTATCCGATGACTGCACCAGACAACGAAGAGCTTGAGTTTGTACGCCGTCGGGCGTGGACTGAACTTGTAGATGCGGAGGAAAGGGAACCAATGGTTCTTGAGGTCTTGGGTGTACGAGCGGCGAGTGGACGCCTCGCGCGAGTGCTGGATGAAACTGTCGGCTTCCGCCTCGAGTGCCGCGAGGGAAGGGTTCGGCTGGCGAGCCGAGCGAGAGGAGGGGAATTGCGAGCGCTTGGAGATCCGCACTTGACGACTCCTCGGAGCGTAGCGGCTCATTGCGCTGCCCTCTCCCGCGATGGCGATGCGGAGAGGGTTGCTGGAGAGTCGTAGGTTGAGAAGTGTGGGAAGAGACGGCGGAGCTCGTCGAGCGGAAGGCGCGACAGCTTATCTGCTGTGACGTTGCGGTCGCCTGGGATGTGCTCGATGCGAAGATCAACCTTCCGCTGCCGCAGCGCGTCGTAGGCAGATGAGACGAGTGGCTGTATGTCGTCCTTCGCGGATCCCGAGTCGAAGGCGTAGACGGACGAGGCGCTATCGGAGCGCACGAGCAGCCGCCTCAAGTCGGGGTTCCGCTCGAGCACGAGCATGATTGCGTCGTGTACCGCGCGAGCTTCGGCAAGAGCGATGCCGTCGAGAGGCAAAGGAAGGCGACTTGAGAAGGCCAGCCGAGGTCCGTCCGGCGAGGACTTCCACCAGGCTCCTAGGCCTGTTGACCCGTTGGCCCCGTGTAGGCAGGCGTCAGTGTACGCAATGATGTCGGCCTCGCGTCCGCTCCAAGGTTCGAGAGCGGGATCGAGGAGGTAAAGCGGAGGGCTGTTCTCCAGCTCGTCGATAAGTTGCCGCAAGTCGCGCCGGTTTTGGTCGTTGAGCGGAACGAGGCCTCGGGGACGCGTTTTCCCGGCGGTTTTGTCGTAGAGCGAGCGCAGAGTGAAGCGGATCCAAGGGTTCGTCGTTGAAGCCCACTGGGCGTACCCCGTTAGGCGCCACCAGTCTCGGAGCGGCGGTTCACCCTGAGCGATGAACGCTTGGACGAAGGCGACGAAGTCGGCACGAGCTTGAGCGGGCAGCGTGACCGTGAGCGAAGGGCCGTCGACGAGGTGCCCGAGGATGATGAGCGACGACCCGCTCTCTTGCTTATCCCATTCCCAGGGAACACCCAGTGTCTTCCACGCGACGAGCACCGTTCCTTGCTCGAGCGGGACGGCGCGGGATTCGCCGGTCTCCGGATGTTGGACAGTGACGGTCTTGCCAGAGACGTCGTAGCCGAAGGTGTCGTCAACGAACAGGAGGGGAAACTCGAGCCCTAGGCGATGCCGGATGCACCAGTGGATTGTGTTGATAACCGTGCACCAGAGCTTGGGCGAAAAGCGACCGCCGAAGACGAGCCTGTGGTCGACGTAGTAGACGAAGCGGTACCGATTCTTGCGAGCGTCCCAGACTCGAGAACGGTGAACCTGCTTGAGTTGCCATTGCGGTGCGACAGGGATCGTACGGAAAGCGCCCGACACGTCGCTCTTCCACAGCACGCCTCGCGAGTCCTCGCCGCGGAGACGTCGATGCCGCATGAGGCGCCCGAGTTCGCTGATCGTGTCGTAGTACGTTCTGGCGACCTCCCGCGAGACGCCGTTGTTCAGACCGGAAGCTGACATGTCGACGACGGCGCGAGGCTTGCGCTTGTCGAGCCTGACGACGAACATAGGCGAGACGACCATGCCGGGAAGGAGGGTAGTGAAGGACTCGGAGAGGTAACCCTTGTCGTAGTCCTTTGCGAGCTGCGTGTTGAGCAGGTCGTGGTCGTCGTCCTCGATATCGTGAGGCGGCGAGTCGGAGAGGTCGAATTCGCCCGAGTGGCCGGGCCAGAAGCCCTGCTCGAACCCGAGGAGGATCGACTCGACGAGCGGGCGGTTCGGATGCGGTGCCAGCCACATCCGAAGCCTGTCCTGGTCGATGGGTGAAGAGACGTTGAAGAGATGCGGCGCCTGCGCCAACGTGCTTGAGGTGACGGGGTCGGAGAGGACGGAAGCAGGGATGGATGGTAGCGGAGGCTCGAGAGTTGGGTCGGCGGTGCGGTCGACGGCCGGCGTCGACGGAGAGGAGGAAGCGAAGAAGAGGCCGCGTCGAAGGCGAGGGGTGGAGCTCGTACCGGCGAGTCGGTAGCCCTCGCGAATCGTATCCTCCTCCTCACTTCCTGACCGAGAAAGGAGCGACTGGATTAGGGTTTCCTCCTCCGGCGCCTCCTGAGCGCTTAGGGCAGGCCGGGTCGAGCCGCCCATGGCCAGCGCTGCCGCAAGCAGCACAGATATGACGACGGCGCGGCTTGCGCCGGTTGCAGTCGACGCGGTCGTGGTCTTCGCCTTCGTTGAACCGCGCGCAAATGTCGTTTGGGTAGTCGTACCCGTAAGAGCGTCTGCGCGGCGCGGAGCGCGGCGACTCGGAATCGCTGTCGCGCTGGCGCCGACGGGAGCCGCTTCCTCCGGACGACGAGGCGTGCGTCGGGGAGAAGTTGATGAACCGCATCTGAGCGGCGCTGTCGACTCGAGCATCGTCGAGCGTCCATCCGTAGCCGAACGTGCCGAAGTTGCGACGGTAGTCGTCGTCGTAGTCGCGGTACTGGGCGAAGAGGTCGGGGCGAGCGTAGCAACTGCCCATGAACCATTCTCGGTACCGTTCGAGCTCCTTGCGCCGGTGCCGGTACATCTCGACTGTGAGCCTCGTGACTTTGTCGAAGACGAATAGCCACGAGAGGATGTCCGGGATCTTGGTCGAGGGAGGTGGTTTGTCGACGAAGAGGTCGCCGCCGACGTGAGCAACCGAGCGATGGCCGGGCTTGTGCGCGTAGATCTGCCCGTAATCGACCGGCAAGCCCTTGATGATGGCTTCTGCAGCGGCGACAGGCATTGCGGCAGCCTCATTCTGCGCGCGAGTCTTGACGACGCTCTTGAACTTCGAATTGCGGTAGGCTTGGGCGAGCTCGTACGTCTTGAGAGCGATGTCGGGTACGCGGTCAAGCTGGACGGCGTTGCTCGTGCTGAGATTGGCAGCGGCTTGGGCGAGGACGTCGTTCGAGATGCCCTTGTCGACTTTGAGGTCCGGCTCGTCCTCGTCGCTGTCCGCTGGGCGACGCTGGCCGTAGTCTTCGTCCTCGTCCGACGAATCGCCGCCGCCGTCCGACGGGTCGCCGCTGTTGTCGCCGCCGGCTCCTGCGCCGCTATCGAAGTCGGCTGCGCGAGGGCGGTTGGCCTTGCGGCTCGTGCCGGCGGGCCGACCGGTGTCCTTGCCCTTGGAACGAGGCTGCGGCTGGTCGTCCTCGCCTTTGTCGAGGAGCTCGTCGAGCTGGGCGTTGAGCGAAGGGCCGCCTTGACCCGCGCCGGACGAGCTAGCGTGTGAACGCGCGGCGCTGCTGGCGCTTCCTCCTCCACGCTCGCCCGCTGGGGCTGAAGGCGCGCGAGAACGAGGCTTCCCGTCTTTGGTGAAGAGGTGGAGGATGTTGTCCGGGTTATCGAAGAGGCCGATGTTCCGCTCGCGAACGACTTGGGCGAAGAGCGGGACAGTCGCGTCGATGTCCATGTCGCGGAAGGGGAGCTCGCCGGCGTCGTTGGCCACGAGGGCGGTTCGGGCTGTCGAGACCCCTTTGGCGAAGCGAGCCCAGTACAAACGGCCGTCGCCTTGAAGCGGCTGAATGAGGGCAGTGACGCCGTCGCTCGTCTGCTGATTCGGTGCATTGACGTAGGCGATAAGGGCAACTAAGATGGCGCGGGTCGTGGCCTTGTCGGTTCCGAAGAGAGAGATGGGCGTGGTCGAGCCGGTTGAGACCATGAGGAAGATGGAGACCTCGGTCGCTGGCGTGGATCTTAAAGACCTCGAGAGCTGAAAGGCAAGCAAGCGGGTTAGCCTCTGTGCGGAGCAGAGAGGATCCTCGAGCGCTGCTCACCTGAAAGGCAAGCAAGCGGGAGCGGAGCTGCCTGAGGAGGAGACGGTCTAGCTGGCACTAGACGATCGTCTGCGCGGAGCGCGAGGAGTGTCAGCCTGCGCTGCGGAGCAAGCGGCAGGGAGTCCGAGGACGTACGGAGCAGATCTCGAGGAGTCGAGGGATCCGAGGGAAGCGACGAGGAGGATGTGTGCGTGCGAGCTGCGGAGCGGCGCGAGTCCAAGTTAGCCTCCGACGCGAAGCGACGGTCCAGTAGGCTACGCACCGAGCGACGAGTGGCTGGAGCTGCACAGTACGACGAGTCGGTAAGCGACTCGAAGCGAGGGGGTGCGAACGGAGAACGGAGCGACCGCCTCCTCCCCGCCTCTCGGACAAAGGGTAGCTGCAGACAATCGAACTCACTGGCTGCCCTGCATCCCAGCCTCCTAACCGCCATTGTTCGTCCCCGGCCCACCGCCAACAAAGGGAGTGTGGGGAAGGAGGGAGCCTCCGCTCGCGCTCAAAGCAGTGCGCCAACTCGCTCCGCAAGCTGCGCTCGAAAGCGAACCGACCATCGATGGAAAGGGCTTGCAGACAAGGCAGCGACGGTGACGAACGGCGGCCCTTGCGAGGCGCAAGGACCATCTTGGCAATGCGACTGGAGCCTCGCACGTCCAGCGCAGTCGTGTTGACGAGGGACTGGAACAATGCCGTCAATTCCTTCGATTTGGGGAGGTCGAGATCTTTGGCGTCCTCAAGCTCGAGTCGAAGAGTTCGGATCGACAGAACGACGTCTGACGCGCATTTCGCCATGTCGCACAGCTTCTGCAGGCGGTCGTACGTCCTGACTGTCGTGTCGCCGAAAGTCGCCTCTCGCGCGAGACGGAGGAACGCCTTCGAGACGGCTCCGAGGTACGGGCCCTGCTTCGCGTCCTGGACGCGCTGGCAGATGTCGAGGAAGAGTTCGGTAGGGAGCTTGGTCAAGTAGTCGGTCATCGCGAGGCTGTTGTCGCGAGAAGAGACGAGGTCAGCCGATTCGAGCGATGAGGATACAAGGGCGGTGAGCAGCGCACCTTGGGCGAGTGCGAGGGCGTGTGAGCGTGTTGAGAGGTTGTAAAGAGGCGATGGCAACAAGCGCAAGTCGTCTTGAGTGGTAGCAAGAGCGTGTGCAGCGAGCGAGCGAGCCGGAGGAGGACAAGAAGGAACAGGCGGGCGTCTCTCGCTTCATACGCCCAAAGCTGAATGGGAATTCTGGCAGCGTATCGTGTGGAGACTCGTGCCGCTGAAGCTGGGCCTAGAAAGCGAAGCGACGCGCTTCTCCTCCTCCTTCTCCTCGCCTCGCCCGCAAGCCTCTCCTCACCCAACGACCTCCGTCATCCACGGCGAGACCTCTTCCATCTTGACCAACTCTTCCCCAAGCCTCTTGACATTATCGACCCTCAACTCCCTCAGCCCCCCCAGCCTCCCAAGAACCCTCACAACCTCCTCCGTCCTCTTCTTCTCCCTCTCCCACGCATGCCTGTCCCGGAACGCGATCTCAAATTTCTCGACGCTCTCCGCCAATCCGCCGCACGAATCCTCCTCGATAAGCGTCTGGAAGGAATCGAAGCGAGCGAGGGAAGTGAGGAGGGTGTGACGGAAGTAGAGCGTGCGGGAGAGCGGGAGGAGCGAGGGATGGATTTGGGCGGGGTAGAGGAGCGGAAGCCAGGGAGGGGCCATCTCCTGGACGTGCGTGAAGATGCGGAACTGGACGTCGGTTGGGAGGGCGAGGAGGGACGGACGAGGGCGGTGAGGGGACGCGTGCATGGCGGTGTAGTCTGTCAGGGAGTAAGCGGAGGGCGTGATTGGCCTTTGACCGCGAAACATACGTTGTTTGCGAGAGGCGACAGTTGGAGGCAAGAGAGAGAGGAAGGAGAAGCGGAAATCGCTGGTCTTGTCGTGCAGCGTGTCCCTTTCGCAGCGGCACAACAAGGCAGCCTGAAAGGCGAGCTGTTCAAGTCGTCGCTGAGCCTGCTCGCAAGCCAGAACAGCGCTCGCAAGCTCGAAGCAAACTTAAGAAGGTCCTCCCTCCCTTGCCTCCTCCTCCTCCTCGTCCCTCGCTCCTGCACGCCGCACGCTGGAGACTACTACGAGTGAATGCATTTCGATGACTTTTGGCGCTTGTGATGCGGAGCGAGCGAATGTGCGATGGATGGGATGGGATGGAGTGTCCTTCGAGCGAGAGCGAGAGTGTGGATTGGTACAACGAGGTGAACGAGCGACGACGACGAAAAACAGAGCGGAGAAGAACAGTGACGGCGACCAGAAAAACGAAAAGCACGACCCTCAACTCGACCCTTCTAACCTCTTGAAGCGGCGACGAATCTACTCCTTCTTGACCTCCGAGGACGGCGCAGGCGCAGGAAGCGAGGGCGACGTCGCCTTGCCCCACTTCTTTTTGAGCTTGGGGATGACGTAGCGGAGGGACTTGACGGGTCCGGCGGAGAGGATGCCCTTGAGGGACTGGTTGAACGTTGGGCGAGCGACGATCTGCGCGAGACCTGTTCCGTGTCGAGCGTGAGCGAGACTCAGAGACTCATCCACAGAGAGAGGCGAACGCACTCCTGTTCATGACCTCCTTGAACTCGTCATCCGTGACAATCCTCTCCCACATCCTCTGACCCACAAGATCAATCCCGCCCTTCTCCGTCTCCCCACTCTCCTCCTTCTCCCTTCTCTCCCTCTCGCGGCCCGTCAACGCGCCCTCCAAATTCCACTTCCGCTCGTAGTGGCCCAACACTTTGTCCCTCAGTCCGACGGGGAGTCGACTCGCCGTGTGCGCGCGGACGACAGGCGCCAAGTCCTGCCTCATCAACCTGATCCCTCCAACCTCCTCTCCCAACCCCAATCCCGAGGGAGGAGGAACCTCCCCAATCACATGCACGGCCTTCCAAAAACTCTTCAACAACCCGCCATACAAACCCCTGAACGCGCCCAATTGAGCCGCGACGATGTTGCGCACTTTGAGCGGGTTCTCGCCGACTCGCATGCGGAAATCGCCGCGGTAGGAGAGGCCGGCTATTTCTTCAAACAGCTCGACTTCGGTGAAGGATTCGGGGAGGAGGAGGAGCGCGGTGCGGAGGGCCGAGGCGAGGTTCACTTGGTTCGCGAGGCGCACGCGCGCGTCGTCGTGGAGGATGCGGACCTGCGGGCGTTGTTGTCAGCTGAGGAGGAAAGGAGGCGAGGGAGGGACGGGACGAACGGGCTTCTGCGTCCGACCAGAGATGTAGAGTGTCTCCCAGTCGAGCAAGTCGCGGCAGAGCGCATCAATCGAGATGACGCCGTACTTGAGAAGCTGTGCGTCAACACCTCAGTCGCTCAGTCAGCTCCGCGCTCCAGCCTGTGAAGCCAACGCCCATCGCGAGGGACGCACCTTCCCCTCAACCTCGACATCCACATTAAACCACACCTCCGCCCCCAGTCCCTTCTCCTGCATCCACGCAACCGCGTTGCTACCCATCAGACGCATAGGGAGCGAGTAGTGGTCTGGGTGTTGTTGCATGTTGATGGCGTGCCAGTGCGAGGGGTGGGAGACGGCAAAGATGAAGTCTAGGAGGGGCTTGTCCTGTGCGCCAGCTCAACCGATCAGCACCGAGACTCGTTTGAGGGAGAGAAGCAGTGCGAGGAGGGCAGAGTTGAAACGCACCTCCTTCGCATACCCCTTCTGCCTAAACACCCCACTCCCATACGCAAACGCATATCTAACGGGCGCCTTGAAACTCTTCATGACGTCCTCCAAGTCGCGCTGGACTTCGGGAGGGACATCGATGATTTGGTTGCGCCCGAACGAGGAGGGGAGGTCCGTCATTGAGGTTATGCGGCGACGCGGGAGGCGGGCGGTTGAGGGCGGTGGGGAGATGGGTGGTTGTGGAGTGGAGGAGGGGTAAGCCGCTGGAGGCTCTGTCTGCGTGGATGCGGGTGAGGGAGAGGCTCTTGACGAGGCGGAAGCCGACGAAGGGAGGATTCGTCGTCGCGGGTCTTTGGGGACGCTCGGCGGCGGGAACTGACTCGCATGGCTCGTCTGTCTCTCGGTGTCGAGTTGCGTGAACCGAGTCGAGGAGAATGCGCGGATGGGCGACGAAGCCGCGGTGAGCCGGAGCCGGACGACGGAGGGCGAGTGCAGGCGTGCGAGAGGAGCGGCGGCGGGTCGGACGGGGATAGCGAGTCGGAGCATGCTGGGAGAGAATGGCCGGCGAACTGGTCGAAGGGAAGAGGGTGTGCGGGAATTTGGGGGTGTTGGATTGATGAGAAGGCTGTGCGGAGTGCGAGCGGGAGTCAGCGCTGGGGTCCTTCGGTTGGCGTCCACAATGCTGCGGTGGTCCGTCACAGTGCTCTTGTCGCTCGGCAGGTCCAGCTGAGCCGTGCAGAGTGCGGGCTAGGGAACGGCGGTTGTTCGAGGCGATGAAGCGGGAGTTGGGCGACGGTGGACGCACCTGGAGCTGGGCGAGCGAGTCGGGTGGGTTGCGAGTGTGCTGGTGGTGTGTGTGCGGGTGTAGCTTGTGTACGAGTTCGGCTGAGCGGGTGGAAGAGGGTGAAGAGGACTGCGACGCTCCGCCGTCTCGTCAGCACCCCGAGGGAAAAATCGCAGAGTAGCTCGGAATGCGTACGAGGGTGTCACAAGCAGTGCAGTCTAGTCAGAACGGCTCCTGATGTAGTGCGAGAGGAGAACCGGGTTGTAATGGGCTGAATACAGCTCGTGTTTGTAATGAGCTGAATACAACGAGGGGACCTTCCTCGTTCGGGCCTTGGTCGTCGACCAGCCACGCACTCCGTTCCACCTCAAAGCCTCCTGGCTGGATTGTCAGACTCCAGACAATGTACTCGTGCTAAGCAACCCACATTAATCCCGCTCGGCCATCTTGCCAGCCTCTCTCTCCCGCTCCTCTCGTTTCTTCCTCATCTCGCTCGCTGTCCTCGTCTTTGCTTGCGACTGACTGCTGTATTCTGAGCGCTCTCGAGAGCCTGCGTGCTCTGAGCTGTCCTATAGCGACTCTGCCATCTCGCGCAGACGTACGTCCTCCTCCTCCTCCCCACTCCTCATGTCTCTCCCTCGCTGACCCTTCCGTCTCCCTCTCCAGCGATTTCAGCATGTCCAACCCCTCCAGCTCCCGTCTCCACCGGCGCACCTCGTCCGCCGCGCTCCACACATCCTACACCCCCCTCGTCGGCGGGCCAGGCGACATCGCCTCCTCACTCGACCCGGCGCCGGCCTTCTCGAGCGCGACTGCGCCGCACAGTCGGAGCGTCTCTCTCGGATACGCTGAAGTCGATGCAGAAGACGTGGACGAGAAGAAGGACGACGAGGGAGAGGAGAAAGACGGCTTGATCCCGCGGTACAACAACCCCTCGCGACTCGGCTCAGGCGCGGGAGGGTGGCGCTCCGTCCCTTCTCGCAAGCGCCGAGGGGGAGGAGGGTGGTGGAAGTGCAAGCTTTTCCTCGTCTTCCTCGTCGCGACGGCGGTGGGAGGACTGGTCTGGTACTGGTTCTTTGCGCCGCCTTCGACGAGGGACGCGATGGAGGAGGTTAAGGGGTGGTGGAGTGCGTTCAGGAGTGGGACCACGAGTGCAGCGGGCCCGCAAGAAACGGGAGTCGGATGGAGCGGCCTCAAGGTGGACGAAATCAACTGGACCACAACTACGCCCGCAGCGTCTCACTCTCACGCCCGTTCGACTGCCGCCGCATCGACCAGGTTCCGCGTTGCCGCCGCTCGTCCAACCTCTCTCTCGACAGCATCACACTTCGCCCACGTCGAGCAGGCGATCAAGAACGGCTCGTTGGGCGCTTACAAGTGGCATGCGGTCTTGCCGCGCATCGAGGGGGAAAACGGACGAGTGATCGTCGTTGGTGCGTCTTGTCGCGCTCTCTCACTCCTTCCCTCTTGTGAGCGGAAGTGACTGATCCAAATTGCGAGGACGGCGTACAGGCGACGTCCACGGCACGCACCGCTCGCTCCTCTCCCTCCTCTCCCACCTGCACTACACCCCCTCCTCTTCCCCCCGCTCCAGCGATGTATTGATCCACACCGGCGACCTCCCGCACAAATCGTCCCTCGCCTCCTCCCTCTCCACCATCTCCCTCCTCCGCCAACTGGGCGCAAAGGGTGTGAGGGGTAACACGGATCAGAGGGTGATCGAGTGGAGGGTTTGGATGGAAAGTGTTGGGCCGCTCGACCTCTCTACCTTCGAGCAGGAGGAAGGGGGGAGGAAGGCGGGCGCGTATAGGGTGCCGGACCGTTTGAAAGGCGGGCAGAATCCCTCGTTCGGACAGGTGAGGAGGCCCAGTCGGCCTTTGACTGCTGACGAGGAGTACGGGGTGCCTCAGCCGAGGGCGAGGGAGAAGCGCGCGGCGGGAAGTTCGTGGTTTGGCTGGTTGACGGGGGACGAGGAGGAGGAGTTTGAGAGTGCCGAAGCGGATGCGGAGTTGTTGCAGGAGTTGAGCAGCACCGCGAGGGTGGAGGAAGAGCAGACGAGCGCGGTGAAGGAGACGACGGGACGGAGGAGACCTTTCGGGCGGCCCACCTCGACGGGGGCTTCATCCGCTTCGGCCACGACCGCGACACGCTCCTCCGCCGCCTCTCGCCCATCCACGACCTCCTCCTCCTCCTCCGCATCCGACGGCTCCCTCCTCGGCCCTCTCTACTCCCATCTCTCCCCCTCCTTCCCCTCCTCCCGCCTCTACGCACTCAATCTCCCCCTCCCTCCCCCCTCCTCCGGCCTAACCTGGGGCTCTCCCGAATTCGAACTCGCGCGCCACTTGCCCGCCGCTGATTTCCAGTACCTCAAGGATTTGCCGCTCACGTTGTGGGTGGAAGAGTTGGGGAGTTGGGTTGTTCATGCGGGGATGGTTGCGCGCTCGAATTCGTCTACTCTTCAGCATGCAGCGGGAGGGAAAGGATGGTCGGCGCACGACTTTCCCCCAAACGCCATGCTCGACTCGTCCAACCCTCGCGCCTTCGCTCCCTCTTCATCACGCATCTCCCGCCTCCTCCGCTCCTCCTCAAAATGGTCGATCCTCCTTGAGGAACCCAATACCGATCCTTGGACGCTCATGAATCTCCGAACGCTCGAACCCGAGGAGGAGGAGGGACGATGGAGGGTTAGTGCCAAGGGAGGGAGGAAGGCGAGTCAGGGAAGCAGGCCGTGGTGGAAGCTTTGGGAGGAGGAGATGGGCACTTGCGCGAAGCGGGCTGGAGAGAACGAGGAGGAGGACGAGGAGGAAGGCGGATGTGAGGCGGCGGGGATCGTGTATGGGCATTGGGCGGGCCAGGGCCTACAGGTTCACGAGCACTCGTGCGTCGCGTGTCCTCCTCGACTTTCCACTCACTTGCTGACCTTGTTCTGTGCGCTCAGGATTGGCCTCGACACAGGCTGCGTCTACGGCCGCCGCCTCTCGGCTCTCGTCGTTCCGCTCGCCAACTCCTCCCGCTCCTCTACCTTTGCCTCCAGCTCTTCGCACGCATGGAAGTCGTCTCTGTCCGCCTCGACCACCGCCACAACGCGCGGGTCAAACCCCAAGGCGAAAGGAAAGGCGAATTGGCATGGCGGGATGCAGAAGGTTACCGTCTCGGCGCCAGCTCCGTCCGCGACGTCAGCTTCATCGGCTTCCTCTCGCTCCTACGCCTTGCAGGCGACTTCGGCTGCCGGCGCGAAGGCGACGCCCTGGGCTTACGACGGCTACGAAGAAGACGAGCTCGCCTACCCCGACTCTTCTCCCTCAGCCTCCTCCGCCTCCGCCGACTCCGACTCGAAGACGAACTCCAACATTCCCTGGTGGAAACCCTGGAAGCGCGCCCCGCCTCAAGGACGACCCGGTGTCGCTCCTTGGGAAGGAATGGAAGAGCTCCAGGTGGACTTTGACGCGGACGAGGCGGATGAAGAGGAGAAGATGGGAGGGATGACGGAGGTTTGGACGGGTGGGAAGAAGGCGAGACCGACTGCGTCTAGGACGACGAGCCCGAGCGCTGTTGCGACACCAAGTCTAACGACGCCGTCGCTTTCGGCGCTACTGGCGGAGGCCGCGGACGAGCTCGACTCGAGCGCGTTCCATGAACGGCGGGTTACGCTTCACAACGGACGGACGGGGCAGATCGTTAGCGTTGACTGTGCGGGAGAGGTCGAGGTGGATTGAGCGAGGCGAGTTGACGGCCGTGTATCCCTTTACATACCCACGCTCTCGCTGGTTCGAAGCAACTCTGTAGCATCCTTTCGAACGTGCTATCGTTATCTCACGCGAAGTCGTAGCGAATCCGTCGAGAGGGAAGACGATATGTCACAGTGTCTTCGTTTTGCGAGGCTGCTGCCGGACAGTCTACGACTCGCCACCGCCTCAGATCCGCACCGACGTGTCCCTCTTCGTCAAGTTGCGCAGATCTTGTTCTGTGCACGGTGAAGCACTCGGATCAGCTTCCGGGGTTCAGGACGCTTGAGGACCGAACGAGCGAGCTCGCCGACGCACCTATTCCCCACACATGCGCCCTCAAATTCAACACCTCCAAGTGCTCGCTTTCGAACAACTTGGTGTACTCGCCGCGGAGCGAGTCGACCTGCTTCTTTGTCGCGGAGGAGGACTCGAGTTTCGAGATGGCGGATTCGAGGGAGGAGATGCGCGACAGGTGGGTTGACATCTGCTCATGGACAAGGTCAGTCGAGAAGGAGGAAATGGGCGCGGGACGAACGCACTTGAGTGGTACTTCGCTTGAGTTCGTCAACGCTCAGCAGCAGCGCCGAACTCGCTTGCTTGTAATCGTCCAGCAGGCGGAAGTAGCCGTACCCTCCGACGAGCGAGACGCCGAGCAGGAAGCCGATCAAGCTGCGAGACGGCAAGAAGTCAGCAGGCGACGAAGAACCAAGTAGAGAGAGAGAGAGACGCACCCGCCGCGGAAGGCTCCGACTGGTCGCCTCACTCTCGCCATGGGCGCCTGCACCTCTTCCCTCGGTTCTTCATGCAACACTGGTCGCTTCACGCTCGCCGCCGCCGCATCCGTCTCCACCGGGGCAGAAGTGCCCGTCGCGAAACCGTCCTTGCGCTCGCTCGCCAGCGGTTTGCCGTAGGGGAAAGCCTCGCCAGTCCCTCCGCTTGTCGCTGCCGACGGTCCAGAGCTGGCATACAGCGCTTCCCCGCTCGTCTGCGCGCTTGCCGACGAGGACGGAGTGATTCCCGTAGATGTCGCCGACCCGCTCGTGCCCGCCTGACCCGCCGAGACACCCTGTTCGGCGTACAGCGCGTCTGCGGTGGTCTGCGCCGACTCTCGAGCCGCTGCTGCGCCGTGCGGAGGTTGTTGCTGTTGCCGGATTGATGAGGAGGTGGAGACGAAACGGAAAGACGGGAGGAAGGGCGTGCGGGCAGCTTGTGCCAGCAGCGATCGTCCAGAATGCACTCCTGATCGTCCGAGCATCCCGGCCAGCTTCAGTCGAGGTGAAGAGACGAATCCTCACCTCGTCGTCGTCGTTGGACCCGAACACCTCACTTGCTCGCGCTCACAACGCTTGGGCCATGCCAGCGCCCATCAGGCTACCTTCGGAACGCTCGTCAAACCCGCTCGCCCAATCCTGGGCTCGCCTGAAGCGGGTGCGAGGGCTGCGAGACCTGCACGCCTGGTCGCTTCGATCCTTCCCTCTGGGCGACCTGCCTCTGCGGATACGGCCGGTGAGTGCAGCCAGGCTCCTTTGGAGAGACTACGGCTGAAACGAGACGGTTCTCCGGCAGGTCTTCGTCGTCTACACCTTCCTTACCCTCGTCGTTCTTTCGCTCCTCGGGTGAGTCCTGGCCCGTTCCAGCTCTCTTTATCGCACTGCACAACATGTACAAGGCGAACAGAGTGCCCGCTAACGCTCGCCATGCTCTCACATCGCTTCGGACCCGCAGATTTCATCCAACGCTCGCGCACCACCTCGCCCCTCCGTCCGTCCCGTTCAGCGACAAAGTCCTCCACTTTGTTTGCTTCTTCTGCGCCACCGCACTCTTCTACACATGCTGGGTCGTCGAGGAGCAAGCGCGGAGAGTCTGGTTCTGGCGGTGGTGGAACGAACTAAGCAGCGCAGTCGTTTGTCTCGGCTGTGCGTCGCGTGGTCTCTCTTCCTCGCTCATAAGTTGTCCACTGACGCTTAAAGTCCACACGCAGTCGGCGGCATCCTCTCGGAATTCGTCCAAGCGCTCCTCCCCTCACACACCTTCCAGCCAGGCGACATCCTCGCGAACCTCCTCGGCTCATCTCTCGCCATCTTCCTCTGCTCGCACTACTCGCGCGAACGACGGCGAGAACGGGAACTGCGAAGGTTGTACGACGAGTTGGGCGAGATGAGCGAGAGCGAGGGAGAAGAGGAGGAGGGGTTGATAGGCGCGAGGGAGGAGAGGGAGATGGAGGAGGGACGGAAGCAGGGAGGTACGGAGGAGCGCAGGCTGGCAAGTGTCGCGAGCGGTTTGGGCAGCCGCGCGCAGCGGAAGGAGGCGCAGGATCCGTGGAGCGCAAGGGAGGACGAGATCTTTGGCCTGGGCGGCGACGACGAGGACGACGAGCCAGCGCCAGCCGGGCGGCGACGAGACGACGGGCCTCTCTAGACGCTAAGTCTTGCAATGTACCACTATTCACTCGACAGACGGCAGGCCCGAGGGGAGATGATGAAGAGACTCGTGTGTTGCGATTCAAAATGAAGGGATATCACGGCGTGTATGTTGTGGGGTATCCACTCAAAATGCGCATAGGGTATCTTTTTGGCTCCTCCTTCGTCACCGCTCACTTCCACTTGCACTCCCGCTTCCCGCCGCGACCATGCCACTCACCTGTCGCGGCGTCGTTCCCTCGTCGTCCTGCTTCCGCAAAGCGGACGTGCCCGCACCGGGGTAGAGAGGCTGAGGACTCGCTGGTCGCAGCGGGACTTCAACCTTCTCTCCCGCCGAAGAGGGAGGCGCGACCTCGTCCGACCGCCAGAACTCGTTGAGGAGCAGCTCGCCCGCAGTAGGCTCGAGTTCGGTGCCATCTGTGAACCGAGGAACCGGTCAACACTAGCTTGAGAAGGGGGACTTGGGCTGTGACGAACCGCGCGAGATTTTGACTTCTCGGTTTCCGTTGAACGAGTTGCGAATGTGGCGCGAGCGAGAGAACGGAAGCTTCTTGCTGCACGAGGAGAGAAGGGTCAGCCTCGCCCTGGACAGGAGGAGGTAGCGAAGAGAGACGCACACAGCAATCCAGTCAACGGCGAAGGGCGTTCCCCAGGAGCTGTGCCGATTGTCGCCCGCGCTGCAAGCACCCAATTGTCAGCACCAGCTTGTAGAGCGAGGAGGAGCCTCGCACGCACCTCTTCTCGTCACCAGCAGCCGGCGCACCAATCGTCCCCGAGCTGCCGTTGCTCTTCCGGCTCTCGTCGATAGCCGCCTCCATCTTTTCCAGCTTGGCGTTCCTCGCCTCCGCCGCAGCCGCAAAGATTCCCTTCGTCGGGCTCTCCGCCTCCTCCTTGGCCGTCGGACGCTGGACGTCCCCAACCTTTGTAGGGGCGACATCGAAACTAGCTGCTCGACGCTGCTTGGCTTGCGCCGCGACGTCCGGCGGGAGATGGAGGTTCTCGGCCGTCTCGAGCGCCATGAGGTCCTGCGAGCGGGACATGGCCCGTTGCGCCGAATCGGGCACAGCAACCGCGAGCGAGGCAGGCGCAGAGTTACCCTCCGCGCCGCCTGCTTTGACAGGAACGGCGAGCGAGCCTCCTTGGACGGGCGTGGTGGTGGACGAATCGAGGATCACGGCGGATGAGGGGGTGATGACGGGCGGAGACTGGTCCGCCCAGCGGTGTTCGGAAGGCGAGAAGAGATGCGTCGCGGCAGGCGCAGAGGCGGTCTCGTCCGTCTCTTCGAGGATCGTCGCCGAGCGCTGCGACTTGCGCAAGTCGGCCGACTTTTCGCCCGCAGACGAGGTGAACGAGAACCGGGACGAGCGAGACGACGAGCCGCCTGCGCCGCCAACTGGACCTGAGAGGCGTGCGTAACCGAACCAGCAGCCCGAGCCGTTTGCGCTGAAGATGAGGTAGACGCTGCGAGCCGTGCGGAAGGCCTGTTGCAAGACCGGCTGCACGGAGACGCTGATTGTCAGCGGATCGGTGAAAGGGCCAGTCGCGCGAAAAGCACCTCATTGTGCGGCTGCGTAGCCCAGACGCCCGTCTCGACCGACTTGCGCAAGTCCGCCTCGTCATGGCTCTTGAGGATGAAATACCTGCTCGCCCTCGTCCATCAGTCCCTCCCTCGTCGCGAAAGAGAAGCGAGGCGCGACTCACCTTCGCTCAAAGTGCTTGGCGAGGAAAGTGCTCGTCGTACTAGTCGAGCCAATACTCGACGCTCCAGCACTCATCCTCCTGCCCTTGACCCCCTCGACCTCCTCCGTCTCCGAGCGCGCAATCTCCCTCTGCCGTTCCGCCATCCTGACCTGCTGTTCCCTGACGAAAGCCCTATGCATCCCGCCCATCCTCTGAGCCCCAACGCCGGATTTCGCATCGTCTTCGTGTTTGCGCACGCGGCAGACGAGCGGCTTGCACCGTGGGTCGTCCGAGCGGAGAGAGGTCCCGTTCGTGACGGCGATGGCGTGGTGGAGGTGCAAGTTCGAGACGTAGTTGACAAAGGCGCCTGTTCCCCCCATCACCTCCCTCATCAGTACACCGTCTCCGCGAGAGAAGCAAGAAGGGGACGCACAGTTCGACCTCGTAATCAGATGAATCGACTCGACGCCCGTACTGTCCAACTCGAGTCCCGCCTCGTTCGGACTGATCGTGATCCCGCACTCGCGAGGGGTTGGACGGGTCTGGAAGAATTGCCAGAGCTCGGCGTGTGAGGCGTCCGAGGGTACGTTGCCGACCCTATCTCACAGCGCGTCAGTATGCGTGAGAGAGGAGGAAGGGAAGGGGACGAACCAGAGTGCATGAGGGGAATGAGCGGGTGGTCGAGGGAGGTCTTTCCGTCCGCCGTACGCTTCTCCTCGTCTTGGCGCGCCAGGCGAGACCTGACTCGCTCCAGCGGCCGAAAAGACGGGCGAGAAATGCGACGAGGGGGAGATGAGGTGCATACTTGGCGACGAACCAGCGAAGGATGCGCGACGAGACGGAGGAGAAAGAGGGTAGGGCGCTGGAGGAGCGGGTGAGGGAAAGCCGAACGAGGAGGGAAGGCCGGTTGAGAGGGGGGAGGAAATACTTGAGCGTGCGGAGATGGGATAGGCGATCTCGCTTTCTCCTGGGTCGGGCGAGGGTCTTTGCGCTGGTGCAGGCGGGGGAGGCGCGCGTTGCTGCTGGAGTTGGGCGGCGTGGAAGGGCGAGGAAAAGTACACGGGTTGATAGGGCGCTGCCTGCGAAGGCTGAGGCGGGGGCGGAGAAGGATACACGGCGCCTTGCGGCGGTTGTTGGGGATACACGTAGACGGGCTGGAAGTACGGCTGCTGAGACTGGGCTTGGTGCGGAGGCGGAGGCGGGGCAGGAGGGTAGGCGACTGGATTCCCATCGTGGTCGTAAACGACGTTCCCTTCGTGGTTGACCAGTAGCTGCGTCGGAACTGGCACGGGCGCAGTACTGGCGTAGTAAGGCGCGTACGGAGCCGGTGCGGGGGAAGGGACGGTGCAGTAGGTGATCTGGGGAGCGGGAGCGGCGGGCGAGTAGGTCGTGTACGGCACGGCCGATGCTTGAGGGTAGACCAGCTGGTGGTAAATCGGTTGCGTTGCAGGCTGTTGGGGCGCGTATTGCGCGTAGAACGCCGCTTGTGCCGATGGGGGAGGGAAGCCTTGTGGCGCCGACATCCCGTGGTGGCCATGGAAGACCATATCCGACGACGAGGAGGCGGAAGGCGACCGTGCGCCCGACGACGCCTGCGACGAGACTTGGCGCGAGTGCGCAAAGTGGACGTGAGGCGTTGCGTACGGGTAGCCTTGCGCGGGATGCTGTGGCGCTTGGTGGCTACCGTATGCGCCAGAGAGGTAGCTCGCAGAGGTCGTCTCAGAGACGTAGGGCGCGCTCCCAACCGATTCGTGCTGTCGTGCCGGCGGAATCCTCGTCAGTCGGTGAAAGGCGTCAACGAGACGAGCGAAAAGGCGTGACGCACGATGCTCGTGTTGCTCGTCGACCGACTCGCCGGCGACCTCGACGAATACGTCGTCGCGAACGAGCTGTGGACGCTGTGCAAGCCCGGACGAGGCGGGTGGTTACCCAGCGCAGAGGCCGAGCGTCCGCCGGTCGTTGCGGTCGAGACGAGTGGCGGCGAGGGGATGGCGACGCTCAGGGCTGCGTGCACGTCCATTCAATCAGTTACGGGGAGACTTTGGATGCGAAGGAACCGCAAGAAACGCTTTGGTAGACGCACCCGCTGGCCTCCCTCCCTGCGTCGGCGTCGCCCCGTTCGCTCGCAGACTCAACGCCGCATCGAGCCTCTTGACAAGTTCAGCCTCGCTCGTCGCTCCGTCTGCGCTCGTCGAGCCCATCTGCGCCTGGGACGAGTTCCCCACCTCGACCTTCCCGCGTCCCGTCTGGTCGTCTCGAGTCCCTGCGTCCGAGTCGGTGGGTGCGCTCATGCAATCGGGAGCTGGGCTCGGCGAGAGATTGCTGGACTAGAGCTGGGTCGTGCTGAGTGCGCTTGAGAAGAGCGAGCGGGCGGGAGAGAGGGAATTGCGAAGGTCGTCACGGGGGAAAGAGAGGACGGGAAGCGGTGGGAGTTGCGTGAGTCGTTTGGGAATATGCTGGTGGTGTTTGTGAGTGGCTAGACGCTGTCGCAGAGAGGCTGGGTGGCGAGAGCGGGGCGTGAGGAGGTGCGGTCGGGTCGAAGGAAGTCGCGCGAGTCGAGAAAAGCGCACTGGCGAGCGATCGAGCGTTGGTCGGCAAGGGCGGATTCGCACGCGAGCAATCCGACCCCCCAAGCAAGGAGTCTGCAGCTGGTCGCAGTCGAGAGCGAGGTGAGCGCCTTGAGAGGTCGACGACGACGACGAAGCACAGCGACGGCAAACGACGAAGCCAGAGCGAGTCTTCGTCGAAAGCCGAGCGAGCATGACGACAGGATCGACATTCGCCCGCAGCCACATGCTTTTTCGAACCCCGCTCGAGTGCCTGAACGACCACGACGCTCTTCCTTTTTCCTCGCGACGACGACCGCTGTCACTCTCCTCGGCCATTCTCTTGCTCGACGACAAGGCTCGGCGTGAAGTGGCGTCGACGGGTCGGGCGGGCAGGCAGATCCAGTCTGCGATGCAACGCGACGACGCGCAGAAACGATGCGAGATGCGAGATGTGTGCAAAGAGCGACGCGGCGGAACGAATAAAACATGCGAAAGTTGTACAAAGCACACTTGAAAGCGTGGCGAAACGACGGCGACGGCGACGGCGACGGCGACGGACGCAAGCGACGACATGCTCGTTAAGCTGCGGAACGGGGTACGAGGCGATAAGCTCGTCAGCTCGAAGGGGTCGCGTTCGATGAGGTAGGTCTTCTTGAGACGATGCCGAGAGCGCAGCAGCGAGTGAAAGAGCACTCACGGCGAGTTCCGAGATTGCCGAGACTGGCTGTCGAGGGCAAGACGAGGTCAGCTCGCCTCTTGCGCGAGGGGCAGCAGAAGCAAATGTACCGCGCGAGGACACTGCTCACTCCCACGTAGCAGCCATCCCCTGCTCGACATAACTCCCGTGCAACGTGCCCACCGTGTACCCGCTGAATGTCGAAGTCGGGGTACCCACAACCTCCGTCGCTCGCGCCGCGATCTGTCCCAACCACGGTCTTGTCAGTTTGTGAACCGTAGGAGAGGCTGAGAGGGGAGGAAGCGGACCTCGGCTTCGAGAAAAGGAAAGAGGTACCGCGCCAGAGGCTGTCCATCCCACTCGCTCACCCACTTCCCTCCTCCTCCCTCTCCGTTCTTAGCGCTCACCAACTCCCCCAACTCCTCCACCAACTCGACAAAGTCACTCAGAAAGAAGACGCAGGGGAACCATCGCATGAAAGGACGGAGAGCTGCGTCGGTCGCGGGAGAGCGAGAGTCGGTCGCGATGTAGAGGGGTGTGTTGAGGGGTGCGAGGTGCGGCGCGAGGAGGGGGTCGTGCAGCGGTGAACGGCAGGTGAGGGGCGGAGAGAGAGCGCGGGAGGGTGGGGCGGTGTGGACTGCACGGCGGGAGAGGGCGGTCGTGCGCCGGAAGACGGACGAAGGCATCTCGAGAGACTCGTCCTCATTGATCGCAAGCTCCTCCTCATCGTCCTTGTCGTCCCATTCCTGCCTATCCCGCTCCTCCTGCCCAAACGCCCGCGCGACCTTCGCCCCGCCCTTCCCCTTCGCCTGACTCGCATGCCCCGCTGATGCCGCCGCCTCAGCAAGCAAGACGTCGATCTGCGCGTTCTTGAGCCCGAATACGTCGTGGACGAGTTTGCGGAAGACGCGTTGCATGTTCTTGATCGCGTCGCGCTGTGCAAACCTCTGTTCGTCAGCCTCGTCGAAAAGGAAGAGAAAAAGGGACGCACCTTAAAGTTCCCATCTCCCACTCGCGCGTGCGCTGCAACGTACGTCCCCAACAACTCCCTGACCTTCCCGCTGATCCCATCAAGCCCATCATTCTGCAACACCACCAAGTCCGCAACATCCTGTACCACTCTCCTATTCTCCTCCTGCACAAACTTCAACCTCGCGCCGCTAAACAAGCTCCCGAATTGGAGTAATCGAGCGGGGGAGGCGCGCAAGTCGGACAACTCGAGGCGGGAGGTGAAGAGTCCTTTGTCTAGCGGTGTTGAGGGGGAGTCGAGGATTTGGTACGAGCGGCGAGTGGGGTCGGGGAAGCGCTGGATTTCGGAGGGAGAGAGGTCGAGGCCGCCGAGAGAGGTGGGGAGGGTGAACAGCGAGTGCGAGGCGTTCCATCGGTCGACGAGGGAGCGGTTTGCGAGGAGAGAAGGCGTGACAAGGTAGTCCCAGCCGACGTAGGTCCCTGCACGCCATCGTTCATCAGCATACGTCACGAGAGACAAGCGAACGAGACGCACAATGAGCCGGATCATCGCACTCCTCGCCTGTCGAAATCTTGCCTGAGTTCGGACTGCTCGCGAACGGGCGAGTCGTCACGCCCGCCTTGCATTCCTCCGAGACGGCGACGCGAACTTTCGGATCGGGTTCCCAGGGGATCGCGGCGCCTAGTCGGGCGGGAGGGAGGAGGAGCGTGCGGTTGAGGAGCTGGGCGAGCGCGAGGGCGTTGACGAGCGACTTGCGTTCTGCGTGACAGATCAGACTCGTTAGTTCTGGTCGAACGAGAGAAGGCAGGGACGCACGGTTGTGGAAGCCCGAGTGGTTCTCGAACGAGAGGAAGCGCATCGAGCGCGAGACTTCCGGGTCTTGCGGAAGTGGTCGAGGGACAGGGTGGACGTTGAGTACGGGCTCCGCTGGCGAAACGGACGAGAGCTCCTCCTCGGCGACCGGCGCCGCTTCGCTCGCCTGCGCAGCCTCCTCAACCCGCAAGTCTCCCTCCGCAGGCGCATCTTCCGGCGCCTGGTCCGTGAACACCGCTTCTAGCTTCTCCTCATCACCGTCGCCTCCGTCTGTGAGCGGTAATCGCACGTCTCCCTCGCTCGCGCCGACCTCTTCCCGCGCCGACCCCTCCTCTACAGCCTCAACATCCGCCTTTCCCGCTCTCCACGCCCAGTTCGTGACATCTCCAAATCCGCTGTACCAACTCTCCTTCTCAGCCGCGACTTCCGCATCACCCGCCGCAGAAGAAGGGTTCGAAGCTCCCCAACTCGCAACCACCACCATAAGGACAAGCGCTCCCACCGCAACCCATTTCCGTCCCGACGATCCAAGCCGCGCAGCTTTTGGCGGTGCTCGAGCTGAGAACGGGCCGAAAGGTGAAGAAGAGGGTGACGAGGGCGAGAGAGGAGCGGGAGAGGAGGTCCGTCGCGAAGGGGTGCTAGGTCGACTTCCTCCCGATCCAGGGGAGTGCGAGCGCGGTAAGAGAGGCTCGTTGACTCCTCCAAAGGCTGCATACGTCGGCGAATGCGGCGGTGAGGCGGTGAGGAACGAGGGAGGGTAGATGGGCGATGAGGAGGAGGTTCGGGGTGAAGGCGTGACGAGGCGTAATGGTGTGGCCGGCATAGGCGCCAGCGACTCTTCTCAGCTGCCTTTGAGCGCACTGGACAGCTCGAGCGGGTGGGAAGGGCTTGAGGACAACCTTCGACGACGACGAGGAGGAACCGCGCTTCGACGTGAGCGATCCTCGTTTATCGTTGTCTGGGGGGGGGGAATAGAAGCAGTAGGGAACCCTTGACAGCGTCACACAGGCGCAGGAGACGAGCGGGACGAGGGAGGACGAGAGAGAGACCTGAGCGCGATCATCCATTGCACGCGATCTCGCTCAGAACGACAACCAAGGCTTGTTCGCCTGGATCCACGTCTCGAGACTGCGCCAGAAGTCGGCAACGACGCTCTTGTCGATGTGGCGCTTGTGAGGATCGATCTGCGCGAAGCCGCGTCAGTTCGAGCGCGACGGGGAGGAGGAAAGCAGACGCACTCGCAGCTCGGAGACGTTCCAGCTCCTGACCTTGGCATTCACAGGGTCGGTCGTCCATTGAGGGTACATGCCCTTGACTGCGAATGGTTGACGGTCAGCTTGAGTCAAGAGTCAAGAGATGGGTAGGCAAGGAGACGCACCGTGGTGGAACAGCTCCTTCGGCTCCTTCCACTTGTAAGGCTTGAACTGCCACTCCTGCCCAGTCGTCATGACGCACACTACTCGGTCCCTGCGCAAGGCCAACAGGCTGCGTCAGTCCCGTCGCGTCGGGAAGCGAAACTCAACAACTCACCAAGCCTCATCCAGCTTTCCCGCTCCACCAAACTTGCTCAGCGCCTCGACCGAGTCGACGACAAAGTACCGCGCGTGTCGTGTCGCGGCGGTGTTGGCGGCAGCCGCGGAGGAGGAGGACGAGGCGGATGCGCGGGCGTGGTTCACTTGCACGACGTCTTCGGCGATGTAGCCTGAGACGTTGCCGCCCGAGGCGAGGCGGCGGGCCTCTTCGGATGGAATGAAGCTGCGCGGCGCAGAACGCGAGTCAGTCAAATAAGGAGCAGATCGGATCGCGCGGCAACATACCGCGCCTCTTCGAGGAACTGCTTGACGTTGTGCATGGTGATGAGCGCAGTCGAGGATGGCGAGATCATGATGATTGGGTTGAGCTGCTTCTTCTTTTGCGGTCGTGCGGCGGGAGCGGAGGGCGTGGCGGATTGCGCAGACGGCTGTTTCCGCTGCTGGTCGTCGCGCATTTGTTTCAGTCGAGGCGCGACGAGCGAGAGGACCGATTCGAAGTTCTGCGCAAGTTCTCAAGTCAATTGAGAAGCACATGCGAGAAAGAGCGGAAGCTAAACGCACGTTGATGCGCTCCCCTCGCAGGACCGTTTCGCGGTTGTGGTACACCGCGCCCGTCTTTTCGTACTTCTTCTCGCCCGGCCCGACCACAAACCCGTACGGTGCACCCTCCACGATGGCCGCCATCTTCTTGACCTTCTCCTGGTCGTCCTTGTCCGGCACATACCGCTGCTTCTTCATAGGCGGCGCCCCCCCCGCCGTTCCAGGCGCCGCGCCCGCACTCGCGCCCGCCACCTCGTCCTCCGCCTCCCTCTTTGCCGACGCAGGCGAAGGCCTAACTCGTCCTTCAGGTCCCTCTTCCGGCCCATTCCCGCTCAAGTAGTCCAACACGACCCTACGCTCTGTGATCGGGATGGCGCCCACACCCGCCTCGGTCGTCTTCCGCATGTACAATCCGGGATTCGCCTCGCGCTCATTGTAGCCGAACAGCAGCGACTGGAGGTCGAATGTCGGCGCGGCGGGGTTGGTGGGGTCTGCATTTGCGTCGACCAGGAAGCGCGTGGGAGTGTTCTTGGGCAGGACGACGGAGCCGAGTGAGATGGATTCGGCGGACTTTAGGTCGAAGACTTCGGTGCCGGAGGACGAGAGGAGTGAGATCGGTTGGTTCGAGGTGAGAGCGCGACGGAGGACGATGAGGGGGTCTTGGGAAGCCATGGCGGGTGTACTCGGATAGCTTGCGGGCTCAGTGGAGCCTCGTACAAGCTTGTAAAGCTGAGTGAGCCGAAGTGGTTCAGGCTGAGGAGCGCCAACCGGGACGAGGAGAGGGTTGGACGCGGTTGGACAGCAACAGCTCACCGCTGCGTGCAAGGGTTGCTGAGACTGCTGCTTACAGATCAGTGGAGCTCATGCTAGCGCTCTGGCTTGTCACCAGCCCGCCCCGCTCCGTCTTCGCTGCTCTCGCTCCGACTCGCCAACTTCAGCACCTCTTGCTTCGAACACGGGCTGCAACGCACAAGGCGGCACGATTCGGGGTGGACAGAGGGCTACGAGAATAGAGACGAACGGGTATGCTGCCTCCTGCTTCCGACTGTCGCTTGCCGCGGCCTCATGGACAACTTCCGCCTACGCGCTCTCCCCTGGCGGCATCCGCAGCGGTTTCGTGCACCAAGCCGGACAAAGGGAGGACACGCAGCTCTGCACAAGGCTTGAGAGATCCCACTACGTTGCTCAGCCGCGCAAGACTACACGCAATCCTCACTTTTCCTTCTTCTCCGCCGACACTCCGTCCGCCAGGCCCAGCTTGCGCCACAGCCGATCCAGCTCGGAGCATCCATGCTCCTCCTCTTCACTCTCCTCATCGCTGTCCCCGCGCTCAACCCGCTTCGTTTCGCGCAGCCGGCGCTCTTCTTCGTTCGCCATGCGCTCTTTCGCTGTCTTCGCGCTCCTGGTGCATTTCCCCTCGTGGACTCTGAAGCTTGTCCAGTTGATGAGTCGGAGAGAGGAGTAGCCGAGCGAAGGGTACCAGAGAAAATTGAGCGGCGAGAGGTCGCCGTGTTCGAGTCCGAATTTGCCGTGAAGACGTCGAGCGAGGTCGTAGACGGCGAATCTGCGGGCGGTCGCGAGTCAGATCTGCCTGTGAGATGACGCATTGGCGAGACAAAAAAGGGGACTCGCCGCCCTTCCATGTCCAAGTCAACGTCTCTCCACTTCCTCTTGATGTCGAGCACTTGACCGCAATCCTCCAAAATCATGACCGCCGACGGCGATCCAAACATGTGCGGACTGTCAGTCGGTCCAGTCGTCCATCCGCTGACGAACCGCGGCGCGATCTTCTCCTCCGCGAGCCGGTCCCCGTACTTGCGGTAAAAGTCGATCTCGTCCGTGAGCTTGTGAGGCTTCTGCCATGTATAGCGACGCTCGTGGAAGCGCGTGTAGTGTACGACGAGCGAGAAAGGCGAGTTGGCGCAGTAGGCTCGGAAGACGTCGCCTTGCCAACCGCTATCCCTGCGTCTGCTCGAGACGAGAAGCACCTTTTTGGGGGCTGCCAACTTCGTAATTTTCGCTTGACGGCCGAGAAGAGGAGACTCGGGCGGAGTTGGCAGGCTGGAAGAAGGGTCGGTTGCAGGAGAGGGCATCGAGTAGGGTTGAAGCCGGTGGAGCGTGACCAGCTGCTGGTCAGTGGTGACGAAAGCGACGTCGATCGGCTCGTTCTGCAGGATGAGCTGGTCAGCGACATGTTCGTCGTTCGTAGTGAACGCGAAGGCGCACCTCCTGCAGCTCGGCAAACGTCACGAGCCGGTATTCCTTCGACGCCGTAGAGCCAGCCGACGGCATCGAGCTCGTCTGCTTTACGCTTTTATAGCGTCTTGCCGGTGAGTACTTGAGCTTGCGCAGCTGCTTGAGCAAGTCCCCCCGAATCTGCTGTTCCGCCTTTGCGATCAACGCGGAAGTCTTAAGTGAGAAAGCGAGGTGGATGAGGCTTGTACCGTGCGATACCATGCTCGCATGGTACGGCACGCGATCGCCGAAGAGCAGCAGAGCAGAGGGGCGGCTCGGAAGCGACGGCTGGGTGGGCGCATTCGGCTGAGGCGGGCATAACTTGACTGCCTTGTTGAACCCGTCAAGGGAGAGGCCGAGGTGCGAGAGCGTAGTGTGAGCGTGTGGAGATCTCGGTGTCGGGCAGCCACCAAGGAGGTTGTAGAGGGCTGCGTCCGGTGCGGTGGTCGGAAGAAGGAAGAGTGGCATGAGGTCGGTCTCGCCGAGGAGGAGATGGACGGTCTGGAGGGGCTTCGGAGAGGCGTCGAGAAGCTGTAGGTAGTCAGGCAAGTCAGTCAAAGGCTGCGCGACAAGTTCGTGTGATCGACGGACCTCCATCAGCACGGAACCCGCATCGCCTGCCTGGAGCCTTGACAGGTGACTCAATGGCACGACCGCGGTACGGAACCTCTCAAGCTCTGAGATGGCCTGGTCGCAAGCGTAGCCCTCCGGAGTCGTGACGAGGGTCGACTTGCTCCTCGCTTGACCGTGATGCCAGGCGGAGCACGCCGCAAAATCGTCATGCGATGTCTGGAAGGACGACCGTCGTCCATCAACTTCTGGCGCGCGCAGCTCGAGCCATAGCCATCTCGCATCCTCGACGAAACGAGCCAAAGTGTCGGGTATGATCTCATGGTTCGTATCGTGCAGGTCCTTGAGATGCCAGTCCAGATGTCGACGCATCCCTTCGTGAAGGTCCCGCAGCCTGGTCTCGCGAGGAAGCGTAAGTTTTGCGAGCATGTAGTCGAGACCGACTCGCGAAAGAAGTGGTCCGAGCGAAGGGAGGTGGACGAGACAGGTGGTATCGAAGAGGGCTCGATCATCGGATACTTCTCCGGTCACCATCATGTCGCCCAGGGAGCCTGAACCCTTAAGCGGGACGCGCGGACAGGAGAGGGACCGGATGAGGGTTTCGACGGTAGGCGGGGGAAGACCTTGCTCTGCAGCATCGGCGATAAGCTTGTCGATGGAGAGACGGGAATGAGGGGACTGCGCTGCGTCGTCTGCCATCCTGGCACACCGTTCAGGAACGAGGGGAGAGGGGAAGCGAAGCGAGTTGAGGTAGGAGGAGGAGGGCGTGAGAAGCGCGACAAAGGCGCCGGGATCGACGAGAGCCTGACAGTCGAGGTTGACCAGTTCTGCAACCCTCCAGCAACCAGTTTCAGCAGAATCCAGAAAGGGCGGGTGAACAGGAGGAGAGAGAGAGACGAGGAGCGAGGTTGGCTCACGCCACGCACCCTCAACCGGCTGTGAGGCGTGCTGAAGGCTGCTACGCTATGCAGAACACTTCTCATCTGGCCCTGAGCCTCGCCCTCGACGTGTCCAACGCCTTCCCCCGCTTGTCCAACCCTCAACACCCTCGAGCGATGTCGACCTCGTGCAACTCAGGCGTGGCCACAATCGGGACCTGTAAGGCGACGAAAACAGCTACGGAGGCCTGTGGAAGTCGGACAGGGCGCGGGCGCTTCCGTTTGCGGCAGACTACCGAACCTGCACCCAGACTTGCTGTGCGAAGACACGACGGCTACGTTCCGGAGGTTTTTCCATCGCCAGAACAGATCTAGAGGGTCGACTGAATCAGCAGGCGGTGGATTCGGGGCATTCGGGTGACACGGCGGGACCTTCCTTGCGCTCTCGCGACTCACCGCTCACTACCCTCGAAGGCGTACATTCGCTTTGTCTTTCTTGCACCTTCTGCGGTATCTATGTGACTGCTCAGGCAATATGCAGGCGGTCGGGGCGCGCAAGTCGGGGCTTCGAGACGCCTTTTCCCGTTCCCCGTCTCTCCGCTCTCATTTCCTCGACAGCCTTTCAACAAGTCATAATCCGGATGGCGAGGGATAACAATCAATGCATATCTCAAGAAGAAGCTGTGCTATTCGGTCAAAGGCTCCGCAGCTGCAAGCGCCTCCCCTGCAATGACAGTCCAGCTCAACCCGTTTTCCCGCCTCGCCTGCTCCTCCAGCTCGTGCTGTACTTGCGCGACGCGACTGAGCTCCTCTTTCATGATCTGCTCCACCCTCCCCTTCTCGACAAAGTTGCGCACATCCTCTTGAAACATCGGGCACTTCAGTTCGACCCACAGAACCTGGAGCTCCAGACAGTCCGCCAAGTCTGCGCAGTTGTGCGTGTCACTTCGGGCAAAGTCGATGAGTCGCATGGATGAAGGGCCGGCTGCGGGTTTCCAGACGACATTGCGAGGATTGAGCGAGTTGTGCCGGAAGTTGTTGGAGTGGAAGCGCAGAACGAGGTTCTGCAGGTGTCGTCTGCACACGTTGCGTTGTCAAGAGGTCAGTGTTTTACGTGCGTCTGAAAGGACGGGGCGCCGACTCACCTTGCGTCTGCGCCCTTCAAGTCTCGCCAGGACTTGAGCGCTTCGCCCCATTCTTCGACGAGAATCATCGTAGTCGGCGTCCCCAGCTCCATCGGGCTGTTGGCACCGCTCGTTTCCCAGCTGCCGACGAACCTCGGCGTGAGCTCATCCTCCTCGAGCTTGCCTCGATTCTCGCGGTAGAAAGCCGCTTCGGCTTGCAGTCGCTTCGAGGCTCCCGCGCTGTACGAGTATTTGGCGAGGAGTGGGATGGGCGAGTCGGAGCAGTGAGCGCGGTAGACATGGCCTTGATTGCCGCTGCCGAAGCGAGCGTTGGAGAGGAGGAGAATGGGTTCGCGCTGGCTGGCGGAGCGGGACGCGGGTTCGCTTGCAAAGTTGTTACAAAGCGTCGGAGGAGGCGTAAGAGGCGGAGTGGGCGGAAGAGACGGATTCTTGGCGAGCGGAAAAGGGAGAGGGGCGGAGGGAGGGAAGCTGTGGAAGCCGACGAGTCTTCCGCCTTCGCCAACGAAGGCTGCGGTGAACGCGCAGCCCTGCGCGTGCGAATGAGCTCTGTCAGCGTTTCGTACGAGCGACGAGAGCGGAACGACGGCTGACCTTCTCAAGCTCATCGAAGGTTACGAGGCGGTAACGGGGACGTCCAGGCGGCGCGTCCACGTTCTTGTTTTCCTTCGCAAGATTTGACGATGATATCGAAGGGCGACCAGATGGATCCTCGTTCGTCTTGTCGGGAAGAGATCGCTCGTCGTGCTCGACCGCTCGTCTGAGGCCCGGAGGCGGGCTGCACGAGATGTGCGAAGTCATGACGGAAGAACCATGGTGTATCAGTCGCACGAGCTCCTTCTCGACCTGTGCGCCGATAGTCCTGTGCTCGGCAAGCGTTGAGAGGGCGAGGATCCGAAGCAAGTCCTGCTGCTCGGGTCCGCACGTGAATGGTAGGGGTCTGCCACAAATGAGAACAGGCTTGTTGAGTGGCGCCATCCTCGTCTTGAACGCAGGCGAGTCCTTCATGATGAGCCTTGCAGCATCGTGCAAGTCGAGATCGAAGGAATCGAGCGAGATGGAACAGCGCGCCCGCTGCTCCGGGACAAGGTCGAGTATGATTTCTGGAATTGGGGTGTCGGGTTCGGGAAAGGCGACCACGACTGGGACGAATTGCATCCCGTCCAACAGCAGTACGACGGCATATTCCGCGAAAGGGAACGTCATCGTGAGCTGCCAGGCAAGCGCTGTCAGTTGCGTAGATCCTTAGTATGAAGGTAGGGACGCACAGTGTCGTTGAGCTGCCTCAAGACCCACGCCGTCTCGCGATCCATGTCGCGAAATTCGCACACGCCTGCGTCGCCGACATCCTGCGAGAGTTTCGAGAGTGCGGCAAAGATCTTGTCCACCTTCACACCGTGCGAGAGCCACATGTCCGCAAATCGTGGCGGACGGACTTGGTCTCCCTTCGAGGCGTCGTACGTGAATGAGATCACATCGAACCGTCGGTCCTCGACGAATGTGGCACTGCGCCATGATCGCTGGGCCAGAGTAGGATTGAACACCCTCAAGACGTCCCTCAACTTCTCGAGAACCGTGAGAATCGCGGTTTGCTCCGGTTCCGACGAGAAGAACGCGTGGAGCGCCTCGTCTGCGGCAGCGCGCTCGTGTTCGCTGAGATCTGCGAGGAGGCGGTCCTTGGACTCGCCTAAGAGCGAGACGAGAGCTTCGCTGCCCGCCTGTGATAGGGTGGATCCGAGCGAAGGAAGGGAGATGATGCCAGAGAATCGGGCGTCCATATACGAGTCGTCGTGTGCAGCGTCAACGAGCTCTTCGTCATAGAGTGTGAACATAGTCCTCGAGAACTTTGACTGAACACAGAACGGGAGGCGGGAAACGGGGAACGAAAGTTTGTCGACGAGGGTCGCGACGGTGGGAGGCGGCAGATCCGCGGATTGGGCGGCGGCGATGACGCTGGCGACCGTGAAGGAGGGTGATTCGACGCCGTTTGCAGGTCCAGTCATAGCGGAAGTAGCGTGAGCGAGGAGACGGGCGAGGTGAGGAGGAAGAGGAAGAGGGAGAAAGGGAGAGGTGTGCGAGTCCGGTCAAGGGTGCTCGCTTGGTCTCAAACCGTTGAAAACGTAGTACGATACGATATTTACAGAGAACAGACAATACTCCATGCCAGGTACACAACGCGAAGGGCTCAGCTACGCGGAAACAGCCTTCCTCAACCCGTCCTCGCGCTTCGCCTGCTCCTCCAACTCCTGCTGCGCCTGCGCCATGCGTTCAAGCTCCACCTTGACGCGTTGAATCCTCCACTCCTCTGCAAACGTACGGAAGTCATCTTGGATCGACGACCAGCAGTCGAGTTGGTCCCCAATCTCCTCCAACTCGTCGCACAAGACTGAGCCGTCGCATTCGTGCTTTTCGCACCTCGCAAAGTCGATAAGGCGCAGCGATGAGAGCCCGAGCTCGGGTTTCCAGACGATGTTGCGCAAGCCGAACGACTCATGGCGATAGTTGAGGCTGAGGTGGAAGCGCATGGCGAGCTCCTTCATGTGTTGGCTGGTGAAAGAGCTCAAGACAGTGTCAATACACTTGAGAAGGTGGAAAGGAGGCAGGGGAAAGAGTCGCACAGTGCTTCCTTGTCAGCCGCAACAATCCTCCACATCTGAGACGCCAGCTCTGGAGGCGGAGCAAGTGCTTGCCCCCATTCCTCCACAAGTATCTTCATCGACGACGCACCGCTCGGCAACGGGCTGTCTGAGCCTGTCGTCTTCCAACTACCGACGCACCTTGGCGCGAGCTGTTCCTCCTCGAGCGTCCTGCGGTTCTCGCGGTAGAACGCTGCTTCGTCCTTCATGAGGTCGTACCCTTCGCTGGTGTACGAGGATTTGGCGAGAAAGGGGAAGGGCGAGTCGGCGCAGTGCGCGCGGTACAGGTACCCTTGGTTGCCTTCGCCGAAGCGCTTGCCGGACAGGAGGAGGAGGGGTTCAAGGGCGAGACCGTCGTGCACAGGCTTGTTTTCAGTACTGATAGGAGGGGGCGTTGGAGGCGGGGTTGGCGGGAGAGACGCGGCCTTGGCAGGCCCCGAAGTGTTGAGCGGTGCGGAGGAAGGGAACCGGTGGAAGCCGACAAGCTGGCCGTCGTGTCCGACGAATGCGGCAGTGAAAGCGCAGCTCTGCGAAGCGGGGAGGAGATCGTCAGCCGTTGCGCGTGTGAGGAAAAATGAACTCTCGAGCTGACCTGCTCAAGCTCGTCAAACGTAACGAGGCGGTAACGAGTACGCGAGAGAGATACGGGAGAGGCTCCTGTCGGATGGAGGTCGTCCTTTTTTGGCAGGCAATTGACGGGCGGTGCGTGGCTGTTGAGCGAGCTGGACAGGTTGGCCGGCCCCGGTTCTGCAGAGGGAGCAGGGCGTTCCCGGCAGAGCAAACGGCACCAACGGCTCGTTGCCGATGGGAGAGAGGGGACGGCATGATCATGCACGACGGATCGAGGCCGGAGGAGCCGCAGCAGCTCGTTCTGGATCTCCTTGCCGAGCTCGTCGAGGCTGTCGAGCGCTGCAAGTGCAATGATGTGCAGCAAGCTCTGGTGATCCGATTGTAGCGAGGCAGAGAGTGGCGCCTCGGAGCCGTAGACAATCACGTAGTCCCGCCGCGCCGGCGCCAGTCCTGAAATCAACCTCCGGGCGTCTTGCAGGGCGAGGCCGAAGGACTCGAGCGAGACGGACTGTGGCGTGTCGACTCGCTTGGTCCGGGCGTGCTGCTTGATCTCATCGCGAAAGGCCGCGCTCAAGTTCTTGAGGTCGAGGACGAAAACGGGCAGGAAGTGACTTCCGTTGAGGAGGACGACCGGAACGGTCCTGTCGCTGTCTATGTTCTCGATGAGCTGCATCCAGGGCGAGGCGTCAGTTCTCACATTGATGAACTAGCGGAGACAATCAAGGACGCACCTTCTTCTCCAAGGTCGCGAAAAGTCGCCCTGCCGCCTTATCGTCCGACTGACAGTCGCGCATTCCCGCCGTCCCATCGCCCGCCGCGTCGCCTTCAGACGCAGCAAAGAGAGGCGCAGCGTCAAACACTCGCGCCAAGCGCACGCCAGAGAAATCCTTTCCGACCGAAGACGAGGAGGCGGAAACGATGTTGCTGAACCAGTAGCTGTGCTTGGCCTGCTGCCACGTCCGGTCCGGCAGCTCGGGCGCAACGGCCTTGCAGACGTCCCAGAAACGCCTGACGACCTGAAGGAAGTTGTCTTGACTCGGCTCGAGCGAGAAGAACGCCTTTAGCGCCTCGTCGACAGCCACTCGCTCCTTCCGCTTGAGCTTGGACAGCCGCCGCTCCTTCGTGTCCCCTACGAGCGCGAGAATGGCGGTGAAGCCGGCGCGGGAGAGGAGCGCGCCGAGCGAAGGGAGGGAGATGACGCTCGGAAAGTGGGCGTCTGGCAGCCTCGAGGCGGGATGGGCGGCGTCGACGAAATCGTCGTGTATAGAGAGGTTCCAGCATGTACGGGTGCAGGTGATTGCGAGCGGGAAACACAGCTTGTGAAGGAGAGTCTCGACGGTGGGAGGAGGGAGGCGGGCGGCCTTGGCGGCGGCGATGAGGCCCTTGACGGTGAAGATTGCGGGAGACGACCCGTCTAAAGCGGCGGGCATCGCGAAGGCAGACGGAGGGAGCAAGAGAAGGGAGGACCGGAAGAGAGAGAGAGAGTCGCGCGAGTCTGGTCTGGCCCGGTCAACGGCGCAAACTGAAACGGACCTGTCGTTGCAAGACATTCAGCATCTGTGAGAAGGATTAGGCACACCGCGTACCTACTGGACACGGGGGCCGCAGCGAGGAGGAGGAAGAGGGACGACAAACCACTTCCGTCTGCGACATTACAACAAGCGCTACGAAAGGGCTCAACGATGAAGCGCTTCATCCCATTCTGTACAACGCTTGTGTCAGCACTAAAAGTCGAGCGGATCGCGCAGCAGACGAAGCAGGGAGGGAAAGCGAGGAGACGCACTTCTGCGAAACGTCGTCGGGCGGCCGGACAGCCTGCGCGAACGTGAGCTGCGGGTCGACCGCGTCAGCACGTCGTCGTCGAGGGCAGGAAGGGAGGGTGCGAAGGGAGAGCGAGGTGGCAGCGTCAGAGGGAAAGCAGCCAGAACGGAGGGACAACTTGACTTACCAGCCTCTTGAGGGACTGGATGTATTTTCTGGACGTCTCGTCGTTGAGGACGTGCGCGACGTTGTTGCTGAAAATTTTCTCACGCCCTGAGCGCTCGTGGATCTGCCCGGCGCCACGAGAGGTGAGGAGGCGAAAAAATCAGCATACGAAGCAACGACGACGACGCGGAAACGTAGACGCACACCAACCATGGTGACCCCAATAGGCCACGGAGCGTTGCCTATACTGAGTCGAAGGTAGGCGTCGTTTGCGCGGAGGTATTCGCGCGTCTGCATGTAGTGCGTGATCTCGGCGATGTTGCGGAGGACGTCCGCTTCGAGTTGCTGTGGGGAGCGCAACGCTGTCAACACGCCGCCCTTGAGTGCTCGAGCCGAGTCTCAAGAGCGTGGAGGGAGGGCGGCGCGACTGACCCGCTTTCGCAAACTCTTGAAGAGCGGCTTGAGGTACTCCGCCGAAGTCGCCTGCGTCGCAGCCGCGATCTTGCCCTGCGCCGAGCGCTTGACAGACTCTGTGTGGCGTAAGATGCGGGATCAACCGGGCTGGATCGCCAGGTGAAGCGAAGAGAAGGGAAGCGCACCTGGTCGGTCGGCGAGAGACTGTTCCCATTCCTTCAAGACGCGCTGCAGAAGGTGGCGATGCGTGGTCAGTCTTGTTCTGTGGCAAGCTACGGGTGCGGGCCTCCTCACCTTGAGAGCGTGGTAGATCTGCGGGTAGACCTTGTGCGGGTTTGTCCGGACCAGGTCCAGGTCGACCAAAACGTCTTCGTCCTTCGGATTCGGCTCCTTCTTGTCTGCGCTTGAATCGACGTCCTCGCCCGCCGAGCCCGCCTGCGCCGGAGTCGCCGACCGCGAGACGTCCTTCGCCGCCGACGGTTCTGGCGTCGCGCTCGCCGATCCGTTCTCGCGCGCCTTCTTCTTCAGCGCATCGACCTTCGTCCCGCCTCCTCCTCGCCGCGCGACCTCCTCCAATTCAGCCTCCTTCTCTTTGCTCTCCAAAGCCCGCTGGAACTCGTTCCTCTGTCCAACGGGTCCCTCGCGCTCTGCGTCCAGCAACTCGAGCGCTCGCAGCCGCAGTCGGCGGTCCTTGTCGGACTCGCCGAAGAGGCGGATGGGCTGTCCCTTCTGGCGTAAGCGGCGGATCGCCTCGTCGTTCGAGATATTGAAGGCCTCGCCTGCCGCGACGTGGAGTTTCGTCGAGAGTGAAGCAGGGTCGGGCGTGGCAGACGTTGAGCGTGCGCGTTTGGGAGTCCCTCCTGCACCAACACTGCCCTCCCGCTTCTCGCCCGCCCTGGCAGAGGACGCCGTTCCATACAGCTTCTCCCTGCGCTCCTTCTCGCGCAGTTCGCGCTCCCTAGCCTGCTCCTCCTCCCTCAATCGCTCGATCTCGCTGCGCTTGAGGTACTTCTTCGGCGGCTCGGTCGAGGTGGAAGCGGCTGAGTCGGTCGGATGAGGCGAGGGCGAGGGGGAGAGCGATTCGAGCTGGCGCTTCTTGCTGGCAATTTCCTGTTTGAGCCAGTCCATCTTAGGGGTGTATGAGCGACACTAAAACCAGTCAGCAGCCTTGTGAGCGAGTGGAGAGCGATTGAGAGATGAAGGCGAAGAGAGACGGCGGGTTGGCAGTCGTCCTCGTCCCCCTCGCGCGCCGATACACAGTGAGCTTGATTCAGACAGATGGGAGAGTGCTACACAGACACGCTCGACCGTCCGCGACTCCTCCCGCGCGATTTGGCGCGGTGACGGCTGCTCGCCCATCCAGCTTCTTCCGACCTGACCTTGCACGCCTCGCACGCGGCTTGAAGGGGCTTGCAGGGTGTGCAATGGGCTCATCCGGGACAGCTGAGGAAGGCGGGACAGGCGCGGACAGCTCGGAAGGCGGGCGTGTGTACGACCAGCCCGTTCGAGGCGGAGAGGGGATGGATCGGGAGATGCGACCGGGGGTTTGGCCTGGCTGGCGAGACGTGCAGGCTCAGCGTGTCTTGTGGGATTGTCGAGGCGGAAGAGCGAGGCGCATTGAGGTTGCGCCAAGTTGGCCTCGCCCGGTCTCCTCGGTACTCTCGACAGACTCGCAACCCTCATACACCCCTTTCCGCACTCTGCTGACTCGCACTGCTCTCCTCTACCCCTTCAGAAAAAACACTATGAGCGACTCGGAGACCCAGGTGCGTTTGCCGCCCTGTCACCTCCTCGCTTCTTGCCCTTCTCGCTTCTCGTACTGACTCCCCTTGTGCGCAGACCTACGTTTTGCAGACGGCCGGCTTCGACGCACGGTTCCCCAACACCAACCAGAGCCGTCACTGCGTGAGTTGCCTGGTTCAACCCTGATCCCTCCCCTTCCTCGGTAGCGGGAAGACGGGTTGCATGCCGCGTTGACAAGCGACTGACGTCTCGCTACGCTCCTCCGCAAACAGTTCCAGGCCTACGTCGTGCGTCGTTCCCGCCTCACCTACCTCTCTCAGACGACTGAACTTGACCGCTCCCATCCGACAGGACTACTTCCGCTGCGTCAACGCAAAGGGCGAGGACTTCCCCGCTTGCAAGACTGTGCTTCGCCTCCTTCGCTCTTTTTGATTGTGCGGGAGAAGGACTGACGACGTTTGGGATCCGCAGTTCTGGCGCACTTACCACTCGCTCTGCCCGAGTGCGTCCAGACTCCCGGTTCTGCTTCTCTACCTCTCGCGTTGGGTTGTTCGCGGACAGACGTTAGATGCGCGGCTGAGCTGATGATTCCTGGGTTCTTGTTTTCGCCCATTTCTGGCGTGAACAGACGAGTGGGTATGTTAGCATCCTCTTCGCGCCGCTCGGAAGGTTTCGAGCTCGCTCGCTGGGCCTCCCCATTGCACATTGAGGAGACGTCTGACTGACGACGATTGCGTCCGCCCGCAGATCGCCAAGTGGGACGAGCAGCGCGAGGAGAACAAGTTCCCGGCCAAGCTCGACTAAGCGGCTCGCTTCCGTCGCAGGTGCGGGTGGGAGACGAGTGGAAGGACATTGTGAGAACAGGATGACGGGACGAAGAGGGTCTGCGAGGTGAATATTGGTGCAAGGAATAGTCGACTTTTCCGTGCTTCCTCGGCAGACAGCACTCGACTCTCGCTCATCCACTCGACCCTTGCCTGCCGCCTTATGCTCTAACCGAACATACGCTTCGTCCCTTCTCTCTCTGCGCCCGCCCGTCGCACGATCACGCTGAAACGGTTTGGACTGGACCGGTTCAGACTGGACTCGTCCGGGCCCACTCCTCCTCTCCCTTCCTCTCTTCACTCGCTCGCTTACATCTCGCTCAGTCGCCATGGCTGCCACCGCAGACCCGCCTTCGACACCCCTCACCGTCGCCAGCCTCATCGCCGAGGCCCAAGCGGCGAACCTTCCCTCTCCTACCGTCGAGACGCTCCTACACAAACTCGTCTTCCCCTATCCTACGCTCCCATGCTACAGGGGCGACAATGGTTGGCGCCACGGCGACTTTGTCGACGCCGCCCATCCAGCTGCGAAGCCGTCTTCGAGCGTCTCTGGACTGTTCTCCCTTCCTTCTCTCGGTTCGATCCTTTCCCGCACGGGCGTCGAGGTCCTCTCCTCGCTTGTGGGCGACGCCAAGGCCCGGGTTCTGTGCGACCTGACGAGCGACGAGCGAGCGGCGCTCGACAAGGCGCTCGAGTCCTTCTTCTCGCCGCGACCTTCTCACACGCCAGCTCACAACCTAATCCCCCGGACCATCAATGCCTTCTGGGACGTCTGCAAAGCCGTCGCGCCCGACCTCCCCGACCGAAACTGGGCTGCGACTTCCTACTCATACGAGTTCGACTGCATCCGCTCCGCCCTCTCGTCGTCGGACACGAGCGACCCTTCAGGTCCGGGCGCTTGGTTCCCGAAGAGCTACAATACGCAGTCTATATTCGCTGGTCTCAAGAACCTGAACGTGGACGAGGAACCCGCCGGCGTGCACGATCTTGGTGGCTCCGACGGGACATTCCTCGAAGAGTTGGAGAAGCAAGTGCGTCCTGCTCGGTCCATTCGGTCTGGAGGCGCGAGCTGACGCACGATGCCGTTGATCGCAGCTCTCGACGAGTATGGGCACGGAGAGGAACGCCGTGGTGCTTCTCCTCGACGACACGCGCTTCAGGCCAGTCTTCGTTCTCGGCCTCGACGACTCGAACCCGCCGCTTCAAAAGCTTGTCGACGGCTTTGGCGCCGACAGAGGTCCTCGCACCTCGCTCGAGTCGGTCGGCGTTGCGGATCCCGAGATCGTCTCGCGCCTGACTTTGGGTCATCGCCTGAAGCCGGTCGTCGCCAAGAAGAACCGCGTCCTCGTCTTTGGCGCGGAGATGCCCCTGGACGCCTCTCTTGAGTCGGAGCAGCAGAGCTTGCTGCACATGCTCGCCCTCGCGGCGCTCGCCAACAACGACAACCTTCGCAAGGAGATCGAGACGGAGCTTCTGCGGCATCTTCCGTGCACGTCTGCCTCGGCCGGCGAAGCATCGCCGCCATCCTTGACCAGCCAGCCGACACCGCTTGAAGGGAACCAGCAATCGTTCCTTCCTCTCGAAATTGACTCGCCCAACTCCGGTACCGCGACGCTCGACAGGCCGCCTACTCTCGACAGGCTGTTGAGCAAGGTCGAAGCGCAGGGGCCTGCCTCGCCGCCTCGCTATCGTCTCGTCACTTTCGACGAGCTTGAGAAGGTGTGCTTCGAAGTCTTCCTTCTCTCGGGTAGACGGCGACTGACTCGCTTCTCCTCAGGGCTGCGCCTTCACCGCCGCTTTCGTCGGGCATGACAACCAGCTCGTTGGCTTCCACCACTTCCCGTCGTCCGAGCCGCTCGAGAAGCCTTCGAGCGTCAAGGTTCCGTCACTCCCGCCGACACCGCCGCCCACTCCTCCGCCTTGCACCGACCTCACAGACGATGCGCTTAGCATACCGTCGGCCGACCCCATCCTCCTCCTCTCCGGCAAACGATTCGGCAGCGGCCATCAAGGATTTGTCTATCGAGCGCATTGCGCCGGCTCGCCCTTCCCCTTCCTCGCCAAGTACTCGTACGACTGGGAAGGTTTCACCCTCATGCAAGACGAGGCCAAGTTCTATCGCAAGAACCGCGAAGCGCTCGAGGAGGAGCAGCTCGCCTCGAGGTTCGTCGGAAGCTGGGAGACGGAGGGAAACGGTAGTCCGAAGCGGAGCGGCTCAGAGACGATGCTGCTCCTCGTCGAGGAGTGGGGAGAGGCGCTCGACAGTTGGCGTGACCTCAAAGGCTGCGAGGCGCAGTTCGTGCATTCCACCCGCTTCAAAGGTTGACCACTACTGACAGCCCTCCCGCAGACGTCAGATGAAGGAGCTCGCCATGCGCTTCCACCTCAGCATTCAGCACAGCCACGAGTCGCTTTCGCCGCGAAACGTCGTCTGGCGTCCCGACGAAGGACCCGCCTCGCTCCGCCTGATCGACTTTGCGAGGAGCGAGCCGCATCAGTGCACCGGCAAGAGCCTTTGCAGCGAGTTGCACGGCTTGGGCAGCAGGCTCGAGTGGGGACTGGGCAGACCCGAGTTCAGCGAATTTGCGGCCAAGCATAGGACGCGGCAGGCGGTCAAGGAGGAGCTGTCCCGCGTGGCGACGGTGCAGCAAGAGCTGGAGAAGCAGGCGGTTCGCGAAGCGGCGTTGTGGTGGACGGTCACTGCTCGGGAGGCGGAACAGCGGTGCGCGGAGAACGGTCCATGCGAGGTCGAGGCGCGTCACAAGCGGAAGGCGTCGCCGGGTCGAGAGGGAGGAAACGACGATGATGGGTTCGACTCTCCGCCTGCCACTCCGCGACAGAGGCCGGCGAAGAAGATGGCTTAGAGCGACGGGCGAGTTGATGAGCTGTATTCGATTGGTTGTATACCTTTGGTCTGTGCATTCTTCAGCGAAGTCACCTGCCTTGACTCCAGGTTCGTAGAGTCGCGCAGGAGGAAGGGATGAGAGCTGTCGTCTCCGCTCTCTTTGGCCCGCGGGGAGAGACGACGCGAACCCATCACTTTGGCACGATCGTCGCGCTACTCCCGCTTCGCTCCCTCCCAGCGATACCTGATCCTCCTCCACCTCCGCCGAACCCGCTCAGACTGACACCGCTGCCAGACCGCGCGCGAGAAGTAGACGAGCCAAATGTCATCTCGACGCCGGAGGACATCCGTTTCATCAAGCCGGGCTGTTACCGCATTTCGTCAGCAGGGGGTCTATAGAGGATGGAAAGGGCTTAACGCACCCGCCGAGACGCAGACTTGCCCTCCTTGAGTTTCTCGATCCGTTCCTTCTCGGCTTGTTGGCGGGCTTCGCGAGATAGTGGTGGAGTTGGAGGAGCGAGGGGCGCAAACCAGCCGCTTCCTGTGATCAGGACAAAACTTGAGCGTTGTAAACAGGACAGGAAGCACGAGACGCACCTGTTCGGAACTGGTACAGCAGACTGCCTGGTTTCGCAGACCCTCCTCCTCTGCCTCCTCCCCCTTCACTCGCTCTTCGCACGTCTGTCGACGACGTCGAAGCCGTCACCGTCCCACTGCGGTCTCGTCTCCGGTCGTCGAACTCGTCCCGCGTCGATTCCTCCGATACCCGTGGCAACTCGAGGCTGACCGCATCCGCCAACTCGCGCTCCAGTTCCTCCGCCGAATGGATAGAGCTCGCCACCGACGGGCTCATCGACCGTGCGCCACTGTCGACCGAAGCTTCTCGAGAGCGGGGATGCTGGATAGACGACGAAGGAGGCGAGACCCAGTCGAGCGAAGGGTCGCGGAACGGATTCGACTCGAACGAGCTCCGGCCGCGGTAGGGGTCGTTCCGTGAGTCGAGAGAACTGCTTCGGATGGACGAGCCGGCCAGGTCGAGCGATGGGCCGCGCGAGGAGAGGGGAGAACGGGACGAGTGGGGAATGCGAGGGTGAGAGTGCTCGGGGGAGGCGGAGGCGGAGCGGAGTGGGTCGTCGTCGGGCGTGAGCATGTTTGCGGTGCAGTCTAGCTTGTGAGTCGCTCTGCAAGCGGTGTTGAGCTGGTGTGAGCGGGTCAAAGGGACGCCCTCATCCTCGGCGAGCATCTTTGCCTCCGCCAACCTCGCCGCGCTCGTCTGGCGCTGCTTGAACATACTGGCACAGCTCTAATGCTGCTAGTCTACCCGTTACGCTTTCGCCCGACGCTGCCGTGCTTCCTGCGCCGACTTCTCCTCCTGACGTCGTTTTTCATCAGTCTGCGGAGCGAGTGACGGAGCAACGCGGCGTACGACGAGTCGGGGAGTGCAGGCAGCGTCGGATGGATGCTTGAGGGAAGTGGCGGGTCGTCGGACGCACAGACAGGGAACCGCGACCGCTGCGACACCTCATGAAGACTTCGCCGGCGAACTCAGCGTGCTCCCGTCGTGCTCGCTTGCCTGAACGGCTAAGCGACGCCGTTGCGTGCATTTTTAGGCTTTTCATAGGCATACGGGATGGGCGGTAGGACCGGAACTTGGCAGAAGGGGTTGTCGCGTTGTCTTCGTTTGCTCTTGCGTATCTCCTCGCCTCGATAAGTGCCATCGGGACCGCTTGTACTGCAGCAGCGCCCTTCCTGCTATTCTTCTCATACGCCGCTTCTGCAAACAGGATTATCGCTGCGCTTAACCGTCTCTTCGCAATGAGACGTCCCTTGGCGCTTGATGGTCGCCCCGGAGCCCTCGACATCGCACCAACGACGACTGCTCGTGCCACGATGGCCCATCATGCATCACCCTCGCTACTTGTTGCTCGAGCGACGACGACACACATTTCGCTTGGGACCGTCTGGCGACGCCTGGACCCCGTCCGGCGGACCCGCGGAGCTTCCGGTCGTGGCAAGGTGCGTCCGCTCACCTTCCTCTCTCTCCCTCTCGCCGCACGCTCACACCGGGAGCCTGTTCCCTCGTTGACATCGTGCGCAGTCGCCGCTGGATTCGGCCCGTCGTCGCTCGTTTATCGCCCCATCTCTCTCGCTCGTTCACCTCACTTCTCGCCTCCTCTCGACTCGCTAGACGGTCGACCAACACTCTCACAATGCACTACACGACGCTTGCTTCCGTCGTCGCTTTCCTGAGCGCCACTGCATCTCTCGCCGCTTCCTCTCGCCTCGACACCCTCGAGAAGGAGTACTCTCACGCCGAGTTCGAAGCCTCCAAAGCCGCCGCCCTCCTCGCTCGCGCCAAGACTTACGGCAACAGTGCCGAAGCGAAGCACAAGCGGGAGGTCTTTGCGGAGAGGGAGAAGCGCTGGGTCAAGGAGGAGAAGCGGCTGGAGAAGGAGATTGAGAAGCGCGCTTCGACTATCTCGCGGATCGTTGCGGGACACAGGACGACGACGACCGCTGCGCCGACCAAGACGGTCAGTCGGGTTCTCTGGAACGACAGGACGGTGCGCGGGACTTGCGCTTCGTCTGTATCTATCGGCCGAGCCTGACTTTCTTCATCCCTAGACTACCGCCACGGCCTCCAAGTCGACCACTACTACCGTTCCTGCGTCTACCTCGACCGCCTCGTCGAAGAAGGGCGTCGGCTACAACATGGCTTCGTACACCTCGAATCTCAAGATCTCGTGGGCGTACAATTGGGGCCAGACGCCCGACGGCACCCTCAACAACGGCGTCGAATACGTTCCCATGTTCTGGGGACCGGGCGGAGCGTCGACGTGGAGTGCGAATGCGCAGAAGGCAATCTCGAGCGGCTCGACGCACCTTCTCGGGCGCGCTTGCTTCCCTTTCTCGTCTCTTTAATTCAGGCTGACTCTCCTTTGTCTCAAAGCATGAACGAGCCAGACCTTGGCTCGCAGTCGAACCTGACGATCCCCCAAGCCGTCGCGACTTGGAAGGCGAACATGTCCCCCTTCTACGGCAAGGCCAAGCTCGTCTCGCCTGCTGTGACGAACGGCGGATACCCCATGGGCGTCGGATACCTCCAGGACTTCAGGGGCAACTGCACGCAGTGCTGGAACGAGATCGACGCCGTGGCGCTTCACTGGTGCGTTCCTTCGACCCGCTTGACCTCCCGGGTCGTTTCCTGCTGTGCTGAAACGCTCAAAATCGTTAGGTATGACCAATCTTGGAACACCGACTACCTCAAAGTAAGCCTCCTCTGCAGTCATCGTTGGTCTACGCGACTCGACTCCAGCTCACGGAAACCTTTCCTCCTGAGTCCGGTACTCATCAGTCCCCCTTCGCCCCCAGAACTACCTCACCGACGCCTACAACACTCTTGGCAAGCCCATCTGGCTTACCGAGTTCGCCGGCAGTGGAACGGTCGCCGAGCAACAGCAATTCCTCAAGACGGTCATCCCCTGGATGGACGCCCAACCCTGGATCCAGCGCTACGCCGGCTTCGGCGACTTTGCCGGCAACTACGTCAACTCGGATGGATCGCTCACCCAGTTGGGCCAGGCGTACTCCGACACCGTCTGAGAAGGAGAATGGGTCGAGGACAAGTGACCCTATCCCCTCCGGCTCTCTCTCTCACATCGTCTACTCGTCGTTTTGTGTTCGTTCAGTATTAGCAGCCCCCGTCTTAGCACTCTCAGCCGCTCTGGTAGCGACACTTGCAACTTTCGCAACTTCTTCGTTAATTCAGCCGCCTTACTCCGCTCCTTTTCTCCCCGAGCCTTCCAGGCTGAATCACACGGTCAGAAACGTGCTCCCTGTGAATCAAGCAAGCCAAAGGAATGAGGCGACACCCTTGTCGCCGCCGTCTCGCGCCTTTCTCCCTCTTCCTCTCTCCACCATGTCGCTCCCGCATCGGCTGAGCTCCGCGCTCTTCCCAGCTACATCAGTCTACGCAGACCTCGACAATTCGCCCGACCCTTTTCCCGACGAGCCAGTCGACACCCGCTCCTCGTCCTCATCAGCCGACACTCGACCAGGTCATCACGACGGCTTGCTCGCACCCGACGGCTCGAGACTGGTGGACGACGACCCCTTCTCGGCTGTGACCCCTTCGGTGCTCAGTCCTGCCTCTGCGCGCAGTCGTGACGCCCAGTTGCACCCGCCGCCCCACCTTGATCAGCGAGGGGGACAGCAGGACTACGAGGGCGCTGGAGCAGGTGGAACGCACGTGCAGGAGACAGACGAACGGGATCCATTTGCGATGGACCAGACGGCACCCTCTCCCAAGCTCGACGACTCACGCTCCCTCTCCCCGACTCCGACTGGCTCCCTCTATCTTCCCGCCCAAGGATCGCCACAGCAACATCCGCATTCTCCGCCGTTCCCTGCACCTTCGGTAGCATCGGTGGCGAGCTCGAGCAGGACCAGGGCGAGTTCAGGAGCGGGAGGGAGCAAGAGCGCGATAGGGAATCGCAGCTTGATGGGCTTGCTCGGCGGGACGCGCTACGAAGGCGGAGGATTCCCGTTCGGAGGGATTGGCGTAGGCGAGGTTGAGGAAGAGGACGAGGAGGAGGACGAGGAGGAGCGGGTTGGGATGCGGCACGAGGAGCAGGGACTACGGACCCCTCGGAAGTGCGTCCCTTTCGCACGCCAAGCCTTTTGTGCAGGTGCTGACCCTTTCGCTCGCTCGCAGAGAAGACTTGCACGACATCGCCGCGTCGCTTCCGCCTCCACCGTCCGCCCTTTCCAGCTCATCGCGAGACGACGAGGAGGAAGACGACGAAGCTCCTCCCGACTTTACCTCTCGCATTCCTCTGATGACGTCTGCAGTTGCACGATCACGCCCGAATCCACTTCAGAAAGCACGACGAGCCGTGTCCCCCTCGACCGCCTCGTCTTCCTCACATCGAACCCGGCGAGGCGCACCAGTCGGCGGCATCCTCGGTTCGGCGCACATCAGGCGCTCGCTCGCCGGCATGAACGCGAAGGAGCGGGCGCTGTGGCGATGGGTCAACGTCACGGACCTCGACGCGTTTTTGCAGCAGGTGTATCTTTACTACGTCGGCAAGGGGATATGGGCGATCGGGCTCGAGCGGACGCTGAACCTCTTGTGCGCATGCGCGATTTTCGAAGTACTCAACGCTCGGGGACTCACGCTTTTCCTTGACAGAACCGTCGGCTGGGTGATCGGCTTTTCGACCTTCCTCGTCGGCTGCATCGACTACCCGCGCCTGTGGGACTCGCACAGGCTGTCCGAGGTCGTCATCCCCCGATGCACGAGTCGGTGCGCCCCCTGCGATCCTTGCTTCCGCCCTGCAGATGCTGACCCGGCTTCCTGCAGCATGTCCGGCTTCACCCTGCTCCTCTTTATCGCGTTCGCCGCATTCTACGCCTGGCGAGTTGTAAGGTTTGGGATGGGCGTGCGACGATTGTGGGACATGCACGAGTTCTACACGGAATTGCTCGAGGTGCCCGAGGTGCGCGGTACCGCTCGCTAAGAGATTACCTTCCGCTGACCATCGTACTCCCGCAGAGCGACATTCAGACGATCCCTTGGCATGCCATTGTCGCCCGTCTTTCAGCACTCCGCGCCTCCCACCCTTCCGCCCTCTCCTCCCGCGCCCACTCGTCCGATCCAGCTCGCCCAGCAGAACGCCTCGACGCGCACGACGTCGCAAACCGCATCATGCGCGAAGAGAACTACCTCATCGCTCTCTTCAACAAGTCGCTCCTCGATATCTCGCTTCCGCTGCCACAGCCCGTCGCGAAGGTCGTCGGCAAGAAGCGGTTCGGGAAGAGCATGCTCACGCAGACGCTCGAGTGGAACTTGAGCTTCTGTCTGCTTGGCTTCTTGTTTGGGCGGGATGGGCAGGTTAGGCGGGCGTTCTTGAGTGAGCGGAACAAGAAGGAGCTCGTCGAAGCGTGAGTCGGCCGTTCCTGTCCTTTTCTGTCTTGTACTGACACGCTCCGTACCGCAGGCTGCGACGACGCTTCATCCTCATGGGGCTCATCAATGCCGTGTTTGCGCCGTTCATCGTCCTCTACTTGCTCATGTACTCGTTCTTTCGCTACTTCGAGGTGCGCCTGCAGCCGAACCCTCTCTCTTTCAGCGGGCTGACATGCTTCTGCCACAGGAGTACCATAAGAACCCCTCGTCAATCGGCTCGCGACAATTCACGCCGCTCGCACGCTGGAAGTTCCGCGAGTTCAACGAGCTCCCGCACCACTTCCAGCAGCGCCTCGCCCTCGCCCACCCGCTCGCCGACCAGTACATCAACCACTACCCGAAAGCGAAGACGGTTCTCCTCTCCCGCTTCGTCGCCTTCCTCGCCGGCTCGTTCGCAGCAGTCCTCATCCTCTTCTCCCTCATCGACCCCGACGCGTTCCTTCACTTTGAGATCACGCCCGGCCGAACCGTCCTCTTCTACATCGGCGTCTTCGGAACGATCCTTGCAGTCGCGAGGGGCATGTTGCCGGATGAGAATCGCGTCGTCGACCCTGAAGAGCTCATGCGGAACATCGTCGAGCACACGCACTACCTTCCGAAGGAGTGGAAGGACAAGCTCCATTCCGCCGAGGTGCGTCACCAGCCAGCGCTTCTGCCCATTTCTGCTGACAGTACTATCGGCGCAGGTCCACGTCGCCTTTGGCAAGCTCTTCCAGATGAAGGTCTCGCTCTTCCTGCAGGAGCTCTTCTCGGTCCTCATCACGCCTCTCGTCCTGTGGTACTCGCTGCCTAAGTGCGCAGGACCGGTCGTCGACTTCTTCAGGGAGTTTACGGTGCATGTCGATGGGCTGGGCTACGTCTGCAGTTTCGCGGTGAGTCCGACCGGGGGCGCTGTCACGCATGCTGCTCGTCGGTCGTTCAGCTCGAACTGATGCAGGACTGTGTCTATCCACAGGTCTTCGACTTCAAGCGCCACGGCGACCCGAGTTTCGGCGCGCCCGTGCAGGTTCAGGACGCGAGGTGGAAGTCTGCGGAGGGCAAGATGGAGCAGAGCTTCCTCACCTTTGCCGCCGTGTGTCCGACACCCCTCTCGCACGAGCTCGCAAACTGACGCTCTCACCCGCGCAGTCCAACCCGGCTTGGGTCCCGCGAGACCAGGCTCAGTCGCTCTTCCTGAGCAAGATGACCGAGACGCCTCCCATCGCCGGCCCGGCCCATCCGCATCCAGCTTCGTCGACAGCGCTTCACTCGTCGCTGCATCTCTCGACCGCCTACCCACGGTCGCGCAACCACTCGGCCTTCCCTCACTCTCGCCAGCACTCGTCTCGACTTGCCGGCTCGCCTTTCACGCTGCCTGAAGAAGACGCAGTCGATGGGCCCGTGCAGCCCCACCCCTCGACAGGCGGGCAGGCGCAGCGGCGAGCGGAAAAGGCGAGGATGTACGATCGCGCATTCCAGCAAAGCGCGCTCCTGAATTCGGCGTCGACAACCGGTGGACCGCGCTCTGCGATGTCCCCGCCTCGTCGTGGGCAAGGCATGGCGAGTCGAGCGGGCCACGACGCGGTCATCCAGGAAGAGTCGGCGCTCGACGGAGAAGGCCCGTTCGTCGCGCCGAGCGATGCGCAGCCTTTCGGCCTGCCCAGCGACGACGAGGACGACGTCGAGGGAAGGCATGGCGTGGCGGAAGGAGGCGGTCGAAGCGGAGAGACGGAGGTCGAGCGGTTGAAGCGGAAAGGATTGGGCGGGCTCGTCGGCGAGTTGTACCGGCGGTGAGCGTGCGGGTGTTTCCCCTTCTTCTTCCTTACATGCTTGTTGTCGTTTTTACGCGTCCAGGCCCTGTATCGTGTGACATTGTTCCGTTGGAATCGCGACGGCTTCCGCCACGTCCTCGTCGTCGTCGCCTCGCTTGTTCTCCTCCGTCCTCACGCTTCAGCTCGTTCGCGGCTGCTCTTTCTCGCTCGTACACACCCGCAAAACGCTGCACAGGCTTCCACGGTCACCATGAACAGCGCGGTGTCTGGAATGGTTTTGTCGCTCGGCGCGATGCAGGCAAGTGTCGCACGACCTGTTTTGGTCCAGATTTGAGCTCGCAGCGCATCAGGGAACATTTGCAGACTCATTCGTCGAGTTTGACCGTTCCCGCGCTGCTGTGAACGCGAGCTGACACCCATTCGTCCTCGCCTCCTCCCCATCGCCAACTCGCACACGACTCGCCTGAACGGTGCCGGTACCGCCCGATCCGCCTCTTCTACCCTCATCACACGCATCTCTCACTCGCGCGAACCCCCATGTGCCGACGTCGTCCTCATCCGACGCCGCGCACTCGCCCCCCTTGCGGTTTCGCTTTCCCGCCATCCTCGCGCTGAACGCCCGCCGACACCCTCAACCCTCTCAATGAACCCCGTACATTCATTCGCGACACGCGCCGCCGTCTCCAGGTCGCCCGCAAGATCGACTTCAACGACCCCCAGGTCCTCACCTACGTCCGCATCTTCTACGTTGCGGTTCAGGCTATCGTTCTCGGCGTCTACTACTATGCGACTCTGAAGGTGCGTGGCGAATTCCTCACCAGCGTGCAGCTCCCGACGTCGGGAACATCTACCCGGATTCAGGTCTGACCGGCTCACTTTCGCGCGCCTCGTTTCGCAGATCAAGCAGAAGAACGACCTCAAGGTGCTCAAGTACACCGAGCCGGCAAAGCCGATGTCTGGCGAGGGCCCGACGCAGGTCACGACCACGAACCGGGACTACGACCTCGCCGAAACCAGCAAGGCGATCCGTGGTGTTCTCATGGGCGTCCTCTTTGTGCGTTGCGAGTTGCCATGGAACTGTCATTCGTTCCACAGAGGCAGGGGCTTACTTAGTACGCGGTTTTCTGCGCAGATGGCCTTCATGCACGGCTACATGAAGTACACCCAGCCGCTCTTCATCCAGGGCATCATGCCCATCAAGGCTCTCTACGACTCCAAGGTGCGTCCCACTCCCTTTCTCCCCTCCTCTTTCCGCCCCTAACCCTCGACGCCTCCCAGATCCTCCGCATCCACCTCCTCAACCGCCCCGCCACCGGCGACCTCAAGCGACCGTTCGAGGCTCCTCCCTCGCTCTTCGCGCCCAAGACATCGTCCGACAACTCGTCTTCGACTGCTGCGGCCGAGCCTGCCAAGGTCGAGGCAAAGAAGGACAAGTAGGCGTACTCAGCATGCGGGTTGGAAAGCGGGAGAGCTGGAAAGGAGGTAGAAGGTGTCTGGGTTGCTGGGTTTGTCGCAAAATTTGCAGTCTATCTCGCATCGTATTGCGGTTACGGTGAGTCCCGCCGAGGCTGTCCCTTCGCTTGCTCCGCCTCTCGTCGTCGGATTGGTCGTATCGACACAGCTTCCGACGCTGCTCTTCGGCTCATGTGTTCACCCCGTCTTTGGTTTCGGCTTCACAAGGCTTGGGATTCGCAGCTTTCCAGGCTTTTCCTCTCCTTTGACTCTCAGGCTTCACTGGCTTCGATCGCTCTCGCTCATCCCCTGATGCTCAAGTCCCATCGATGGCTTTCCTGACCTCTACAGTCCTGGTGCTTGCGCTCTTTTGTTCCGCGTCGGCCCTCTCGGACCCGTTCCTCTCGTACTCGGCTGCGTTGGGCGGTCTCGCCGGCCCGCTTCACGGTCTTGCGAACCAGGAGGTCCTCAGGATCATCCTCGGCATGCAGAAGGAGCTCGGTGACTCGCCCTCTGACGAGCAGATTGTCCAGTACATCTGGAAGACGCTCAACAGCGGCCAGGTCATCCCCGTATGAACTCGCTTTCCTTTCTTCCCTTCGTTCGACGGGGGCTGACGTTGGATCAATGTGCAGGGATACGGCCACGCCGTCCTCCGCAAGCCCGAGTGCGTTCCCGTCCCGCCCGACGAGGAAAAGACTTGCGAAGGCTGACTTTCTCCTCTCGTCGCAGCCCCCGCTTCGCCGCCCTCCGCGAGTTCGGCAACAAGCACCCCGAGACGGCCAACGACCCCGTCTTCCGCATGGTCGACTCGCTCTTCAAGGTCGCCCTGGGCGTCCTCATCGAGCACGGCAAGACCAAGAACCCGTTCCCGAACGTCGACGCCGCGTCGGGCTCGTTGCTCTACCACTACGGTCTCCGCAACTTTGACTTCTACACCGGTGCGTGTGTTTCCAGCTCGTTTGGGACCCCCCAACTCGTTTGGGACCCCCCAACTCGTCTGGGACCGTTTTTCCGAGACTGATCTTGGCTTGCACTTGTGCAGTCACCTTCGGCACGTCGCGTGCTATCGGTGCGCTCTCGCAGTTAGTCTGGGATCGCGCGTTGGGACTCCCTATCGGTAAGTGCTGTCCATTTTCTCGCGGTGACGCTGGACTTAGCGAGGGTGGCCAACGTCCCGACCTGCCTGTCCTTCCCGCCCGCTCTTCTCGTACTGACTCGCTCTCGCCACGCACACAGAGCGCCCCAAGTCGCTCTCGATGGAGGCCATCCTCAAGCTCGTCAAGTAAAGCGCTCGCGACCGAAGCGCTGCTGCGATGCGTTTGTAGACAACCCTCTTCTCCGCCCACTCCGCTCCGTCTCTCTTTCTCCTTCACAAGAACACAAAAGATTGGCTTCTTCGTCCCAGCAACGTTCCCGTCTTTGCCTCTCCGACCGTTTGGCGGCGAGAGGTGGAAAGTGAGCGGGCTGGACTGGCGCGAGACGGGCTTGCTTGCGGGCGTCTCCCCTTGCTGCTTTTATACGGGCGTCGTATGCTCTCGAGGTGACCGCTCGCGACGCCTACGATGCCGGAAAGCCCAACGAAGGAGGTTGTCGGCGCCAGAGTTCCGCTGCGAAAGAAGAAAGGCGGCTCTTCCGCTCACCGTTCGCTCGCTCACGCCTTGTGGCTCTTTGCGCTGGCCAGCTTCATTGAGACGGCACGCACACTCTTCCTGCGCTGCATACACACGCCTTGCGCACTCCACGCCGACTCTTGCCTCCTCGCTTACTCTCCTCGGCAACCGCTCGCTCGCCTCACAGCCCCTGAAGGCATCGGAACGGTCCGTCAATACGCCGGAAGACGGGTCTAAAGGTGTCTGATCATAGTGCAACGGCTCACGGTGCGTTGTACACGCCGCGAAATCCTCATCTCCTCTTGGTCTCGCCCCGGCTCTCCGGGCGAGACTGGGCGTCGAGTCCGCCTGTCACGCGTTCGAGCTGACTTTGACGCTCCTCACAGACTCTAACGAGCTGCCAGGCGAACCCCCGACTCGCTCGTCGACCCAGACCACCTCGCTCAACCAGCACCGCCTCCCCTCTCCCTCTCTCGCGCAATGTCAGCCGCACCAATCGCCTCTACCTCCTCCGCCATCGATCCAGCGGAAGCCAGTACCTCCAGATCCGCGCTTGGAAAGCGGAAACGCCTCCCAGCATGCGACTGCTGCAAGATGCGGCGTTTGAAGTGTGAGCCGGTCCCGCCTCCTGGGAGCTGTCCGAGGTGTAAGGCGACGGGCGTGGTGTGCACGACGACGCCGACGGTCAGGAAGAAGGCGGCTGGACGGACGGGGAAGAGGATTGAGGAGGCTAAGTGAGTTCGCTCACTTTATCTGGCTTCGGGAAACGGCAGGGAGAAGTCCTTGACTCGACCCTGGCTATTTGCTGCCTCGCTCCTCAAGTAGGTAGAGCTGACCCTGCTATGCGCAGGGCGACATTCGGCACGGCAGATCCCGACGCGCCCGACTTTATGGGCGCATCAAACACGCCTTGGCTTCCGCTGCCCCAAAGTGGCTCCCTACCGACCTCCGTCCAGCCCCCGTCGCTCTCGAACGAGTCGACTGAGAACCAGCTATCGAAGCAGGAGATAAGCAGCGCGCTCATCTCGCATCTCCTTGAGTGTGCGTCGTGTCTTTCTCAGAATCTTAGGCCAGGCTGAGGTGACGTTCTCCGCTGCGCAGTATATCAAGCCCTACCGCAGTCCTGGCTGCCCATCGGCGTACGAGGGAAGGTGTTCTCGCAATTCGAGGCGGCTGGCCGCCAACTCGATGCACTGAGTCCTGATACCGAGGTACGCTTCCTCGCCTCCGTAACGTCGACTTCGCTAATGCATCGTCGGTCGCAGGTCCTCGCTCGCGTTACGATCGCCCTGACCTCCCGCCTCTCCTCCCATCCCGCTCTCTTCGGCCCCGGCTCTCCCGTCCCGGCCTACGAAACCCTCACGACCTCGTACCTCGAATCGCATCCCGATCTGCGACAGTACGGCAAGCGGCGACAAGCGGTCTGCGAGCAGTTGCGGCGAGAGGCGGTCGAGCTTGCTTGGCGGAGAGGGACGCTGGCTGTTACAAGCGAGGAGAACATGGCGAGCTGCTACCTGCTCGAGCTGCTGGAAGGAAGTGAGTAGCGTCTGAGTCAGCTTCTCGCGCTTGAGCTGACGTCAAAGTCGCAGGAAACGATCCAGTTGCCGGCAAGCCCTACGGCAGCGCATTCGTCTCGCACCTCCAGACCATCCTCAACGGTCAGGACGCTCCCGGCGCGACGATGAAGATTGTCAACATGTCGCTTGCATGGAGCGCGCTAATCGTGCGTCGCCTCGTCTGCCCTGTTCTCGCATCGAGCCGAGCTGATTTCAACCTGCAGATGCGAGAAGCCCTCCAAGCCGCGAACGCCGGCCGCACCTCGCACTTCACCGCGACAGATGACCTCATTCTCTGCGGCGAAGTCCCACGCTCGATCGAGGAAACGCTGCTCGAGTCGGTCGAGGACGTGGACGTGCGAGACTCGGTTCGGCTGTTCTTTGCGCCTATGCGGCCTTACACATATCATTGCGCTCGACTGGCGCGGGAGTGCGGCGAGAAGATCACTGGCAGTGAGTTGCGGACGAGTTATGGTCCAGGAAACATACCGCTAACGCCGCTTCGCTACAGCCGCCGCCCGACGCCAGCCATTCTCGGAGCAGTACCTCGCCAAGTACCTGACGCAGCTCGACCACCTCCTCCACCTTTTCGCCCTTCTCGAGTCCCGCATCGCCTTCGTCCTCTCGCCCGCTGCAACTTCCGCCCACTCCCTTCCCGCACCTTTCGAGACCGAGCGGCAGTTCATCATGCGAGCGTGCCTGCACACGCTCGGTCTCGCATGGTCGTCGCTCTCTCTCCCCGTCCACCTCGAGCTGAACCGTCGCATTGCCGAATTGCGCGATCCACCGCCGGACCACCAATCGGCTTCGCACCTCCAGCCCAGCCGGAAACGGACGCTTGAGCGCCTTGAGCTGCTCAGGAAGCAGGTCGAGCAGGTTACGCTCAAGGCTGCGCGGATGGTCGCCCAGTGTGTGCACGAGGCGCCGAGTTTGGCGTTCCTCGTACAGCTGTCGGGCGAGAACTTGGACAAGTGGGTCAAGGTCCTTGTTGACGCGAAGACCGTGGAGGAGGGTGGAGCAGGCATCACGAAGGAGGAGAGGGAGCAGGACTTGCGCTGGTGAGCTCGCCCTTGTCGCCCTTCGTGCGGACCTTGAGCTCACCTTGCGACTTTGATAGGATCCTGCAAGGGCTGAAGACGATGGGTTGGTCTTGGACGGACCTCGAGGGTCTGACGTCCACGATTGAGGAGGCGCTTGGCGGTGCTACGCTCGAGGACGCGCCGCAGGAGGAGGCGGACCCGGCCAGCCCGCAGCTGTTGCCGGAGACGACGATGTCCGACTTTGCGAATGGCATGTTCGCTACTGCACCATCCGCAGCATCCGCATTCGACTTCGCCTCGCACGCACAAGCACAGGCGTCGACTTCGGCCGCCCAGCCTCCTCCGCCTGCACAGCCGGCTTTCGCCTCAACGTCGAACGCACCCGCCGCGCCACTTCCCGACCTCTCTACGCTTGAGTCGCTCTTCGGCAGCGCACCCGCACCCGCCGACCCGCCTCCCGGCCTGCCCGACCTCTCGACCCTCATCTCGCTGTACTCGTCCGGCGCGCTCAACCCGATTCTGACTACGCTCAGCGGCACGATGGACGTCAACACGCTCGCGTCGCAGTACTTCGCCGGGACGCTTAACGTCAATGCGTTGCTGGGCACGCTCGGAGGCGGAACGGCCGGGATGGGCGAGGCAGCGAGCGCTTCTCCCGCGCCCTCCGGCGCTGGCGCTGGAGACGGATCGATGGCCGAGTTTGACCTGGCCGCCTTCTTGGCTGAGCCGGCGTTTGGGATGCCCAGTCCCGGAGGATTTGGGGGCGGAGGAGCGGGGGGATCAGGCGAAGCGGGCGGTACTTCAGGTTGATGCGTGGACTGGATCCGCTGCAATGCCTTCCATGACCTCACCCTGTGCTGTTGCACCACTCAGCTCGCCCTACGAAGCGAGAGAAGCCGCTGTCTTCGCTTTGCGTTCCGCTTCCCCTCCTTCGCTTCAGCTTGTTCGCTCGCTCATCGCGAATCGCGCTTCTGACCGCGTAGACACACTTGTACGTGCTCTCTCACCCTTCCCTGGAGCTTGGTCAGCGCCCATCGCGCGCCTGAGGCGCTGAGCCCGCCCCGCCCTCTTCATCGCTCCAGTGTTGACCTCCTCGTACCCGTCGCCCACAGCCTCGCAAGGCGTTTTTGGACGCGAGACCGTGCTCTAGAGCTTCCTATAGCAGCCCACGCTTGCCTTCCACGCTCGGAAGCGCTTCCCCACCGCCGACGACCCCGCTCACTTCCTCCTCGCTCGGACTGTCCACCATGTCGCGCTCTTCCTCTCGCGGTGCGTGCGCGGCATCTGATTACGCCCCTCGAGTTGTACCGACCCACTCCGCCTGCCCGCAGTTGCATACAAAACCTCGGAGATCCATCTCCCCTCCCACACCCTCGAAGCTCCCGCCAGCTCGACCAGCGCAGCCTCGACCTCGCCGCTCAAGACCCGCGCGTCCCTCCGCACTCGCGAGTCGTCCATCGCCTCGTCGTCGACTGCCGCCGCTACGCCGAAGAAGCGCGGACGGGCGTCGATCGCGCCGGGCGCGGGAGAGGAGGACTCGCCGAAGAGCGCAAAGAGGGGCAAGAAGGACGAGGGAGGCGGAGACCTGTGGGATGCCGAGCTCGACAAGGTCCTCTATGCCGGTGCGTGCCCGTCCAGGCTTCTGAGCGGCTAGTCGCTCCCGGCTAATCCGTCTGGCGCTGGCAGGCATGGCTCTCTTGCCCAACATGGGCCGTCGCACGATCTGGCTTGAGGATGACGACGAGTCGTACGGTCGCAATGGTCTCCTTGGCGAGTACATCCGCCGCCAGACAGGCAAGATCCGCAACCGCACCCAAGTCGCCAGCCACATCGCCGTCCTGCGCAAGCACAACCCGAACGACAGGAAGCGTGCGTTCGCTATTCTCTGCTTCTAGTCGGTCTTGAGCTGACACTTGCCCTTGCAGTTGCCGACCTGATCCTCGGACACGATGTCGCGCCGGAAGACCTCATGACTACGCACTGGGCCGAGCTGCTCGGCGAGGATCGCTTCCCCGAGACCCGCAAGCTCGCCAAAGAAGTCAACGATGCCGTCAAGGAGCACCGCGAGCTCGTCGTCAAGCAGCAGAAGGCCCGTCGCAAGTCGCACAGCGGCTCGCCTGCGCCGCGCAAGCTTCGCACGGACGACGAGGACGAGACGGACGGCTTGACGAGCGAGGCGGAGGCTTCGGGGACGCCCAGACGTCGTGGACCTGGTCGCCCGCGCAAATCAGTCGTCGCTTCCTCCTCGGCCGCCTCGAACTCGACTCCTGCTCGCGCCCGCACGCCTCGCAAGTCGCTCGCCGCGGCTGTCACACCCTCGAGCTCGGCGTACGCTGCGACGACGCCCGGCACCGCATCGCGCCGCTCGGCCAGGCACTCGCTTGCCGCTGATGCGTCGGCTGTCGAGGCGACCACTGACGACGAGACGCCCAGGCGCAAGTCAGCTCGTACTTCAGCTGCCGCTGCTGTTGCGCCTGGATCGGCGAGGAAGGGCAAGGGGAAGGCCATGGCGCCGGTCAAGAAGGACTCGACTCCTCCCCCGCCCGTTCCTGTCATCCCCGACTCGCTCGCCGCCGAGTCATCCGCCGCGATGGACGTCGACGCCGTCGTGCAGGACAACACACACGTCGAAGTCGTCCCTGCTTCGGCGGGCGAGTCGGTCGAGAGCGGCTTGGCCGGCGAGAGCGGTACGGGCGGGTGGTTCTCGGGTGTCAAAAAGGGCTTGATGAAGCTCGTTGGGTACTAGGCGCTCAGGAGGAGCTCGCTTGTTGACGGGGTGAGGAGGCTTGCTTGGGTTACTGGTTCTCGAGCTCTCGGGTTGTGCGCTACTTGGCTTGATTCTGTTATACCCCCGTCTCTCCCCGCCCGACTTATCTGTAACGCCGCCTTTGCTTATCTCTCGGTCTTTCACTCGTGAGAGATCGGAAGATGGCCAGCGAGCGAACGGTGAGCGGAAGAGGCCGCCTTTCTTCTTTCGCAGCGGAACTCTGGCGCCGACAACCTCCTTCGTCGGGCTTTCCGGCATCGTGAACGTTGCGAGCGGTCACTTCGAGAGCATACGACGCAGGTGAAAAAGCAGCAAGGGGAGACGCCCGCAAGCAAGCCCGCCTCTCGCCAGTCGAGCCCACTCACTTCCCACCTCTCATCGCCAATCGGTCGGGAAGGCAAAGACGGGAACGTTGCTGCGACGAAGAAACCAAACTTTTGTGTTCTTGTGAAGAAGACGAGGAAAGACAGAGCGGAGTGGGCGGAAAGGAGGGTTGTCTACAAACGCGAGCAGCGCTTCGCTTCGGCGGAGAGCGCTTTACTTGACGAGCTTGAGGATGGCCTCCATCGAGAGCGACTTGGGGCGCTCTGTGCGTGGACGAGGGAGTCAGCGCGAAGGAAGGGAGGAAGAGGGAAGGAGGAACGGCGGGTCGAACGGTCGCCGTCGTCGCCAAGTTCAGACGACGATAGGAACGACAGGACTTACCGATAGGGAGTCCAAGAGCCCTATCCCAAACATACTGCGAGAGAGCACCGATGGCACGCGAGGTACCGAAAGTCACTGCAGAGTCGCGAGAAGAGAGAAGGTCAGCTCGTCAAATCTGCGTCTCTCCTTGGGAGACGGAAACGCGCCGGTGTAATAGGGGAACTGTGTAAGCCCGTAGTGGTAGAGCAGCGAGCCTGACGCGGCGTCGACGTTGGGGAAGGGGTTCTTGGTCTTGCCGTGCTCGGTGAGGACACCCGGGGCGACCTTGAAGAGCGAGTCGACCATGCGGAAGACGGGGTCGTTGGCCGTCTCGGGGTGCTTGTTGCCAAACTCGCGGAGGGCGGCGAAGCGGGGGCTGCGACGAAGCGAGAGAAAGTCAGCCTTCGCAAGTTGCGAGTCTTCGAGCGGGACGGGAACGCACTCGGGCTTGCGGAGGACGGCGTGGCCGTATCCCTGCGCAGGATCCAACGTCAGCACACAGCGAACGAAGGGAAGAAAGGAAAGCGAGTCCATACGGGGATGACCTGGCCGCTGTTGAGCGTCTTCCAGATGTACTGGACAATCTGCTCGTCGCTAGGCGAGTCACCGAGCTCCTTCTGCATGCCGAGGATGAACCTGAGGACCTCCTGGTTCGCGAGACCGTGAAGCGGGCCGGCGAGACCGCCGAGCGCGGCCGAGTACGAGAGGAACGGGTCCGAGAGGGCCGATCCGACGAGGTGGGTCGTGTGGGCCGAGACGTTGCCTCCCTCGTGGTCGGTGTGGAGCGAGTTGTAGAGCCTGATGAGCTCTACAAATCCCTCCGAGTCGCCAAAGCCGATCTGGGTCGCAAAGTTGGCCGACAAGTCCTTGGTCTTGTCGACGGGGGCCATGTTGGCTGCCCCGTCCTTGTACGAGTGGAGGTAGATCCTCGCGGCGATGGTGAACGACTTGGCGACGCAGTCGAGCGAGTCCTCGAGCGCCGGCTCCCAGTACTCGGCCTTCTTCATCCCGGCCTTGTACCTGGCAGCAAACTGCGAGTCGTGGTTGAGCGCGGCGACACCGATGACGAACTGGGTCATCGGGTGGAGGGTCTTGGCTGCGGGCGCGAACGCTCTATCAGCCACCGCTCTGAAGCACACTCAAGAGGCCGCGGCACTCACGCAACGAGTCCAAAACCTTCTCGACGTGAGCCGGGAGCTCAGAGCGCGAGACGAGTTCCTCCTGGAACTGCTTGGTCTGCTCGGCGGTGGGGACCTTGCCCGTGAGGAGGTACCAGAACATGGCTTCGGGGAGGATCTCCTGGCCGCCCGGGGCGGTGGGGAGGTCGCGCTGGCATTCGGGGATCGAGCGGCCCCAGAAGCTGTGGGAGCGAGGGAGCGTTAGCGAGTGTGCGGTGGAGGGAGCGAGAGAGGGAAGGGGACGAACCGGATACCCTCCTCGGCATCAAGGACCGACGGGTCCCAAAGCATGAACTTGATTCCGCGTCCACCACCGACGACCTGCGCGTTCCTCACTCAGCTCAAGTTCTCAATGATGTAGTGGGTAGGTCGGGCGCACCTGCTCGACGGTGACGTTTCCGAGCGTCTTGGCTCCGTGCTCCGACTTGATCTGCTTGAGGAGGGCCTGGCGCTCGGGGATGATCTCCTTGAGGGTCTCGCGGATGGTCTGCGCGCGCGTCGAAGAGGGTTAGTTCGGAGTTCGCGACAGTGGGCGGGATTGCGCGTGTTTGAATGGGCGGTCTGGAGGGACCCAGTAGCACTTAAAGCTCGATAACTCCACCCGCAGAGCCATCGCTGAGGAAGCGGACGACGGGACCCGGCACTCCGTCCCCATCTGGTCCTCCTCCGCCCTCGCGTCGCTCAACCCTCAGACCTCGCGCGTCGTTGCGACCGGTACAGAAAGTCCCGATCTGATGTGGACCACTCTTTGCCAGACGCGCGAGCCCGCTGGAGAGCTGGAGGAAGGCGGCGGGTCGATCGACAAGATCTCTCTCTGTGCACCTCCAACCCATCCGTCCCTTGTTCTCCCACAGTCCAAGGGAAAGAGGCGAACGGAGACTGACCGAGACGTTGCGGCGATTGGCAGCCTGAGCGGCGGTGCGCTGTTCGTGCCCGAGTCGAGCGAGGGTCAGCACGAGGTGTCCTGGCGGGTGACGAGCGAGTCTCTTGCTTCGCGGCAAGGAGCGAGAGAGAGGGAGGGTGGGAGCGTACGGCTGCGGTGCGGGTGGCAGAGAACATGGCTGATCTACTGTGCTCTGGTAGAGAGAGAGAGAGGGAGGGGACGCGAGAGGGAGAGAAAGAGGGCAAAGGACGAGGACGCCGAGGAGACCGGACAGACACGGGCCCACTCCCTCACCCTCTCCTGCTCTCTCTTTGCGTGCTACTGGGACACTGGCACAGGCTACACAGTGACTGCCACACGCTGTAGTGGCACCCTCTGACTCACCGTCGCCGCGCCGCCCGCCGTCCTCGTCGTTCGCGCCCAACAACTCGCCCCTGCTCCCTCACACCCGGCTACCTCTCCCCAGCACCCCGGCTCACTCGACCATACGTTTCTATCCGCGCACTGCACACTTCAGATGAGCTTTACCACCCTCAGCGATCCAGGCGCATCCGCTTCTCCTCGCTCGCTCGAGGCGCTCGCGGGCGTTGTCCGAGGACAATCCGGCCAGAGGGGCTGAGTGTGGCTGAGTGGGTTCAAAAGACGCCTATCTTAACTGAATGGGCGGGCTCGGGACGGAGGATACTGGCTGGAACGATCGTGCGGAGCCACAACGACTTGCTTTTCTCTCTCGCTCGCTCGCTCGACGACATGCTTGAGTTTTTGCTCCATCCAGGCCTGCAAACCCGCTGACGCTCCTATACTCGACGTGTCAGTCAGTCGCTGAGTGACGAAGAGCGAAGGGCGATGGCTTCAAGCGGGTCGCCCTGCGCCGAACTCGACTTGCCTCGACCTCTCCTCCCGCCCTCAGAAGGCTTTCGTGCTCTCTAGGACTGGAGGAGCCCGGAAATCTGGTCTACATGCCGGCGCTACTGCCTACGCTCTTCGGCACAAATGAGCAGCTTCTTCGTTCTCTCCAGCTTCGCTCCTTCATTCCGCCCTCACTCTCTTGCTCCTCCTCAGCTCCCTCTGTTCGCTGCTGCCGAGCGGAAAGTGACCGGGTGGGACTCACCACGCGTTCACCGGCTCACGACGAGCAAAGGGGCGGCGCAGCGCAAGCAAGCGACACAAGATTACAGTAAACCCAAGACGCAGTTCTCCTCGCCGTCTCGCGCCGCCTTGTACTCCGTCGACTTTATGGTAGCAGAGTTCTTGCAACGAGCGTTTCGAAGCAATTTCGAGTAGAATGAGTTCACTGCACAGCAACTGGGTCGGCTTGCAGCGGCCCGCTCCCCCTCTCCTCTCTCCCTCTGCCTCTCCTCTCACGCAACATGTCCGCCCAACCCGCTCACCCGACAGACACAAGAGCTTCCGAACCAGAGACAGAAGTAGACTTCAACCCGCTCGATCACTCACACAGGAGGTGGAACCCGTTGAAGAGGGAGTGGGTGTTGTGCAGTCGTGCGTTCCTCTGCTCCGTCGTCCTCGCGCTCGCTTGGACTGTCCGTCTCCGGGTTGGGTTACGAAATGGCGCACGCTTGGCGGAGTCGGGCGGGCTTTGCTGAAGAAGAGGAGGACTAGGAGGGACGGGGATCGATGACGCGCGCCGGACTGCTTTCCTGCGCGCTTTGGGGGCCCATGCGAGTCACAGACGAGCTTTCGGGATGACTGCGGTGCGCTTGCGAGGGTTCTACGCTGGCGTGTGGCGGGAGGTTGAGGGGGAGGAGGGCCGAGGGGAGGAGCGGTGGAGGGTTTGTGGGAGGATAGAAGTGGATGCTGCGCTGCTATACTACCCCTAACCACAAGGCGCATACGGCGCTACCAACTCCACCCCATTCCTCCGTACGCTAACTCCTCTCCTTGCTTCGCGCACGCAGCCCACCGCACCAAGCGACCCTGGCAAGGCGCCGTCGAACCTCCCCAACTCACTTCTCTACCGGAGTACGACGACAAGTGTTATCTTTGTCCGGGGAACGAGAGGGCGGGAGGAAAGAGGACGGAGAGGTATGAGGGGACTTTTGTTTTCGAGGTGCGTTGTCGGCCGCTTCTCCTGTCTCTTCTTCCCGTGCTCTCTGTTAGGTGGGTGTTGAGGATGTAAAGGCGGTGATATGTGCGCGCAGAACGACTTTGCCGCCCTCCTCCCCACTCCCATCTCCCCTCCCGCTCCCGCCTCCGAAGACCCCTCGACCTCCTCCCTCTTCCAAACCCAACCCGCGCGAGGGAAATGCTACGTCATCTGTTTCTCGCCCCGGCACGACTTGACGGTCGCCGAGATGAGTGATGAGGGCGTTCAGAGGGTCATCGAGACTTGGTGAGTCCCGGATTGTCTCTCCTCTCCCCGAAGCTTGACGAGCGTGGGCTGACGAGTCCCTTGGGCGGACAGGATCGAGCTTTACAGGGATATCTCGCTCGAGAACCCGTGGATCAAGTACATCCAGATGTGCGTTTGTTTTCCCTTCCGTTCTCTTTCCTCGCGACTGACCTTCTCCTCCTTTCTATTTCGCGCCTGCCTCTTCTCCCGCTGCTCGTCGTCCCCCGCCGTCCTTCCTTTCCACTCCCGGCTCAACCGCTCGCCTCTCCAGCTTCGAGAACAAAGGCTCAATGATGGGCTGCTCGAACCCTCACCCGCACGGACAAGCCTGGAGCTTGAGTTACGTCCCGACCATGCCGGAACGGATCTTGGCGAGTCAGAGGAGTTGGGCGGAGGAGTGGGAGGGGAAGGCGAAGGAGGGAGTGCCGACTTTGTGCGTACGGTTCGAGATGGTGTAGGGAGGAGTGAGCTGACCGGGCTGGGCAATGGCGTGCAGGACCAATGGCCTCCCTTCCCTCCTCCTGACCTACGCCCACTCCGAACTCGCCCTCTACCACTCCTCGCCCTCAACCTCTCGCGTCACCCACCTCGGCGACCACTTTGTCGCGCTCGTCCCGTACTGGGCTGCATGGCCGTTCGAGGTCCTCGTCGTGCCTTACAAGCGACATGTACCGAGTTTGGCGTATTTGGAGGAGGAGGAGAAGGCGGATTTGGCGCGCACTTTGACGAGTGTTGGGAGGAGGTACGATAACCTGTACGTTTCGCCGGCCTTTCTACTCACTCCGAGTGGAGCAGTACTGATGAGTGTTTGGTGCGCGGCAGCTTCGAATGCTCCTTCGCCTACTCGATGGGGATCTACCAAACCCCAACCTTCTCCCCCTCGCTCTCGCTCTCCGCTCGCGGCTCCTCCGCCCCAGACGCCTGCTACGCCCAGCTGCACATCGGGTTCTACCCGCCCCTCTTGCGCAGCTCGACCGTCAAGAAGTACCTCGTTGGGTTCGAGTTGTTTGCTGAGACGCAGAGGGATATCACGCCTGAGCAGGCGGCGGTGAGGTTGAGGGAGAAGAGCGAGACGGAGCATTACAAGAGGGGGTGAGGGGGCAAGGTAGGCGGAGGATCTGCCGGTGGTGTCGAGGCAAGTCCGTCAGGTCCGCCGTCTCGCCGCTTTACTTCAGCTTCTCGCCAACACTCTCCCTCTCGACACTTGCTCCCCTGCGTCCCTTTCACTCGGATACCGTCCATATCTATCCCTCCGAACTCGTAGACAAACCATAGACGACCGTTCCGCCGCGTAACGAGATTACCTCGACGACGTTGGCCTCTCCGTCTCCTCGGCATTCGCTGCTCGCTCTGTGTTCTTCCGTCGTGAGATCCTGCGTTTCCACGGCCTGGAGCTAGATCCCAAGCGAGCTGGACCTGCTGTACGACAGCATTACACCCAGTTTGTAATGAGCTCAATACAACTCGTTTGTATGGCCTGGTCTCCTCCCCTCCCTTCGTCCCCCTCTTGCGTTTGTGTTTGTTGTTTCCCCCTTTCGTTCGCAGTCGCCTCGACGACCCACTCGACGATGGACGACATCCCCGTCCACTACACGCACAGCGCGCCCTCGCCCGCCGCCCGCGCCAGCCCCTCCCGAGGTGCGTCCCCTCGCTCTCCCTCTCATCCCGCGTCTCGACACCCGCGCGCAGTTTTGACATCCCCACTCCCGCTCTCTCACTCGCTCGTAGGCGCAGCACACGCGACACGCGACTCGCTTGGAGCTGGAGGGAGGACGGATGCGCGTGCTGGACCGCAGGACGGCGATGACGGGGAAGGGTTGTTGCCCCACCCTTTTCAGGTCGGATTGGGTGCTCCGTCGCAGCCTCAGACTCAGGCTGGACAGGGCGCACAGGACGGAAAAGGGGGCGGCCAGAACGCGGCGGCAAAGGCGGCGGAACAGAGTGTCGAGGCGTTGTTGCAGGATGCGATTGAGCGCACTCAGCGCGCGACCGGGCCGCAGGACGGTGCTGCGCAGGGACAGCAGGGACAGGGGACGACGGCGGGAACGGGCGCGGGCGCAGGCGAGCAGGGACAGGCGCAGGTCGACCATCTCGAGTTGATTCGCCAGGCTTCGCTCGGAAACGGCGCAGGCGCCGGCGCTTCAGGCTCGACTGATGCTACGACCAACAACGCCCTGCCGAACCCTCCTCCCGTCACGGACGCCGCACCCGCCGGTTCTGCCTCGCCCTCAAGCGCCTCTGCCTCGCGTCCCGCCAAAGGTCCCGGTTCTCGCGCGCGCTGGACACCCGCCGAAGACGCGCGTCTCATCGAGCTAGTCAAGATCGACCCACCGCTCACCTGGAACGAGATTGGAGCGAGGATGGGCAGGCCCCCGACTGGGTGCGGGATGAGGTGGTACAAGTTCTTGAGGGAGAGGGTGGCGGAGGACGATGGAGAGGAGGCGGTGGGCGAGAAGGATAGGAGCGGGGGAGCTGGACAGGCGCAGGCTGAGGCGTCAGCCGAGGGACAGGCGCAGCAGCAGCAGCAGCAGGCTCAGGCAACGGCAGCGGCAGCGGCCGCGAACCCCCAAGGTGCGTTTCGTCGGTTTTCGCTGCGAAAGCCGGTAGCTGTGGCATCGCCGGCGTTCTACGCCCGCCTGCGCTGCTCTTCCGTTCTGGTCCGACCACTGACGCTGGAAATGCTTTCCCTCGCAGCCGCCTCGACTTCGGCCGCCAACGGCTTGCACCCGAGCGGCGACATGATCGTCGGTGGTTCGAGAGGTCAACACGGTGCGTTGAGCTTGTTTACTCCGCAGAGCTAGCGGGGATTGCCCCGCTAACTTCGACATCGCGCCCACAGACCACGCCGTCTTCCCACCCGCCGCCGCCGCCGCTACCGGTCCTTCCGGCTCGCCCCGCCCCGTCCTTCCGCTCCCCTACGTCCCGGCCGACCAGCTCCCGCCCGCTCTCCCTCCCGCCGCCGACCTCGCCGGCCACCCCTTCCCGCGAGACTCCTCCCCGACGACCAAGATCCACTCGAATGCCGGCACGCACTACCTCCCTGCCACTGCACTCGTCTCTCACCCCCCTATCCCGTTCAAGAAGAACCAGGTTCTCAGGGGGAGGAGGACGAAGGACCCGAAGATCTTGGAGGAGGAGATGAAGGCTCAGCAGGAGGCGGCGAGGAGGAAGGCTGAGGAGATGAGGGCTCAGTCGGCGGCTGCGGAGGGCGAGGACGACGAGGAGCTTGATGAAGAGGGCAAGAGGAAGAAGAAGACTGCGGCGAGGCCGAGGGGGAAGGGCAGTGCGGGTGGGCTTGGAGCGAAGGGTGGCACGAGCAAGGGTGGGAACATAGTCCATAAGTGCCCGGCTGAGAACTGCACGGCTGCGTTCAAACGCAGCGAGCACCTGCGCAGGCACTACAAGGCCGTCCATCGCGGCGAGAAGCGTGCGTCCCGAGTTCCTCTCCTTTGATGTCGGCTCGTCACTTGCGAAGACTGTCGCGCTGACCGGCGATGGGCATACATCCACTCGCAGCCTTCCCGTGCACGGTCGCCGACTGCGGCAAGGCCTTCTCGCGCAAGGACAACCTCCAGCAGCACCAAGCGATGGTGCACTTCGTCAAAGCGCTCTATCACTACCCGGATGGCACGACCTCGACCGACCCTCCCGAGCCCGGCCAGGAAGGCGTCACGACCACGTTCGAGGCGGTCGATATCTCCAAGACGCCGCGCGGGGCGCAGAAGTTGAGCCGCATCAAGGGGAAGCAGGAGGAGCGCGCGAAGGAGGCGAAGAAGATTGCGGATGAGCGCGAGAGGGGCGATAGGGAGGTTTCGGCGAGCGCGTCGGCCGAGGGAGGAGACGCCCACGCTGGACCGTCGACTTCCAACTCGCATGCCAAGGGCGTCCCGCCGTACGTGCGCGGCTTGATGGACGCATCGGGCGTCGAGGGCGCCTACTCGGTCACGTCGTCGATGAGTCCTGGTCCGTCAAACGAGCGCGGGGCGTCGATGTCGAACGGCGACGCACACCACGTCGTCGGCAACAAGCGCGGTCGCTCAGCGGTCGACTCGGATGCGGAAGGAGGTGCAGGTTCGGACGCCGCGGTCGACAAGCGCCTTCGCCTCGGCGGCATCGACCCTGCGCTCGGCGGGAACGGCGGCTTCTACCCTACCGACCCGGCTCTCCAAGCTCTCGCCGCGCAGGTGCAGCACAACGCGCACGCCGCCGGCTACGACTCTGCCGCCGCCCAGCAACAACAACGCGACCTCCTCTCGGCTCTGCAGCGCATGGCGCAGCAGGAAGCGGGCGGGCCGGGTGCGTCGGGAGACGACCACCACCTCGAGTTGAGGCCCGACTTTATCGTACCCGGCTTGGAGGCGTTCCTCAATCAGCAGGCGGCGGAGGCGGCGCAGCATGGTGCGGGTGGAGGGGCTGCGTGAGTGAGTCGGAAGGAGCGCTTGGAGGGGACGGGGTGCGCTTGAATCGCTTGGTGTACGTCCGCTTGTTGTGGCTCGCTTTACGCTCGTCTCTTGGTAGTCTCTTGTGACGTGCACTGCTTGATCCCATCGTCTCTTTGTTGTGACCGTTCCTTCTTGTCTCGAGGGGAGACGGGACTTGCTCTTCGTCGCTCGCTTCCTTGGGCGACCGAGCGGGCTTCTATCCTATTATAACGCATGCGAGCCACTGCAGCAGCAGAATGTCCAAACGAAGTGGACGACGAGCAGTTCTTCGCCTCTCCTCCTCCTTGACCTTGAACTTCCTCGCCGCTTCTCTCACACCCGCTCGAGACAGTCAGAGACCAGCTCAAACATGCCCATCAAGCTCCTCACCTCCCCTCCCGAAGCACTCTCGCGCGACGAGCTCGCCTCCATCTCACGGTCGACCCCCTCGACCTTCGAGGGCATCCCGCCTCTCACGCGGCACCACGAGCCGCAGGGCGTGCGGATCAAGGTCGAACCGGCTTTCGAGGGCTTCAGCGGTGAAGGCGTCGAGGGCGCGCTGTGGGTCACGGAGGGGTGAGTTCGACCTTTCGACTCCTGGTGTTTGATGAGGATGGGGAGCGGTTGCGGCGGGGCTGGGAGACGCTTGTCGCTCTGCATGGGTGGCTCATCTAACCTGCAGAAGCGTCCGGACGCCTCTCCTCCTCCGCTGAAGCCGCTTGCGACCCGCATCCCTTGCTCGCACGCCGAACGAATCGCTGAAACGGTCTCTTCCACACACAGTGCCCTGTCCTTCTTCTCCGCCGCCTCATCCACCGGCCTCACGATCCCCTACCCGCACATCACCCTCCACGCCGTCTCCCGCCAGCCCGCCCCTGCCTCGTCGTCTTCCTCCGCACAAGCAAACGGCTCTTCAGCAGCCGCAACGGGCGGAGCGTGCATCTACTGCCAGCTCGAGGAGAGTGAGGAGATTGCGGAGGATGACGAGGGAGGAGAGATGAGGGAGATGTGGATCACGCCGGAGGACGAGGCGAGCGGTGCGTTGTTCTCGGTTCCTTGATCTCAAGCGCGACGATGCTGGCCGTAGTCAATCGTGACTGGTGACAGCGTATTTGCCTGCCGGGTCCGGTGTACTGACACTCGAACACAACTTGCAGTCGACAAGATCTTCTCGGCCCTCTCGCTGTGCGCTTCCCTCCACCCCTCTGCCTCCGACTCCCTCACCCAACCCTCCGTCATCCCCGCCTCCGCGCACGCCTCCTCCTCCGGCGCAGCGAGCGACTCCCAAGCCTCGCTCTTCGCCTCGATGGGCCTCGACCCGTGCAGTATGGTTTACGCGACGGCTGATGGTGGGATCGCAGGACCGGGATTGGCGCTGATGGGCGAGGAGGAGGGGCAGTGGGATGATGTTGAGGAGGGAGAGGCAGAGGGGGAGGAGCAGGCGGAGAGCAGTGCTGGGCGGACGAGGAGCGACTTTGTGAACGAGGGGAGGGCGAGGGGCGCGCCTTATTGAGCGGGGCGGTTTCTAGGCCGGGCGGGTGACGCAAAAGGGCAATATATTGAGTACGTCTAACGTTCTGCATTGCTGGCGTCGTCTTCAGCGCTCGACCGCTTCTTTCGAGCAACGTCGTTGTCAAATCGCTCGTGCTTGACCTTCAGCTTCGACCGCTCCCTCCTTCCGGCAACTCGTCGCTCACAGCCGCTTTCCGACTGCATACTGTCCCAGCAATCACGCCCTGCGCTCGCCGTCGCTCCGAGGTGACCTTCTCAAGTATCGGCGGCTTACAGCGCGACAAGCTCTCTTTCTCCTGCTCATGCGCATCCGCGGCGCCTTAACGGATGCTCTACACGCGTAGAAGACACTGCTCGCCGGTTAGAATGTATCTCACGGCGAGAGAGACAGGAAAGCGGTCTCGCGTCGGCCTCAGAAAGTCCCGTTCTTGTGAACACGCTTGTGCAGGCCTAGTCGAGTATCTGGCGAGCTCACAAGCCCCTCTGTACGGTGAAGGAAGCCTTCGCCGCGACCGCCTCTTCCACTCGACTCTCGAACCCCTTCTTCCCTCGTCCACCTCGCTTCTCTCGCTCGAACGCGCTCGTACATAGCCTGTTGTTACTTCACCGCCCAATCAGACTCCTCAGTGCGCCTTACACCTACCCGCACGCCCTCGCACACTCTCATCGCTCCTCTCCACCGCCTTCGCTCGAACGTCCATCAACTTCGCCTCGCCCACCTGTGACGCGCCAGGACCGGTCTCAGGTGCAAGATGAACGCTGGACAGGAGCTTGCTGGGCTGCCAAAGCCGACTGAGCGGCTGGGCGAGCCGCAGGAGGATGGACAGGCTCGGGACCTTGCGATTGAGGCTAGGGAGGCGAGCGACGGCGGCTTGAGGAGCGCAGGAGAGGCTCAACACGGCTTTGGTGGACTTGTGGATTCTGTGCCAGTGGCAGGAGGGCAGGGCGGGCAGGTTGAGACGGCGGGACTTGCGGTTTCGCGGGACGAGGTGGTGGACTTGGCTGTCAAAGGTGCGTTTGGTGGGCAGTCGCTTCTCTTTCTGGACGAACCTGGACCGTGAAGCTAACCGCTCCTTTTGTTGCGCACAGGTCCCCTCGCGGAACTCCGCGACATCGCTTCCAACGCTGAAGCCTCTTCATCCTCTTCGACTGTCGCTGCGCAAAGCTTGAGCAGTCAAGCGCAGAGCGTCGCGAATGGCGCAGCAGAAGTGCCCGATTCGATCGGCGCAAGTGGCTCGGTTTCCGCCAAACCCGCCCTCAGCGTTTCCATGGCAGCCGCGACGAACGGAACGACCGGTTCCCCTCCCCTCTCGCCTCTCACGCCCGTAACGGACTCCTCCGACGAAGATGTCAAACTTTCGAAAGGCAAAGGCCGCGCTCGTTCCGACTCGCCCGCTTCCTCCTCGACGAAACGCCGCCGTACTCGCTCGCCTCCACCCTACGTTCTCCCTCTCCCGCCTCCTCCTCCCTTCCTCGTCAATGGCGGCGGTGCACAGGATGACGCCCCGCTCGGTGCCAACTACCGCATGTGGTCGGACCAAGAAGACGCCTATCTCCTCACCCTCCGCGCAAGCGGCTACACCTTCGAGCAGATTGCCGAGCTGGTCGGGCGCTCGAATACGGCGGTCAGTATTCGCTTCTATGCGCTGAAGAGGAGGCAGAAGGAGCATGCGGCGCAGGCGAAGAAGGAGGAGAAGGACGCGGCCGAGGTGTCGCAGTTGCTGCTGGGCGCGGCTTCGAACGGGTTTGGCGGCGTCGGCGAGTCGAGCGTGTGGACGATCGATGGCCAGCCGGTCTTGGTCGGCCCGTCGAACGGCTTTGGCGACCCAAGCGGTCTTGCCGCCAATCCGCCTCTTCCCATCGCTTCCACTTCCGCCTTCCTCCCTCTTCCGCCCGCTCCTTCCGCCTCCGTCCCCGCTCCTCCCATCATTCTCCCGCCTCCTGTGCGCAAGACCTCATCGATCCGCCACTACACCGCCGAAGAAGACGACCTCGTTTGTCAATACCGCCAAGAAGGTCTCTCTGCCGCCGCGATCGGCAAGAAAGTCGGTCGCTCCACCAACAGTATCTATAACAGGCTCACGGCGCTCGCGAGTATGGGGAGGGATGTCAAGCCGAGGAAGAAGACGAGGGCGAAGAAGGAGGAGGACGGTGGCGGTGAGGCGTCTGCGTAGGAGCTGCAGGGGTGCCGCTTGATTTGCTTGCATTGCCGTACATCACGCTTCGCAACTTCTCGTCTCTCTGCCTGTCAGATGTTGGGCGCGTGGAAGCTCGTTCGTTAGGAAGGTCACCTTGCCGCTTGCTCGACTTCGAACAACTCGCTACTTATGCCGCCAGCTCTGCCTCCCTCCTCGCCTGATCACGTAGCTCCCGTTCCACCTCGCCTACCGCGACCAGCGCCTGGTCGATGCGCTCCTCTTCGCGTCTGGCCTTCAACACCTCGAAGTGGTCGACTTGGTGCAAGGCCTCCTCGAGCTCGAACAGCTCCTCGCACAGCTCGCCGTGTAGACAGGAGCAGTCGTCATTGCTCCGTGCAAAGTCGATGAGCCGGAACGAAGAAGGGCCGACGTCGGGTTTCCAGACGATGTTGTCGTCGCGCAAGGACTTGTGCTGGCAGCCGAGCTTGAAGTGGAAGCGGATAGCATCGCTTCTGCACGCACGATTGTGCTCCAGGACATTGAGCTCGCTCCAAAGCCCTGCGAGATGGGCCGGCAAATCGACCGCTGATTGTTCCTCGAGACTTCACACCTTCGTCGAGTCCCGCTACTCGTCACCGGACCTGCAGCTGCTCCTCCCTGTGCGCCTGCTCAGTCAGGCAACGTTGCTCCTCACCAACGACCGCCAACGCTTCAGCAACCTCCAGCCTTTCCCGCTCCTCGGCGACCATCTCGACCATATCCGCCCACGCCAACGACTTTGCGAGCGTAGTCAATTCCTCGCAGCAGAGACGATCTTCCCTACATACGCAGTCGCCATCGTCACTTCGGGCAAAGTCGATGAGCCGGAACGACGAGGCGCCGATTTCGCGCTTGCAGACGACGTTGTCGGCCCTGAGCGAGCAATGGCAGGCCTCGAGCTTGAGTTGGAAGCGCACGGCGAGTTTTCGGACGGCGTGTCTGCAGGTGTGGAGAGAGGGTTAGCACTGGCCGCAAGAAGAGAGAACAATGCACAACTCACCGTTCCGCGCTCGAGAGGTGAGACCAATCCTGTACACTCCTCCCCCACTCCTCCATCAGCAGCATCGTCGTCGCTCCTCCCATCTTGTACGGACTCGCCTCGCCCTCCTCCGCACTCCACGCGCCCACAAACCTCGGCGCCAACTCCTCCTCGACCATCTTCTCGCCGTGTTCGCGGAAAAAGGCCGCCTCGCGAGCAACTTTGGTGTTTGAGCTTGTACCGCAGCGCGAATACTTGGCGAGGAGGGGGAACGGCGAGTTGGAGCAGTGCGCACGGTAGACAAAGCCTTGGTTGCCCTCGCCCAGCTTGTCCGCGCCGAGCAGCAGGAGCGGCTTGGGAGCGTCAGGCGGGCCGTGTACTCCATTTGTGCGAGTCGTCGGGTGAGAAGCTTGGCCGGAAGGTGATGGCGTTACGGGCGTAGGTGAGGCGGGTGGTGAGGAGGCGGGCGGGAGAGGCGACAGGGAGTGAAGGGTCGCAAGCGAGCCGTCCGGACAGACGAAGGCGGCGTGAAACGCGCGGTTCTGGATAGCATAGCGAATAAAGAGATCAGTGGCGACGGTCGTAAAGCGAGAAGGAAGCGAGGATGGACCTTCTTGAGCTGCTTGAAGGTGACAAGCCGGTACTCCTGTTGCAGCGAAGGAGCACGCGGCAGACGCACGTGCTCTGCTGACCGCTCGTTCGCTTCGACAGGCGCGCGAGCCTCAGGCAAGGAAACGGCTTTGTCGCCTGCGAGAAGCGACGAGACTCGCGTCCGGATCTTCCCCTCGACCTCTTCGTTTCCAGCGCCGTAGATCGTGTGGATGAAGCTGGCTCCATCCTCCTGCAGCGCCGCGTTGACGGGCAGCTTCGGGCCGAAGACTATGAGAAGCGGTGAAGTGCCGCGCATGCTGTTCGTCTTCGTCTCCGTCGGATGAGAGGGCGACGTCAAGCGCGCGAGGACTGTCTTCGCTTCCTTTGAGTCGGCAATCAAGTCGGAGAGCTGCGGATTGTGAGCCGGGCCGAGCTGGGAGAAGGAAGGGAAGCTGGACGAGTTGACGTCGAGGACGAGAAGCGGCGTGAAGTGCGTCTCGCCGAGAACAGTGACAAGGAGCGGGCGACAGTCTTTGCCCGTCTGGGCGAGCTGATTGCGCGCCAGAAGACCCAGAGTCAGCGGGAGATGCACAGCCTTTACGAGGGAAACGGACTGACTTCGTCTAGCCGAGTCCAGGGGTTCGTCGCCTCGAGAATCGGGCGGCACTGCCAAGGATGCGACGACGAGCCAGTTGCGGCAGACGCTTCTGCCAAACCTTCGAGCAGGTCCAGCACATCATCGGCAGGCTGGTGGTGCCAGCCGAGTCTGACGGGACTGACGCCGCAGGAATGCGACGCCTGGCCTTTCGACTCACAGTCGCAGTCCCAGCGGGAATATGCAAGCTCCAATCGGCGAGCCGCCTCGGGTGGAACGAGCCCTGGGCAGAAGCCCGGCAGTCGGACTCGCAGGTTTTGGATGGAGGATACACCGGACAGAGGGCGAGGCTGGCGCAGACGCTCTTCTGGAAGAGTGGACAGAACTGATGACAGAAGGGTGTCGGGAGGATGAAGAGCTCGGGAGAGAAGGTAGGAAAGGCCAGCTTCGGAGAGAACGGAGGCAAGTTCGGGAAGGTAGCAGAGACCGAGGACAGTCTGAGGCCTGGCGCTCCGATCCATGCCGTCGCAAAGAGCGTCGTGCCATGGCGAGTACCGGTCCTGCGGGAACGGCAGTGTTTCGAAAGGATACGCAACTCGTCGCAGGAACGTCTCGACCGTTGGGGGAGCCTCGCCGGCCACCTGTGCCTCCTCCACCAGGTCGTTCATCGTTATGAGGCCGTCTCTCGGTGCACTGCCATCCATCATGACGCCCCAGAGTGCGAATAGCGAAAGCAGCCGTTCAAACTGAAGCGCGAGCGTGCGACGGCGAGAAGGGCGCTGGGGTCTGCGTAGGGTAATCCGCCGTGGTCGCAGTAGATTTTGTAGCAACGTGAAGATTCTGTAGCTCGGAAGAGTGTGAAGCGAGTGAACGGAGAAGGGAAGGCAGCGGAGAGCGAATTCAACGGCACGTCAATACCGCGACGACAGCCGTATGAGACTGTAAGGTCTGCAGTCACCTTTGTGGACGCCCTGGCACGGCTAACGCCCGTAGATCATGTCCCGGCGGCAGTGCGCCCTCACCACCTCTGGCTCGACGACGTCTGTCTCCTCCCGCTCGCTCTGCTTTGAAAGGCACAGGCTGCCGGGACTTCTTGCTTTGCCTGGCCATCCATGAGGAGCCTTCTGACCCCCTCGCCCTTGACACACTCCCTCAGATCGCGCCAATCGCCCGTAATCCGCCTTTCCAACCTCATCACTGAACCGGCGGAGGACTCGACATGACGGTCGCGGCAGGCGTTAGGCAAGCGGATGGGCGGGTGCGATAGTCCACAGAGGTGGGCATGTCGCTCTGCGAGACTGGGCAAGCCGACGCTGGCCACGGAGGACCCACCTCGTCCTCCTCGCCAAGTCGCTCGCTCATTTGGCGCCTGCGGGCGTTGCGGCCCGTCGGTGCTCTTACAAAGATGCCGCTCTACTGCGAAAGACGGCCGCCGCCCTTCCGCCGCTCTCTTACGCGTCCACCCAATTCGGCTCGAGGTCGCCGAGCGCCTGTCCGAACGCCGCGCGAGGCTCGGAGACCGCGCGCTCGCTCGCTTGCTTTTCCTCTTCTTTCCCTCTCTCACGCTCGCTCGCTAGGTCACCATGTCGCTCGCCTTCGAGCCACTCAAGCTGCCAAATGGCGTCGTCCTCAAGAACCGCATCTGCAAGGCCGCGATGGAGGAGAACCTCGCCGACATCAACCACTTCCTCGCGCCCTCGCACGAGCTGATCGAGCTGTACCGCGCGTGGGGCAAGGGTGGATCGGCGCTCGTCTTGACGGGTCACGTCATGATTGACCCGCGCGCGCTTGGCTCGCCTGGTGCACTCTGCCTCTGCGATGACCTCGTCGACGCGGACCCAGTCTACCTCGACCGCTTCCGCCAAATGATCGACGCGTGCAAGGAGGGAGGAGCCGAGATCTGGCTGCAGATCAACCATCCGGGTCGACAGACGCCCAAGGCGCTCGGACAGGTCGCGAAAGGTCCTTCCGCCGTTGCAGTCGACATCGGCCGGCTCTCGCGCGTCATGTTCGACACGCCGGTCGAGATGACCGAGGAGGACATCCAGGATGTCATCCGGCGGTTTGCGCGGACAGCAGCGTTAGCGGAGGAGCTGGGAGCGGGCGGAATCGAGGTGCATGCGGCGCATGGCTACCTCCTCAGCGCGTTCGCCTCGCCCATCGCGAACAAACGTACGGACAGGTGGGGCGGGTCGCTCGAGAACCGCACGAGGCTGCTCTTTGAGGTCGTGAAGGCCATCAAGCGCGAAGTCAAGTCGTCCAAGTTTGGCGTCGGGGTGCGTGGCGCTTTGACGAATGTCAGAACGTTCCCTGACCGCTAACAGCGTTGATGCTCACGCAGGTCAAGATCAACTCGGCCGACTTCCAGCGTGGCGGCTTCGAGGAGCAAGACGCCCTGCAGGTCATCGAAACGCTCAACACGCTAGGCGTCGACTTCATCGAGGTCTCCGGCGGGTCATACGAGTCCCCCGCCATGCGCGGTATCAACCTCTCTTCCCGCAGCGCCCAACGCCAGGCGTACTTCCTCGACTTTGCGGAAAAGGCCGCGGCGCTCTCGCGGGTCCCGATCATGTGCACGGGCGGGATCGTGCGCCGTGAGACGCTCGACCAGGTCGTCGCGTCGGGCAAGACTATCGCCGGTATCGCCACCGCTATCGGGATCATGCCTGACCTCCCGAACCGACTCGAGCGAGGGGAAGACCCGGCGCCTCGGTTGAAGTACACGACGTCGTGGATCCTGAGCGGCTCAGTACTGGCGTCGGCGACGACGAGGCAAGTCAACTACAGCATGGAGCGGATCGGGCGGGGCAAGGAACCGTGTCCGGGAGTGTGGCCGGCTTGGGCGCTGCTGATGGACCAGGTTGCGGGGCTTGGGCAGGCGAGCAAGTACAAGAAGGTGGTTGTCAAGTACCTAGATGAGCGAGACGGGCGGGCGGTGAAGAGCGGCAAGAAGGAGGAGTAGATGCGGGCGGAGAGCGGTAGATTTCGCGGACCGGCTAGAGCGCGTCTCTCTTCGTACAGGTTGATTGGGTTCAGTGTTTTGCAAACCATCGCATTGCAATAGGGTATAGGTGGAGCTGCGTTCTACCCGTACAAACCTGCGGGAGCGAAAATGCGAAGTTTTGGGAGACGGCATCAGCGAGATCCGGCAACCGATGATTTCGCTGGAGCGAGGGGAGCGCACCGTGATAAACGTAGTATCTCGGCAACCCCAGCAACCTCCCCCTTCCGCTCTTTCTCTCCAGATCCGCTCCGTTCGCCCCTTCCGCCCCGTCCGATCCAGCAGGCCTCCGCAACGCCTTGACAAGCTGCGCGAACCCCTCCGTCTCGAGCTGATGATCGACCGGCGGCCACGCAGGGAAGATCGCGCCTTCGCGGTGCACTTCTGCGCGGACGAGTGCGAGACAGCCGCCTACTGCGTCGAGGTCGAGCGTTTCGGGGATGGAAGTGGCGGAGGCGAGAGCGGGAGGGAGCGTCAGGTCGACTGGAGGCCAGGCCGGGAGAGAAGAGAGGGGGAAGGGCGAGGAGAGGAGGTAGGGGTCGTGAGCGGACAGGACGGTCGAGGAGTCGGCTGCTGGGACGAGCGAGGCGAGGTTGAAGCGGTGCGTTGGATGGTCCTTGTAGCCTGCGCCACGACGAGCTGTGTCAGTATGGTCTTGTGTAGCAAGAGCGTGCAAGCGCATTCACCTTCGATCAGCACGTCGTTCGTCGCGAGTTCTGCCTTGAGCTTGAGCGACTCGGGCGTCTCGATCCAGTTGTTCCGGTCGTATGGTCTGTCGTAGAGAACGTCAGCGAGGTGCGAGGAAGTGAATGAGACGCGGGCGCACCCCAGCTCGTTGTAGGTCTTCCAAACGCAGTTCGGGACGACAACGTCGGCACCTCGTTCAGACAGCGACGGCCTGTCGCCCTTCGCATACGCCAAGAGCCGCTCAATCATCGACGCCTCGTAGTCGACCACATCCACATCGACCCAGAGCACCCAGTCGACCTCGGGCACCATCGCAGCATTGAGCAACCACGTCCTGCTCTTGCCGAGCAACTTCCGCCTTCCAACCTGCGCCGCATATTCGTGTCGCTCCTTTCCCACGTTCTCTCCCACATACGCATCCTCGCCCGCTGCTTTCTGCTCCGCAGCAAAGTCCTTCTGGAACACGCTGATCCGCCCCATCCGTTTCCCGCGAAACTTCCGACTGTATTGTCGCTCGTCTGCGAGCTCGAGAGCACGCTGATAGGTTCCGTCGGTCGTGTCGGAGACGAGGATGCCGAGGTGGAGGAGGTGAGAGGGGTAAGTGAGCGTCGAGACGAGGTGGAAGAAGTGCCAGATGTGCTCGATCGAGTTGCGCATCGGACAGAGGATCTGTGTGGACGTCGTGAGCATGCGCATAAGTCTGGCGGGCGAAGAGAGAGCCGGGCGCACCAGGACCGTCTCGTTGTACTCCCTCGCCGGCGTAACGATTCCCTTCTCGTCGACAAGAGGTCCTCCGAGTCTCGTCTGCACTTTTATGCCTCCTCCTGCGCTCCAGTCCCGCGCGACGACTCTTGGTCCTCCGCCCAGCCGGACCCGCTCGCTGCCCGTCCCAAAGAGACCCAAAGTCCATCCCGTTCCGACAAATACAAGCAAGAACAAGCCAAGTAGCGTCGCCGGCCGAATGCACAGCCGCTGGATGTGCACGCGGATCGAAGGTGGTCGCAGCGACTTGTCCTTGTATGTTGCGCCGGTCGACCCGTTCTGCGTCGACGAGGGGACGAAGCGAGTTGTCGGGAGCGCTGGCGGGCGCCGCTTCGACGAGTGGAACATGCGAGAAAGCTGAGTGAGATAGTCTAGCGTGCTACCGCTGCATCTCGAGCTGGTGCGAGCTGGCAGGAGTGAAGGGAAGGAGCGAGAGAGTCGAGTGAACAGGTCGGCCTAGGACGACGCCCTCGCTCGCGTTCCTTTGGCTGCTGAATGGCCTTGATGTGCTCCTAGCCTCTATAGCTCTCATCTGTGCCGCCCGCACCTTCGCCCGCCGCCTGTCGCCTTGGTTCTCCCCTCCCTCTCGCTTTCATCACTTGCGATCTCTCGAGCCATGCCAACCGCGTCCTGGTGGGCGTGCTATGCTGCGTGGGCAGCAGCGTCTGTCGGAGTGGCCGTGCGGATCAACCGAACAGTCGACGAGCCCTACATGGTACGCTGTCTTCCTCTTTCCGCTCCTCCTGCCCCACTTGGCTAACAAACGGCGTTCCTGCCTGCGCAGGACGAGATCTTCCACGTCCCGCAGGCTCAGGCGTACTGTAGAGGAGAGTGGACCTACTGGGACCCGGCTCTGACGACGCCGCCGGGATTGTGAGCCTTGGGTTTGCTTCCGTTCGCACGCAAATCTCGCCCGCTCACGCTTTTTCACGTCTAGATACCTCTTTCCGGCTGCCCTGGCGTTTATCCAGCGATATCTTGTACCGGTAATCGCACTTCTGCCCACGAACCTCGCCACTTTCGACCCTTGCGCCCTCCCATTCCTCCGCGCCGTCAACCTCTTCCTCTCCCTCTTCCTGCCATTCATCTATTCCTCGCTTCTCAACCTCCTCCACGTCTCGGCTGGCGACAAGCGACCATCGCGGCGAAGCAACGACTGGGAAGGCCTCGTCATCGCCATGTTCCCGTTCGTCCAGTGGTGGAGTTGGCTCTTCTACACCGACATGGCCAGCGTGGTGTGCGTCTTGCTGTGCTGGCAGGCGGCGTTGCGAAAGAAGGATCTTCAGTCGGCGGTGGTGCGTTTCGCTCGTTCTTCACTACACTTGATTTCGATTTGCTCAGCTTCGTGCGGAACAGCTCGGTGCCATCTCGCTCCTCTTCCGCCAGACCAACATCGTCTGGGTCGCTTTCGTCGCTGCGCAAGCTGCGATCCGCGAGCTCGAATTGCCGAAAAAGGAGGGGAACTCGTCGGGCGGTAAGGCGGTAGATCCGCCTCTTTGGGATGCGCGACCAGGCGAGTTCGGCCATCTTCTCACCAAACTTTCGAAGCTGACGCTTCGCTCTCGAGCAGTCCACATCATCCAGACCCCGCTTGCCATCCTCCGCGCCGCTCTCACCCAACTTCCGACCCTCGCGCCCGCCATCGCCGCGTATCTACCCGTCTTTATCGTCTTCCTCGCCTTTGTCCGATGGAACGGCGGCATCGTTCTAGGTGCGCCGGACAGTTTCATCTCGCCGAAAACTCGTCGCTGACGCCGCTTCCTTCAGGCGACAAGCAGAACCACGTCGCGACCATCCACGTTGCACAGCTGTACTATCTCATCGCCTTCGCCGGCGTCCTCTTTGCGCCTCTGTTGGCCACGCCTTGGCGAGTACGAGTCGCCTGCTATGGGTTGATCGGCAGTCCCAAGTGCGTTTCGCTTTCGTGCGGATCGAGGAGAACCGTCAACTCACGCTCGACACTTCTAGACGAGCGTTCTTGTCGATCCTTGCGCAGGCTGGGATCTGCTACACAATCAAGCACTACACGTGCGCTGCTTCTCCTCTCCCTCACGGAACAACAGGCTAATCCTTCTTCTCGTGACCAGCATCGCACACCCTTTCCTCCTCGCTGACAACCGGCACTTCTGCTTTTACTTGTGGCGAAGAACGATCAACTTGAAGTGGTGGACGCGATATGCGCTGTCGCCCGGGTATCTTCTTGCGGGACGGCTCGTCTACGATCAACTCGGTGCGCATCCCGCTCTTTCCCCTCTTTGTCCTTCGTCGCGCTGATGCAACTCCCAAATCAGCACGGGCCCGCCTTATGACCCTCTCGACCCTCCAACTCCTCACGGGCGCCACCTCCGCCGTCCTTATCCCCTCTCCCCTCCTCGAACCACGCTACTTCCTCCTCCCCCTCCTCATTCTCCGTCTCTACTTCTCGCCCCCCTCCACCTCCTCAGCACCGAATCGACGGCGCCAACTCGCGCTCGAAGCGGCATTCTACCTAGCCATTCAAGCGGCTTGCGTGTGGCTCTTCCTTGAGAAGCCGTTCGTTTGGGACATCCAGGTTGGGGCGGATGGGAAGGGCCTTGAAGGGAGGGACGAGCGGGAGGTGGGGAGATTGCAGAGGTTCATGTGGTAGCTCGCTGTATCGCCGAATAGATAGCTGCGATGCGAACGACAAACGGGATCTAGTACATCGGAAACCCTTCCCCTTCGCTCGCTCGCGCCCAAGCTTCTAGACCGCCCTTGACGTCCTCAACCTCGATCTGCTTGCTAGACTCGTCGGGCTGCGAGGCGAGGTACCGCCGCAAAGCGCGAGAGGCGAGCAGCGAGTCGTTTCCGCGGCGGCAGAGGAAGGTGATGCGGTCGGGAGGTGCGGTGTCGGTCGTCGAGTCGGTGTCGACTTGGCGAGCGGACGGGGCGAGAGCGAGGGAAGGATTGCGGAGGAGGACGGGGAAGGGGATGTCTGCGACAATGCGGCAACAGGATCAGCGAAACGAGTTGTTGAGCAACGGGCGCTGGTATGCGCGCGAGAGCGTCGAGGAAGGAGAGAGACTAGACGCACTGACGCTCCCATCGACACTAACAATCTCAAACTCCGTCCCGCTCCTCGTATCGATCACCCTCGTCCTGCGCTTCTCCTCCTCTTCCTCGAAGCGCTTCTTCGCCTCCGCCACACTTACCCGTTGATCATCCGAAGAAGCGAGCGCCCCGACGCCTGGTAGCTCGCACAGCGGATCCGACCAGCCAGGCCATTCGCCCGTCGGAGAATCGAGGAAGGATTGCCAGCGCGAGTTGGGCGTGCTTGGGCTCGTTGAAGAGACAGAGATCAGGGAGGGGAAGGTGCCGCATGTTGGGCAGGTAGGCTTGCGTGAGCGGGTCTTGATTGTACGGTATGGAGCGGGCGAGAGAGGCGAGAAGAGATGGAGAGTTGGTTGGGCTGGAAGACGACGAAGACCTCAATCAGCCCACCGCATCACTTTCAGGTTCGAGCAGCTGAAAGATGACGATCCGCCGCACTTACCCGTACCGAGCAACACCTTCATCGCCTCACCAACCATCGCAATCCCAACAACCCCGCACAAGACGCCTACGACGCCCTCATCCGCGCACGCGCCCGTGCCTGCCAAGCTCAGCTGCTCGTAGTACTTATCGAATGCGGCGGGGTCGGATGCGGGAGAAGGCGGAGCGGGAGGAGGAGGTGAAGGAGGGAAGAGGCAGGCGTAGCAAGGTCCTCGTGCTGTTACTCCGTTCTCCGCGGTGGAGGGCAAAACCAGCCCGTACACCCCGACAGTCCCCTCCGCCCGGACTGCCCCGCCGCTCACGAGCGGGATCCCCTTGCTCACGGCGTAAGCGTTCAGGAAGTGCCGCGTCGCGGGGTTGTCCGTGCAGTCGAGGACAAGGTCGAAATCGCCTTCGAGGACGGAGAGGGGTGTTGGGTCGGTTGAGGGAGGAGGGTGGAAGAGCGCGGGCGTGAAGGGGAGGACGTGGGAGTGGATGAGGATGTCCGAGTTAAGCCTGCAAGCCGAGTAATGTCAGCCACACCTACAGCAGTCGCTGAGCGCTGTCGGCTCACGCCTGTAAAGCAATCTTTGCGCTCTCCGCCTTGGGCATCCCGACCCGTTCCTCCGTGTGCAAGACCTGTCGATGCAGGTTCGACAGCTCGACCGAGTCGTGGTCGAGGATGGTGATCTCGCCTGCGCGACCAACGTTAGGCGCAGGGCGGTAATCGACGAAGCGAACGGAGTGGACGCACCCACGCCAGCAGCTGCGAGGTAGAGCAGGACGGGACACCCGAGTCCTCCTGCGCCCACAACCAAGATCCGCGACTTCCTAAGCTTCAGCTGGCCTGTCGCAAGGTTAAATCAGCATCTCGTGCCCCACCGAGGGCCGCCCGAGCGAGTAAGCGAGGACAGACCTGGCAGCCCGATCTGCGAGACGAGCATCTGCCTCCCGTAACGCTTGTACTCGCGCAGACTCAGTGGCCATTCCTTCTTCTTCCGATTCGCTGTTATCGCACCGTTCGGCCTGCCCCCATCACTGGCCGCCGTCGAGCTGGACTGCCCAGACTGCGAGTCGGAGGCAGGGAGCGCGGCGAGCTGTTCCTCGAGCTGGGCAACCCGCGCGCGGGCTTCTTTGAGTTCATTGAGGATCTGTGAGCGCGTCGAGCTGCTAGAAGCCTCCATTGAGCGAGTGTGAGCAGCTATGTCGAGCGAAAGAGATGAAGAGTGTCCGTCGGCGAGTCGCCTCATCGCGCCGGTGAGTGTCTGTCCGGTCGAGATGTCTTTCAACGTCAATGCAAGCATGGCTGTCCCCATCCGAGGCCAAAGGAAGCCATTGTCGAGGCAGACAACCTCCTCTCCGGAAATTCGCAACCTGACGCTCGCCTGTTCTCCCTCTTCGACGCTGGACAGACTTGTAGAGGTCTAAGAGAGCCACAGCTGAGCTATTTGGACGCACCACCGGGTATACGGCTCGACTCGCCCGTCCCGCGCTCATCCCGGCTCCGCCAAGCTCGTCGGCTCATCTCTCTCGCTCCGTCCACACGCTCACGTCGCTCGCCTGCACTTCTGCTGAACGTGAACATCTCCTGGAGCTTCATTGAACCCGCCTGAAGTGGACCGAAAACGATGGACCTGCCCCATCCTCCTCGGGCAGTCCTCAACCCTTCCTCCTCCTCGGAACCCTCCTCGCCCTTTCCCTCCCGCCCACCTTCGCCCGTCTCGCCAGCGACTAAAACGCGAGTCTCGTACGCGTACCCTCCGACGCCCGAGATCCACTCCCCTTCGTTGGGAGGGTCAGTCGGCTCGACTCCCGCGCAGTCGAGGAGCGGCTCGTTGTCGAAGAACCCGTTGTTGAAGCGTGCGCATGGGCAGGGGCGAGTGGAAGATCGTGGTGCGCTCAGGAGGTGGATTGGACATGCGCTGGGAGGGAAGAAGGACAGGGCGAGGTCGGATGCGCTCGAGTTGGAGGAACAGCTGCGAGGGCGGTCGGCGGCGAGGAGGGGGTCAGTCAGTCAGACAGAGGCAGAAGTCGCACGTCGACCACGGTGGAAGTGGACGCGCGAACGGGCGCAGTTGGTCGTCGGATTCGCCATGATTGCGCTCGTCGGGATGAACGACTCGGCGACAGGCGCCAACCTCGACTCGATGCAGGCGCACTACCGCGTCTCGTACGACGAGATCTCGATCGTCTTCCTCGCCAACACCGCAGGATACTTCCTCTCGTCCATATCGGCCAGCTTCTTCCTCCACCACTTTGGACTCCAGGTCTCGCTCCTCACGGCCGCGGCCGCGATGGCGACAGGCTGCGTCGTCCTCTCCATCGCGCCGCCCTTTCCCGCGTTCATCATCATGCTCGGCTTCATGGGCTTCGGGTCGGGCATGTACGGTGCGCGCGCAGTCCCTCCTCCCTTCCTCCCTGCCTTCTTTCTCCCCTCACTCTCCCTAGCCTCGCTCTCACTGACGCTCCTTCCCTCGCACAGACGCCGTCATCACGACCGTCATCGCGCACGAAGAAGACGGAGTCCTCATGTCGCTCCTCTACTCGTGCTTCGGCGTCGGTGCAATGATCTCGCCGCTCGCGATTGGCGCGTTCCTCGATCGCGGGTATGCGTGGAACAGGTATTACAAGTGAGCAGCGCGCGACTCAGAGCTTGACAAGCTGAAGAGGATGCTGACGGGGTTGACTGGCAGCATTCCGCTTGGACTCGCGCTCATCCTTGCCGCCATTGGCTACTTTGTCTTCCGCGGCTGTGCGTCCGCGTCGTTTCCCTCCACCTCAAGTTGACCCGCTCGCTGACTTACCTCGCCCATTTGCCGGTCGCAGACACCACCCCACCCGACGAGACGCACGACGCGCCCCTCTCGACCTCCCAAGCGCCCGCTCAGACCACCAACCCCACGGAGCAGCAGGGCGAAGTCATCCATGCTCGAGCGAGGATGTCGGCGCAGCAGAGGATGAGGCGTGCGATGGGACTGAGAGCGGTCTGGATCGGGTTCGTGTTGATTATCTGCGCGTGAGTCGCGTTGTCCTTCCCCTCTCTCGCCAGGGAGCGAAGGAGCTAACTGAGTGGGAGGATCGGCGCGCGCAGCTTCGCCTCGTCCGACATCCTCTCGGCCTGGAGCGTCTCCTTCCTCATCACGACCCGCTCCGCCCCACCCGCCTCCTCCCGCTTCGTCCTCTCCGGCTTATGGATGGGAATCGCATCCGGCCGAGTCGTACTCGCATGGTTACTCGCCAACCGCGTAGGGGAGAAGACCTTTGCGATTGGGTTGCTCGTCGCCGCGAGTGGGATGCTGGGCGTCATGTATGTCCGCAGTTTCGTGGTGGATGCGGTTGCGCTGGCGATGGTCGGATTCTTCTTCGGACCTGTCACACCCAAGGTGTTGGATGTGATTGGCGTCCGCGTACCGCCGTCGCTCAAGGCGTCTGTCGTCTCGCTCCTCGTCGGCCTCGGCGCGTCCGCGCTCTCTTCTCACTCTCTTACGCCGTCAAGCTAACGAGCTTGCTCGCACACAGGCCTGATCGGCTCCTCCGTCGGCCCCCTCCTCTTCGGCGTCGCAGCAGGCCGGGGCGGACTCTCCTCCCTCCCTGCGGTGCTGATCGCAGTGAGCGTGCTGAGTATCGCGGCGTGGTGTGCGGTGCCGAAGAACAGGCGCAGGGAGGATTAGGCGGCATACGAGCGAGGCGAGGGGGTGTTTGTTATCGCCACTGCAAGGCTCGGGATGTTTATTGTCGGAATAGACCGTGCGCCACTGCTGTTGATCTGCACGAACGTGCTCGTGGCGAGCGGGCGAGCCAACGAAGAACTCCGTCATTCGTTGCGAAGGTCGTCGGCGAGAAAGAGTGGCCGTCGCTCGAATACAACTCGACTGCTATTCGCTGTTGTATTGGGGGAATACGACGCGGGTGGGTTGGGGCGCCGTGGCGGGATGCCCGCTGCCCGATGACCTTTTCTGCGGGCGTGCCTGTTCCTCGACCACAAACTCCGCGACGACGACTTCTTCGTCTTCGTCTCGTCCTCGCTCGCTGTGCTGTTCCTTTCATCCTTACACTCGACTAGATCACTCGACTACAACAGCTAGATCCACCTCGACACAGCAGGTGAGCAACTCGCGCCGTCGAACTCGTCCCCTGGAGCACAGCGGACTCGGCCAGCGTGTGGCGGCATCCACTCGCACTCCGGCTGCGTCGGTACACTCGTACACGCTGCACAACGGACTGCACAACACGGTGGAACTCGCAGCGAGGCCTACGACGCGGGAGGCGAGCGGTGGTTTAGCCGGCGAGGGCGTTGAGCTTTCGCTGGGGAACAGCGGCGTCGAGGAGTCTGGCGATGCGGGCAGCGGGGGGAGTGTTACTGGCGTGGAGAGGAGCGTACTGACTTGGGTTTGACGTTGGCAGCACCCCGCCATGACCTCGTACGCCGCCCAGCCTCGCGCGTCGTCCTTCCTCGCCTCGTTCGCAGACAGCCCCAAGCCACCAACACCGACAGGCATCCCCGCGCCCCTCGCTTCGACCTACGACCTATTCCTCAACCCCGTCACCCCCCTCGCATTCGGACTCGTATACTTTGCGACCGCCAAAACCCTCTCGCACTACCAGAACGGCAAGAACCGCATCAAGGGCAAGGGCTGGGACGTTGCAGTCCTCGTGCACAATATCCTCCTCGCGGTCTACTCGGCGTGGACGTTCCTTGGAACCGCGCCGCAGATCTTTGGCGCCTTCGTCCGCGGGTACATGGCGGACGGCTTCGCCGGCTTGACCCACGCGTGAGTCCCCCGCGCTTCGTTCTTTGCGAGTGGTCTACGATGCAGTAGAGGCATCGTATCCAGCGAGTGGACCCACGCTGACCCGCTCTCCGACTCGACAGCTTCTGCGACTCGTCGTTCGCGATCTGGCAGCAGACGACGTTCCCCAAATTCGCCTACCTCTTCTACGTCAGCAAGTTCTACGTGCGTCGCGCGAGCTACTCACTCCGTCTTGGAACAGTCGCTCACTCGGACTCGCTTGCGCAGGAAATCGTCGACACGGCTATCTTGCTGTTGAAGGGCAAGAAGGTTGGCATGCTCCAGTCGTACCACCACATGGGCGCCATCTGGACCATGTACGCCGCGTACGCCACGCAGGCCATGCCCGTCGTGAGTTCCCACGCGCTTTCCCTCGAAAATGGAGGTCTCTCGCTGACGCTCGACTCCCGCGCGCACAGTGGCTCTTCGTCGTCTTCAACTCGTTCATCCACTCCATCATGTACACCTACTACGCCTTCTCGACCGTCTCGCTCCCCTTTCCTCGCTTCCTCAAGAAATCCCTCACGCGTCTCCAAATCACCCAGTTCCTCGTCGGCGGATCACTCGCCGCCTCGTACCTCTTCATCAAGCTCCCCGACCTCCCTTCCGCGGAAGAGATGTCCGCTGCGGCAACTTCGAGCTTCGAGGCGGGCGTCGGCGCGCTCAAGCGCGAGGGTCCGACCTGCCTCGTCAATGCGGCGCAGCGCCATGCCACCCTCCTCAACTGCGCGTACCTCGTGCCCTTGACGTACCTCTTCGTCGCCTTCTTCTTCAAGACGTACCAGAAGAACTCGGCGGCCAATGCGGCGGCCAAGGCCAAGGCCAACGCGAAGAAGGCCAACTAGGTCCTACTCCTCTTTCACTCCGCTTCGCATTCCAATTGTCGTTACTTTCGCACCCCTTTCGCTTCGCTTGCATACCTCTCCGTAGTCCGTCGCTTTCCCTTACTCCGTCGCAGCTAGATCTCTCTCCTCTCCTCTTTCTCGTGTCCGTATTCCCTCCGTCTTCTCTTGGGTCTCTCGCCGTAATCCATAGCCCATTCCGCCTCACTCGAGACTCGAAAGGTGGAGAAAAGCCGTCCGATATCGTTACAAAGCGCCTACATCTCCGCCCGCCGCACTACGCAAAACGGTCCGGCAACACCAACGGCGCCGCCAAACTCCACGCGTAAATCGCCTGACACAACCACGCGCTGATGATTCGCATCCAGAAGGCGACGTGCGAGCGACCTATGCGCATCGGTTGGCCGTCCGCTTCCGGGGAGGTTGTGGAGGTGATGGGTGAGACGACAGACCTGCGCCGAGCGAGAGGTCAGAGAGGGGAGATTGGGGGAGGGCGAGCGGACGCACCAGTTGGTGAGCAAGCAGGCTGTGTACATTGTCGCAAGGACAAAAATGAGGTGGAAGAAACTGTAGTTGTAGCGCGTGCCCGTGCGCTCGTCGTCGTTCAGGGGTGACATCCCACCCGCTGCAGAAGCGTCGTCGTCTTCGTCGTCGTCAAAGTCGGTGAGAGCCGATGCAGGGAGGGAGCTGTCGGACGAGCGGTGTCAGCGAGGTTGAGGTGAGCGGACTGGAGCGAAGTGAGCGGACGCACCCCTCGTCGACGGCCGCCTTGATCGCCTGGTACCGCAGGCTCTCCTGTCGCTTCGGCTGCGTCAAGACAGGCCCCATCTCGCCGCCCTCGACATCGACGCCTCCGCTCCCGCTCATCGACTGGCTCAGCGCCTCGTACTCGCCGCTGTCCGGCCGTCCCTTCCGTCCAGGCGTGAATGCCTGGCTCTGCGTCGCCGCGCGACTGGTCGAGTACGCGATCGCGAGGAAGGTAAAGACCGCCCCGAGGACGACCATTCCCGTCCGGGCGCCCGCCGCGCGAGACTGCAGCGGGTTGCACGCGCCGTTCCCGTCGTCGTGGTTGGCGATCGCCGAGGTGATTAGGTAGGCGGTGTAGGCGACGACCATGCCTGCTTGAGCGAGGCCGGAGCGCGGGTTCGACTCTTGCACGGCGGGCGCGATCGAGAGGGCCGAGACGACGAGCGAGATGACCCAGTTCGTCGTGATAAGCGCCGTGTTGAGCGCGCACCCTTTGCCGGCGAAGAAGACGTACTGCACGACCGTGAGGGCGAACGTGAGGGCGTACAGGCCGAGCGTGCTCGAGATGAGCACCCACTTCCAGAACGGCGAGTCGGTCGCCTCCCATCGCTCGAGGCACGTCTCGGACCACGAGTGTGCAAAGTCGACGAGGAGGACGAGGCCGATCAGGATGAAGATGCCCGAGCCGGGGAGCGAGATGTAGGTCGACCAGAACGAGGTGAAGAAGCCGTTCGGGATCAGGAACGACAGGTAGACGAAGACGAGCCACGCCAGGACTTTTGGGCCCCACCAGCTGTCCGAAGAGGGTGTTAGTGCGGCTCATCGCGAGGGGTGACAGTCGACCTCACCCGTTCTGAATGGCCGCCCGCTTCGTCCGCGTGTCCTTGACGCCGATCAGGAGGAGCGAGAGAACCGAGTGGAACATGGCGAGGGCGAAGCAGATGCGGTGGACCTGCGTTGCGGAGGCGAGCGTCAGTTGAGCGGGTCTGAAGTTCGCAGGGAAATACTGGCGAACGCACCGCCAGCACGCCGTAGCATCTGCCCTCCTTGCACTCCATCTTGATCCACTCCCAGCTCCACTTTGCGACGAGCTTGATCGCAAAGTCGGTGAGCATCATCCAGGCGAAGAGCGAGTTGAGGAGGAAGATGAGCGAAAAGCCGACGCGCGTCGCGACCGACGAGTTGCAGTTGCACGATTTGGTGAGGGCCGAGGCCTGTGGAACAACGTGAGTCAGTGCCAAGCTCGGGAAGAGGAGGCTCATCGGGTTGGAGCGATGATGCCCTTCCTCGCAACGCAAGAACCGGCTCAAACCGACTCACCGCCTGGCCCGTGCAGAAGAACGCCAGTCCCGTCACGCATGCCGACACCGCCGAGCTACCCAGCCCGGCGATCGGACCGAGCAAGGGGATCGAGATGAGGGCGCCCATGTTTGGCGAGTGCTGGAGGGGGAGAAGGTGAGGAGGCGAGGTACGCGGCAGACGCGGAAGGGAGGCTGCGGGAGCGCGGGACTGTCAGTATGATCGGCTCAGCATCGTGCACGTCTCTGCAAGCCCAATCCTGCCAAGCCGGTAAGTGCCAGCGTCGTCCGACTGAACCGCCCGGCCTCGTCTGCTCGCCACCACTCCATGCAGCCGCGCCCGCCGAGTCACGGGATCGCAAGTAGTTCAACGTCCGTTTTGACGCTACTTCGCCTTCCCTCGAGCCTGTGCCGCGCCGCAAAGTCCCTCCGAGGCGTAAGATGGGGCGAGGGGCTCACCTCGTCAGCGGCAACCGCAGGCGGTTCGTGTGCGCTACAGTGGCGAGTCGGAAGCCCTAGCAAGCGGCCCGGAGAGTCTCAGCGATAGCAGAGCGGGTCGAGGTAGCTGTCGCTGCCAGACCGACACCTCTCCCCGCTGCCGTTCACCTCGCTCACTCTCAACTCGCTTGAATCGTCTATCCGCCTGCTCAGACTGCTGTTACAGGCCAACTGAAGCTGCTCGTCAAAGCTGCACACCGCCTCGTCCCTTCGCCGCCAACTTCTCCCCGACCCTCGACCCCCTCTTCATCTCCCTAACGCTTGAACCCTCGTACCGCGACGAAAGATGGGCGTGGACCTCGAGCCGACCAACTACTACCTCGGGCAGGTGCTCAGGGAGAAGTACATCAAGTGCGTCGCTCACAAACCGGTCCCCTCGTCATCGCACCCCCACCTCGTCCTCGGGGCCGCTCACGGTGCTCGTGTGGGCGATAGAGGTTCGTCTGGCATGGAGACTGACGTACCCGGCGCCGCACAGACCCTCGACGCTCGACCAGTCGTTCGTTGACTTTGATTCGGTCCGATACCACCTCTCGACGCCCGTCCGCAAATCCCTCCTCCTCCTCTCGATGGACGTGCCGTGCTGGGCCGAGCTCCAGGCGTACGGTGCGCGGGAGGTTCTCGAGCGCGAGTACGGTCAGAGGTTGTTGCCCGAGGGACAGACCGAGGAGGGCTACAGCGTCAGTCTCGAGATTGACCTCGAGCAGGGTCCCGCAGAGGGTGGTGAGTTGCGGTCATTCTACCGGCGAATGCAGCATCGTACTGACCCCGCTGTGGCCCGCAGCCGAGCGAGACGCCCTGATCCACGCCCTCACGCTCCTCAAGCGCAACGCCCTCGCCGCGCCGTTCGAGCGCGCGTTCGCCCTGCAGAAGAGGATGGAGGAGAGTCCCGTCGAGGAGGGTGCGAAGGATTCGCGAGGCGAAGTCATGGCCGTACACTACCGGTGGGTCGCTCGGATACCCCTCCTCCAGATCTCTTGCTGACGCTCGCCTCGCGCGAAGCCCCGAAGAAGCGATCTACCTCATCCCCTCATCCGACCGCGTCACCGTCATCTTCAGCACCATTTTCAAAGAAGAGACCGACCGAATCCTCGGCAAGGTCTTCCTCCAGGAGTTTGTCGACGCGCGCAGGAGGCCAAGTTGCCAGACCGCGCCGCAGGTCCTGTACAGTAACCGCGAGCCGCCGCTCGAGATTAGGCACATCAAGGGGCTGGACATGACCGAGCGCGCGGGATACGTGACTTTCGGTGCGCTCAAAACCTCTTGCTCTTCGGCGACTTTCCCTGTTAACCTGCAAATCTCGCAGTCCTCTTCCCTCGCCATATCACGCCGCAAGTCGCCGCCGACACGATCACCCGCATCCAGCTCTTCCGCGACTACCTGCACTACCACATCGCCTGCTCAAAGGCCTATCTGCACTCGCGTTTGCGGCTGCGGACGTCTCAATTCCTCAAGTACGTTCGCGTCTCGCTTGCAGTGCTAGCGTCACCCTGCGAACTGCAGTGCATCTGCTGTCGAGGATGTCGTCGTCATCCCGACTGAGCGAACTGACCAGTTACGCGTGTACAGGCTGCTCAACCGCGCCAAGCCCGAGAAGCCCGAAGACCAGGTGCACCAGAAGACGGCGAGGTGCGTCGCCTGATCACTTGTCACATCGTAGACCTCGTTCGCGGCTCCTCGAGAACTGGCGCTGACTCTGCCTGTTCGCTTCCCGCTTGCTTGTCATCTTCGCAGCGGTCGGAGCTTTGTCAGGACGTGATGCGGTTGCTAGGCGAGATCGGCGGCAGTGGCAGGATTGTTGCAGCGGCGGGAGCGGGCGGTGGAAGGGGAGAAGTGAGGCGATTCTCGCGCGGCGGTTGTCGTTTGGGCTTGGTACCTCGGCAGCATGTCAATGAGTCGATTTAGTGCACCACACGTCGTCTACGCCCGCCCTCTCTGACGCGAGATGCCAACCTCCCTTGCGAGCGGAGTTCCGCCAGCGAGTTGTCTTTCGCCAGTTCACTGCTCTCTCGCTCGTGAGCTGTTCAGACGATGCCATGAGCTTGCTGTCGCGTCCACCGAGCCCCTCCGTCCCGCTGCTTCCCCTCTCGTCGTCCTCGTCGGCCCCCTCATCGCCCTCGAACTTCACGCGTCGACGAAGCACCCAACCCTCGACCACGCCCGACTACTCACCTCGCACGGACGACTACGCAGACAAGGACGAGCTGGATGGCGAGCTCGAGGCGACCGAGCGCTGGCTGGTGGAGCGGGAGGGACCGTCGAGGCGGAGACTTCCAGTGAAGCGGGTCGTCTACATCGCGGCGGGACTGGCGCTTTTGCTCGTGCTAGTCGTCAGTACACGACATCCTCGAGCGACGGACGCGCTCGGACGAGCGAAAGGATGGGTTGCAGGAGGGTTCTTTGGCTCGCACGAGGAGGAGGAGTGGGTCAGGCCGGCGCACGTCGAGCGGACGGGGAACGTCTCGCTCGAGCAGTACCTCGTCGACATCGGGTTCTCGCGCTTCCCACTCTCCCCGGATGAGCGAGGGGCGCCCCTCTCATCCCTCGCATCGAACGCTTCTTCGCCTCTTTCGCCTCCTCCGCCGTCCTACGACCCCGCCTCGAACCGCAACGTCGTCCTCCTCACTCTCGCAACCGCCAAGTACCTCCCGCCGGTCCATGCTTGGGCCTTGCGCGCGCGAGAACTCGATCTCGGCGGTAAGGACGCTCGCGCGGATGAGAACGTCGTCGTCCTTTGCTTGGACGAGGAGTGTCTGGACGAGGCGGAGCGGAGAGGGTTGCGGGCGTACGGAGGGTATAGGGAGAGCGTCTACGGCGAGCGGGTCCCGCCGATCGGTGTCGGGCAGGAGGCGCCTCTCCGGCGGCGCGCCGTGCTGGACAAGCGGGAAGGAGCGCAGGGCGGACTCGAGCGCGGTCACTTCATGGCCTACGTCAAGTTTCGTGCGCTGTGGGAGATCAACCGCGCGGGATTTGCCAGCCTCTTCTTCGAGGCCGACACGATCTTGACCGCCGACCCGTTCCAGTGGATGCGACCGATGTCGCTGTCGCGTGGCGATGTCGAGCGAGCCGTTACAGCAACGGTCAACTCGGTGCGCAACTCGAGCGTGGCCAACTTGACTGTCGACAACTCCAAACTCTCGCCTTTGCAGCAGCAGCGCCGTCTTATCCCTTCCAACTTCTCTCGTTCCATTCTTCGTCCCTCCTCTACTTCTCCTCTTCCCTCGGCGAACGCCTCTACCCTCGTCGACCCCGGCTTCGACCTCATCTTTACGCACGACGGCCATCACCTCGCCAACTTTGGCTGGATCCTTGCCCGTCCGACCGCACCGACCATCTCGTTCTGGCGCGAATGCCTCGATTGGTTCGTCGACCTCGGCGGGTGGGATCAGGGCGTCGTGACGGAGGTGATTCGGCAGCGCGGCGGACGGGAAGAATGGAGGGATGCGTGGTGGGATGAGGCGGGCGATGGAGAGGGGCGTGCGAAGGAGCAGTGGTTCGTCGTCGATGGGCTGGAGGGGCTGACGGAGAATGAGGTGGCGAGGGTGGCAATCCTGCCGCGGGAAAAGGTGAGTTTGCGAACGGGTTTCCCTGCTTGCGCTGGTCGGGCGGCATCTGCTGTCCCGGTGGCGTATGGAGTGATCTGAACTCGGCGCTGATGTTCAATCTCGCTCCCAGTTCTTCTCGTACCACCAAATGACGCTCGGCTGGTAGTGCGTCTCGCTCTCCGTCTCTTGTTGGGCTCCGGCTTCAAACGCGAAGACGTCGATCGACTGGTTGAGATCGGAGTCGATACTGACGCGTTTCCGCATTCGCAGCCAGCCGCCGCTCGACACGCCCTCGCCCGTCATGCATCACCTCACCTCGGTTCTCTACTCGACGCGGCAGTTCTACCCGAGTACGCTCGCTTTCCTGCTTTCCGTCGCGATCTCCGTCGCGATCGAGTCTGAGTTGACGTCCACCTCGCAGAGGAACGCGGCTGGGTCCCCTCGCTCGACGGCTACTACACTCGCCCTCGCCCTATCCTCCTTCCCATCAACTCGTCCTTCACCCCGTCCTCGTCCTTGTCGCCGTCCTCTCTCGCTCCGTTCCTCTCGACTCCGACCGGAGATGTCGAGAACAGCGTTTGGACCGGCTCGAAGGACGAGATCTTGCAGTACGCGCGAGTTCTGCAGCTCCTCACGGCCGTCGAGGCTGGAGCGGACGGGCCGGGAAATGGGACGAGCGCGGAGTGGAGCGTAGTGGTGCCGGGGAAGGTGCGGATCGTTGCGGATGAGGGGGAGGAGGTGTTTGAGCGGGACTTTTCGAGGGTCGTCAACATCGAGTGCGTTGCGGTCCTTCCTTTTCGCCTTCGGAGGCGCGTCGGTGTGCTATGCTGACGTCCATCGGATCTCGCGCCTCACAGCGCTGCCATCGTGAGTTCCTCGTCGCTGCTCAACGGTCCCCCGCAGATTGTGCGGCCTCGGCGCGTGCGGCTTGCGCTACTTCGGCATCATATCATTGTCTCCCTCTCTCCTCAGCGCACTGACTCTCTCGTGTTCGCGCAGCACGCCGATCTGCCCTTACTCGAACCCGCCTTCTTCACCCACGCCTCTCGCTACGCCTCGCCCGCCGTCCTTTCTGCCTGGCGCTCTACCTCGACCACACTGCATGTCGACCTCGCCTCCTTCACCTCGCTCGAGTCGGCTGTCGCCCACCTTTCCTCGCTTCTCGGCGGGATGGAGAATGAAGCGGTGACAGTCGAGCTGGACGGTTGGGAGCGCGTCAAGGAGTGGGACTCGACGACCGCTGGCTCGTTACGTCGGGGTGACGTCTCTCGGCAGGACTGGGACGCGATTACGCAGGCGAGGCGGTGTCGCGAGTGGGAGAAAGAGGGGATGGTGCGTCTTTCATTTCGCTACACTTCCGCTAAAACAGCCTCCTCGGCTCCGTCGCTCCGCCTTTGACTGATTTTCCGCTCGCTCACGTCTTGCAGCCGTTCCTGTGGTGCACACCGGAGGAGTTGGCGCAGCGGGTGCGCTTGTAGACACTTTATCGCATCTAGACTTGAACATGTTGTTGTGCACCCTGCCGGTTCCCGTGTCACTCGTTTAGCGGAGCACAGCATCTTCTAGCATCCGTCCGAGCGAGAGCGGTGAGCGTGTCAAGTCCGACCCTCCTCGCGAGTCGCTCCTTGTCCTCCTCGACGATCCTTGCTCCGCTCTGGGGGCTTGCTACGTTTACAAGATGCTTGCTGTCGGATGCATTGATACGCTCTTCGCTTCTTCCGCCCACCTCGCGCCCGCCTACCGCCATTGTTCGCCCTCGAAGTCCCGGTGCGTATCCCTCATTCACTCGGCTTGCACACGGTTAGGGTTAGGGTTAGGGTTAGG